AGTATACGTCCTATTATTTTTTTCAACGACATTTAAAAAATTGTATTTATAATGATGCCTTTTTCTTATACCCGGTTCAATGCAAATCGATTACTACATTGCCAAGCCTATAAAACGTTACCGTAAATTTCCATTTAATAAAAATTCATAATACATAAATAATGCAGGCACAAGTCAGGTCAGGAAAATGATACTTATTTTAATTGAACTATGTCCTTTATTGCTGTTATAATTTCCTGTTGAATTAATACTAAGAGTGATTTCCATTCATTACCTTTGAGAATACAAACTTGTCGCATTATGAATGGATGTTTGGGCCCATACTATTGTATAATTATCTACATATCACACGGGTCTTATTAAATAAACATGCGATTGTCAAATATTTTGTGTACAATTTTAACACTATTGTTTACCACATGGACATTATATGTAGCGGCCGAGTACGCAAGCTTTTATTAGTTGTAATGTTATTTAAACATAGTTACATATCTTGAGCAATACTTCCTAGTCTGTTACCGTCATAAACGAGGCTTGTCTCATAAAGTTATATTGTTGTTTAATACATTCACACATTACTGAAAGTTGATAGACTGAATGTATGATTATGATGATGACTTTAGCAACATTGAAGCAGTTTCCTGCTGACTGGTTCCTGGTAAATGTGACATTTCTCTACTTAAATTGTAGTGTTACTTGTACAATAAAACTTGAGCCTGGTGGTCATTAACCCCCACAGGTATTTACCATCAATATGAATTGATGATGAAGGACGCTATTGCATTCTAATTGAACTGCTTACCTTACTTGCTCATAAAACCAAAGATCAAAACACATTCATGATCTCACTTTATACAGTCCACATATACCTATATGCTTCTTTAGCATTATGCAGTTAGCAATAACTATGTATGAATTTGTTTTTAACACTTTCCAAAAATAATATGGCATCTGACATTAAATATAATGGCATCGGTGAGTACGTATTGGTTGATTAGACAAACAATACTAACAATATTGACTAACAACTGGTTTATTTCAATAATTTGACCAATCAAAAGTCGATAATCAAATATAATAGGAGTTGCTTATACAAAAACGTACTGCTGTTTAGCTTCCAGATCCTGATTGTACTAGTAGTTCTTATAAAAAGACGAACAAAGTAGGAGTCTGGCGCCGCATATTTTTTGTTGAATTAGCACCTATTACACAGTATGTCAGTACATTAGAGAATGTAAGCTGCACTGAAGTGATAATGATCGCAGACGTAACAGTCGATGAACACATCTCTCACCTTGAGTGAGGTCAACAAAGCCAATAGAGATCAAAATCATATAATTACTGCGTATTCTGTAATGTATGAACCAGTCTGTATGCTAAATGATACATTATTTGCCTTTAGATATGATAATTGTATTTACTTGCTGGGAAAGCCCGAAAAATACAGTTATTTCTGGGTTAACTCATAATATTCATTAACAAGCATTAACAAGGCGATAATGTGTTGGATGAAATAATATTCAATTGATAGTAAGAAAACATCACGATATAGGCAAAGGTTGTATGTAGAACTTAATGATAAAGTTATAATCAAATTGACATTTGACTGCACTGTTGACGCAGTGGTTAGGCAACTGACCGCCACGCAACGTGTCGCGGGTTCAATTCCCGCACGGAACTCTTTGAGTGATCCACAGATTATTGTTCCGGGTCTGTGGGGCAACGTTTAAAAAAAAAGAAAGACTTACAAAAGTAAGTGAAGTGATAAAATAATTTAGATCGTCTCAAACCAAGTTTTTTTGATTGATTTCGATGATATCATTACCAGATTTATTATAGAAATACAGGTACAAGATGACAGAGGTGGCCATTCAATTTCGTTGATGTAGCACCGATCACATAGTACTGATTTATGATCGCATTCATACAAGGCGGTAAGATAATATCAAACTTCAAAGGCGGCAATTACAGTGATAAATGACAATTATTATTGTCTTGTCCTTTGCGAACAATAAATACACCTTCGAGAAGCGTGCGATATTATTTCTCGGGTGTTTATGATCATTAAGAACTATTGTCAGCAGTCAGCACCTATACGCCGATATTTGAATTGAATGGTCCTGCAATCGCCACAACCGCTATCAGCTAGATTGATCAGCAGATAGTTCAGTTAAAATGATGCCGCTTAAATGAATGTCATTCAACAGTAGCGCCAAGGAATTCAATTACTAGGATTCATAACATGGTCTACTGGAGTGGAAGATTTCTACTCAGGTCGTCAAAGAGCAATATAATAGACGTATATTTACGTTATCACAAAGAAACACGCCTTTAACAATTACTCATCTGAAACAACAATTGATTTCTTTACCATATTTGCATTTTACCGCAATGCTCGTGAACCAACGGATAGAACACAATAGGTTGTACAAAATAATGATGATAATAATAACCCCTTCAACTAGGAAAATTGCTCATAGACCTAATCTATGACAGAATGGTAAACCATTCATCTGCTACACTCATAAAACAAACACGTTCCCTTCATACCTAAAAATTACTCATCTGGAACAACGCATGTTGCTTTAACCAAATATGGTTGAAGCCGCGGTACCCTGACTAAGGGTACGCAAATAAAACGAACGGATACGATCAAAATGTTATATCCCTAAACTATGCGTGAATGTCACCATACTGGCGGAGACGGACCAAAAATAGTAGTAGACAAGAGAATTCTTTATGAAGAACGCATGCGTCATCGATACAGAGAAGGAAGTGCGTGTTGTTGGAACAGCGAACAGTCAAACACTTGATGGTGAGCCGCCCACGGCGACGCCTCGGCCGCGCTCGCCATCCGCCCGCTGCACTAACTGTGATTGACACCACATTAATACTATCCCGAGACGAAATGCAGACCTTTCTTAACAGTTTAAAATAAGGATAAACACACCGCATGAAACAATTACTGTCTACGTAATAATTTACAAATACCTTAATATTATAGAATACAGCGCCAGCAATGATTGACGTAATAAAATAGCTCTATTTACATTTTGCTTCAAGAACCTCGAAAAATGAACGACTTTACCAATTAATCGATAACAAATATTTGCCATCCACTTTTAATGAGTGGTACGCGTCATTGTTTTCTTTCAATTAGTGTTGAACTATTGGACCAATCGAGTCCGATACAAGCAAAAAGTGAAGTGGAAATAATACATAATTACGTCATAATTATTCTTCTCTCAGGCGCAAAATGACTAGTATCCATGCTCTACTTTCATACCAACAACAACAATGCTAAATACAGTAAACTTGTAGATTTCTACAACCATTACGGTGAATTATGTTTTGTGACCATTAATAATTTTAAGAACACAATGATGCTTCTTTCTTAAACAGAAATAAGGTTCACAGGTACTCGTGCCCATACATTCCAAGCCAAGCACCTCGAATACAGTCAAAGTTGAATATATAATTTTCCATAACCCTATATGTGGTTTGTCAATACTAAGTAACAAATACTATTTCCAGTTAAGTAAGTAACCACAAGCTGGAAGTCGGTCTCCAGTTATTACCACTATTGCCGAACCAATGTATTTGTGTATTGAATTACTTGTTTTCATAATTAGGTACCAAAGTTATGAATGAATAAAACAATAGGTACGTAAAATAATTGCTTATATTAAAAATTCGGGTACAAGATGGTTGTATGGTGAAGCACTACCAATTTATTTTAATTTGCAAATTGTACAGCTGTGTTTTAAAACATTCAATTCAAATAATGGATGCTTTCTGTTATGCCCTTATTCTTACTAACGCTTGGGAATTGTTTGTTTGAAAATTGATCGGCGGGTCACTCCTGGGAGGCATCGTTATGTTGTTCGTCAGTGCTGTCATTATGTCGGACACAAATCGTTAGTACTTAGGTACATAGTCTGTGTCGAAGTTATCGTCTTGTGGCCTTTCTGAGGGAGAGGCCCTCCTGTATGTTGAATATTTTATTTCTTAACAAACTCTTGCAACAACTACAAGACGATCAAAAATTAAATTATCCACACGTACAGTCAGTTATGGTACGCCTATAGCAAAAACCTGCATAAAGCTAAATTCAATCTAACCATCAAGTGTGTTTATATTGGCAAGAATAACACAAAATATTGTTTCGATAAAATAAACATCGGCCGAGGAAATGTAATAATAGTGTTTCGATGAAAAGGAAATTATTTTTCCTACACGACCGTCTGGGGATACTAGATATATTTTTCTATTTCATTTCATTTGCCGGCTTATTCTATAAAAGACCTTTCACTGTAATAACTGCTGCGGATTAACAGACACGATATGATCTAACTGGTGACAATACATTGATGTTCATTCCGTGCTTCCAAGCTATTAAGATTATTATCAGTTCCATAAAATTAACTGAAGGTTATGAAACGCTAACAACACACGTTGCACTATGATTTGCTAATAACAAACCTATAATTACATTCATGGCTTACAACACGCCCTTATAAATAGAGCTTTGTTTTAGCAAACGTTCAGCGCGGAAATTTCCCAAAAACAGTTTTCGAGATTCGGGAAAATCGCCAAATAGTTGTTGCTTACCTACAAAGTGTGTTAGCGTCAGTAATGAAATTAGTTTTGCAAAGCAAATCAAATGATAGTTTACTGTATAGGATAATCATGACATAAATCAAATTAACGATGCCTGAACGATATGCGTAGTTGAGTAATCAGTAAGCAACTATGGAATTGAAATAAATAATACTTCGTAACTTATTAATTGTCTGGATATTTCTGAGATTTGTATCGTGCTCCTTAATGGTACGACTGCTTGAGAAATGTACTACGTTAATTTGATGAGTGAATACTTACTAAATCAAGAGAATAATGTTTTGTAGTTTAAATTATTTTCGAACATTAAGGTCTTAGTCGTCATAAGAACATTCACGATAATGGTATAAGAGTATAACGGATGTATGTGATTGTCGCAGGTCACAGCGCCGAAGTTCCCGGTGGTGATCAAGATAGGGCACGCGCACAGCGGCGTCGCCAAAGTGAAAGTGGACACGGTGGCTGACTTCCAGGTAACGATGCACATCACTCTCCCAGTTAAATAATGCCATAATGAATTACCATGCAACTCACGAACTTCGTCCTACTTTACTAAGAAATCAACAAGGTAAAATATTTAAGGGATGAGTAACATAGTTTAAGAGTAACATTACTATGATTCATTGTAGTAGGAAGCTATTGTTACTAATGCTGCTCTTCTAGGATATCGCCGGAGTGGTGGCAATGCTCGGCACCTACTGCACCGTGGAGCCCTACATCGACGCGAAGTACGATATCCATATACAAAAAATCGGCACTAACTACAAAGCTTTCATGTGAGTATCGTTACACTATATATATCTGCAATAGTCTGGCGCCTGCGAGAAAGATCAAAGTAGTCTGCAATCCTGATTACAAACAAAATGATGCAGGCGTTCTCAATGTTCGCAAACGGATGTTCGATATTGCGTAGATTTAAGAATGGTATTACGTGTGAAGTGTGATATCACATTTGGTGTTATGGTCGTCTATAAATAATTCATAAATATTTTCCAGGCGCAAATCTATATCGGGAAATTGGAAAACCAATCAGGGATCCGCGATGCTCGAAGCTATCGGCATGAACGACAGATATAAGATGTGGATCGACGAGGTTTGTATCTAATTTATCTATGTTTTGATTACAACTATTGATGGATAGCTTTATTGGATCTGAAAATAATAAATACGTAGGTCTGAAGCCCTAAGTCATTTAATTTCCTCTCATTGACATAATTCGTACATAGGTATGTACTTCTGACCATAATAAATTCAATAAAAATCGTGTAACTACAATAGTTACGACTTTCAATATCCATTAATTCACACGCGGAAATATTCATACCTTGTTCCACTATTTATGAAATACTTTAATTGATTGTAACTTTACATAAATCCCTAGCTATCAGACACTGCATAATATTAGCATGTTATTAGGTACAAACATTTTATTGTATTTTATCCAGGCGTGAATAAAATTCATAGTAGTAGACGTGGATTAGTGTTTCAAAGTATATCTGCATTACAAAGTACATAATATCAACCTAGAAATTGGAGAAAAACAATATAATTATTTTTTGTTCACATTCTTTCTCGTTTAAACTTATCACCATATACAAATTCATTACAATTTATAGCCTTGAAATTCCGCCTCGATATGAATCTAGAAATTTACTAGCGCAATGATAAAATTGAATGATAATAGTATAACACCTCCCCTTGGTTGGACCCTCATATGCTAAATTAACGGCATGCGTTCAGTATCCAAAACAACAGGAAGCAGGAAGCTTGGGGACCTATTTTCAACGATGTCTTGTTATAATCATGATCTATTGTAGGTGAGCGAGATATTCGGCGGTTTGGAAGTGTGTGCTTTAGAGCTGGTGGTAGGGAAAGACGGTCGCGAGCACATCATTGAGCTCAATGACTCCGCCACTTCCTTCATGGGCGACTCGCAGGAAGAAGATCGCCGCCATCTTGCCGAATTAGTGCTGCAACGTATGCAGGTATGTAATAAAATAATTATGTAGAAGGAAGAAGGTGTGTTTTTCTTGTGACTGATTTTTATAGTCAAGTTTATAAGATATCTTTCAGTATAATAGAGACGTTTATGACATAGTATGTAATTAAAAACAGTTATGAGTCCGTTTTTATGTAGATTTCTATTAAAGTCTAGTAGGTACTTATGGCAATTTACTTTATCTTTATGTTGTTGATTTCCAGGCTGTATGCCGCCCGGGTATAACAAAGACGACATCACGAAGCTCAGTGTCGGGCAGCTCTGCAGCAGGATCCCCGACAGAAGAACGGGCCCCACCAGTCGGCGCCCCTGGTCCCCCGAGCGTACCACCACCAGCGCCCCTAGCGTCTGCCGCCAGCATTGACCGCCCACTGCCACCAATACCCGCGGAACCGTCGCAGCCGCCACCACCACCCCTCACTCGGCGCGACTCACAGGGTAAAAAATGTACTAATACCACATCATCATTTACTATTTAACGTTTTTATACCTAGTTTTGTTCACACGTAGTATTTGAGATGCACTAGATGTCATGAAACGGCAGATGCTTCTGTTACCATCGAGAATCCTTGATGTAATAACATGGTGTGATTGCAGAAAGTAACATTTTTCATTTACAGCGTCTCAAGCTTCGACTGTGTCTTCGGCATCGGCTGCTCCCAGCACTACTAGCAGCACAGCTCCCACCGCGGCCCCGCCTAGCGCGGGCTCCACCCCAGCTCGTGGAGGATTTGCCCGTCAGGGCTCTCTCAGTGCAGCACTTACGGAAGACGCTGAAGATACTATGAAAAATCTACGCAAAACATTCGCTGGAATATTTGGGGACATGTAGGGTGATCAATGAAATCGGACAATAGACGATGTACTAAAAACATGAAACAACGTTTACTGAATAAAATCCTGATCACTGAAAATTCCGATCGATACAAACAAGTGGTGCATCCTAATGAATTTAAATTCACCACACGTCTGTTGCCCGCAGCAGTTACGCTAGGGAATTATCATGACATACGAACTATTTAACCGGTCCACAACTAACTATGGACTTGTATTCTGAAGGTGTAACCCAAATTTAAAAATGTGTTTATGCCAATTTCAATTACACATATATCTAAAATGCCAGTCAACTGCATCTATTCGAAAGGCTTTTCTTTCAAATAGTGTTGAATTCATCCTTATAAGAAACAGAATATTAAGCATAGATTAATGTATGATAACGATAGAATTTTATAATAAGTTTATTATAAATATGAAAATACGAATCAACTGAGCTGCATTGTGATCGAACCCGTTCGGTATTCGCGAGGCGCGTTGCCTCGCGTGTTGTAGTGTTTCTCTCTGTCTCCGACTCCCTTCTACACTCGCTGCACCTTCGTACGAGACCAGTACAATATGGGCATTTTATAAACACTATTCTCTATTACTACATAGTTGTTATGGAAGACAAATAATCAAAGCAATATTAGGATGGAACGTAAAGACGACTTGTAACGGTTCTTTGAGAGTATTCGCCATAGCTAGCGATACCATAAATCGAAAGAATTAATTGAAGTAATTCGATTGAAACTATGTATGTATTTAGTAAAAATCTGGAAATTCCGCGTTTTGTAAACGTTGCGATGGAAAAAAACAGATTTTATCCTGTCGTCCTGTGTTAGATCTAATTGTTGGCAATTGGGATATGAGCAATGCTATTGAAGACAATATTGTTAAACGCAAGAATTGATCCACATTTTATATATTATATTATACCTTATTACTAGTTGTATTTCATAGTCTTAAGAATATATTGTTATACCTATGTACGTCTTCGTATGTGTGAATCACGCTTCGTTTATCACGTAGCTATCTCGAATCAATATTGTTTACGCTACTTCTTCATGAATTATTGTATTTAGCATATGGTATGGAGACTTGTATCCATTATGACTACATAATTGTTATAACTATCATGGTTTTGTGGGACGACAATGATGGTGTCAACGAAGTGTGATGATACGTCATATCAGAGTGACTCAGTGTACATCTCGGCTTGTGCATTGTGCTGTCATAACTATTGAAAGTTTAAAACTTTAAACTATTATAAAGTAATGTTATACTATTCTTTAGCTAATGCGAATCAAGTAGACAATTTCAATGTGTAGTTATTACTTCATTTACTTAATCACACTTTCGTAGAACATTCATGAATTATATATTAGTAAGTTTTAAGCGTTTTTATATAACAAACAGATAATATTATAACCAAGCCCACTTGTTATCGTAGATTTTACAACGAAAATAGTTATATACGTATACAAATGTAAGTTACTCATTACGTTAAGGCAACGGTCAGGAGCAAGCGTTAAGTTTGAGCAAAACAATAGGTACCTGCGTTTAGTTCGTTGAGATTATTAATTAAAAACTTTTTTATATGAAACTGTCCTTCGTTGTTGGCGCCCTGGTACTCAGGCATAGTACTCAGGTTACCTTAGGTAATTATACTATAATTTACTCGTATAGGTATGCACCTGTAGTTAGATTTTGACACGAATCCTTAGTATCGATAGCCACGATGTAGGTACGTGTAACTAATTACGTGTCTATAATGCGCAATTATGTAATTATTACGATTATTTCGTACGTTATTAATTAAATTATAAATTCAATTATATTTAGTGGACGTTATGAATTTCATTTTAGTACCTAATAGTTCATTTATTTGTAGGAATAATTTGTTTAATTTGTATATTGGTTGAAGACTTTGACATTTGTTAACTGTTAAGAATATAATATAAACATTCAAATTAATATAAATGCTGTTGTTGTTGTTGCTAACAAGTTATACATTATGTACTCAATACGGAGTGGAGGATAATCGTTAAAGTGGTCACATTGCGGGAGAATTCGACCTGTGTCACGGGATACCTATGTAACGATTTATCGTGATTTATCTTCTAGATAACGGGCATGGCATGTCACAATAAAAGTGGATGGACTATCTACTTTATTTTAGTACAACCATAGGGTACAAAGTCAAGTACCATTTATGACCTTTATAACAACTTTTAATATTAGAAAATTTCTATGGGAATTCGCAATAAATCGATGTTAATTAAGTGACATCCATGCCCTAGTTCGGATGGAATATGTTAATGGAATTTGAATGCATGTTAATCTATATAATATGAATAATAATAAATACCTCTTTTGGTAAGTCAATACCGATACTGATATTTTATTTCCAACTTTCCCTCATCTCTTTAGATAGCATTCATAATTTATTTGAAGTTTTCTTCACTAGGAACAGAAAATTACCAACAATTTATTTCATCCTTTTTTTTAAGGGGGAAAATCATCCAATGACTTCTCCCGCCCGGGTGAGGCGGGAGGGAGCATCAGACTCTTACTGACTAAAAACCACCCCGTTCCTACTCCTGCACTTCGAGACGGAGCCCCGGTAACCCGTTTAGTCTTCCGCGGCTCCGTACCCACAATTTATTTCATCCTAAAAAGCTGTATTTACTAATATGTATAACGCCTGTTATTATAGATATGAATAACCAAAGGAACCAGGGCCATTTGAAAACTTTTTGATTGGGCAAAGTGATAAAAATAATAAACTTGCAAGTGAGACTTATTGCCTACTGCCTCCTGAGATACAGGCAACGCCTAATTCTCCTGTTGACTGCCTCATTGGCTGTGTGGTCGCAAGTGCGACTGCCGGGCAAGAGGTCTCGGGTTCGATTCCCGGGTCGGGCAAATTATTACTGGGTTTGTAAAAAACCTCAGTAGTAGCACGGAGTCTGGAAATGTGCCTGGTTTATGGCAATAGGCTCACCCCCTATTACATGGGACTTATAACATAAATAGTGAAAAGTGGGTGTTACATTGTAGAGGCATAATGTGCACCTGTACCTACCCCTTCGGGGATAAAAGGCGTGATGTTATGTTGTTGTTGTTCTGAGAAAGTAAATTGCGGTCACCGGTGATCGCTTGGGGATTAAAGGGCAGGAGACAGAGCTTGATGTATTTAGATGTTAGTATATGAATAAAGAATTATTATTATACACATTTTCCCCGAAAATATAATATTCTCATTATATAATCTATACATATAATAAAATCGTAGAAAAATCAAAACTGTTCATTGAATATTTTAAAAAGAATACTTGAGGCGTGATCTACAATCGATACCGAAGCCAAAAATATGGATTTTAGAATTTTTGACTGTTTGCCTGTATGTATGTCCGGGATAATTTCCAAAAGTTCATGGATTTACTTAATTTTGCATGAATATTACTAACAGGACGGGTCAACATATAGGCTACATATTATCACGGTGTCATCTAAGGGGGAGAAGTGAATCACTATTCCACGCGAACAAAGTCGCGGGCAACAGCTAGTATTATAAAATAAAAGAAAATTACATAACAGTAAAATCATTTATTAAATATGTAAGCGTGGATTAATTTGATAATGATTAATATGTGGATTAATATTTAACTCACTATAAAGCATATCTACCATCTACCTAGTACCTATGTGTGAAAAATGCGTGATTTGACAATGTTAAAAAAATAATGTTTAATGAGATTGACGAAGTGGTAGGTACTTATTATAAATTATATCACTCGTTGCATATAATTTTTCTTATATAATATATCAGTAATTTGGATTCCAGAAGATACGAAAGCCACGCCGTGCAATACAAATATTATAAACATCTTCAACAAAATAATTATAACATAGAATTTAATGTTACATATCTAACAAATTATAAAATAATTTTAACAAAATCGTTAAACTGTTAGCTTTTATATTCAAGATCAATATTTGAGAAGGTTTCAAAGCTGTAATAAAATATCTTCTACTTTAATCTTTGTTTAAAGCTAACATTAACTTGTAACATTAGTTGTCCAACATTCAGTGCCGTAACTAGCCTTCTAGGCGCCCGGTGCCAGTTTTCAAAACTGCGCCCTTGAAAAATGTCCTTACCAGGCTCTGACAATAAAATGGACAAATGTGCAGGAAAATATAACTGTTTATTGTTTACCAAGTTATAAGTCGGTACTTAGTAGATGTTTTAAGACAATTCGTTGCTACCATTCCGCGATGAGATCGCGCCGGAGCTCTTCCTGCCACGCACTTATCTGGCGCGGCAACGGAGCGATACTCGTCGCATGCGATACAAGCACGCGAGCACTTCGCTTCTAGATCCCACGGCGGTAATCCGGCAAGGAGGTTCGCCGACTCCCTGGAGATCGTGCGGTATCCGCGGATCATTCGGATCGCTATGACCCTCTGTGACATGAGCAGCGCCCGAGCGGGCCGCCGCATCAGATTCGGCGCCCACACAGGGGCGCCGTAGAGGGCCAGGCCAGGCCGGGCAGGAGGCGTTTGGCCCCCCGATTTTGGGGAGGATGCCCTTAAACGCAGCCCCCGTCCTCTCCAACTTTGGAGCCAAACGTCGGAAGTGCTCCACGAAGTTCCACCGACCTTCGAGGACGAGTCCTAGGTTCTTCATCGTCGTCTCGACGCCGATGGTAACCTCTCCCGCCGTTATTTGGGACTCACCCGGAGGTGGCGCGTTCCCGCGGCCATGAAAACACATAGCCTCGGACTTGTGGAGCGCCACCTCGAGTCCCAATTGCCGGATTCTCTCAACAACTGTCGCAACCGCTGTCGCCATTAAGTCAGCAGCTGCCTTGTGCGACCTCCCGTGCGCTAGCATCAGCGTGTCGTCGGCGTAGCATATGATGATATCGCCGTTCGTGAGGTCGTTGCGCAGTACCCAGCCGATGTTCCACAGGAGCCGCCCCAGAACCGAACCCTGTGAAACACCTCTGTGACATCTCTCGCCAGTTCCACTCGCCCCGGTGACCGGGGTAAATGACGGACCTGTCCGTCAGGTAAGCCTCGGAGTACCTCCAAGATGCAGCTCCAGGGCAGGGAGTTGAAGGCGTTGGCGACGTCCAGAGACACCGCCAAAACGACCTTACCCCTGGACACTGCAGTCCCCGTCCCCGTCCGGTCCCTAACGCGCATGATGGCGTACGCCGTGGAGCGCCCTCTGCGGAAGCCGAACTGGCCGTCCGACCGGTCCGGTCCAATGTCCGTCAAGTGCGCGATGAGGCGGTTCGAAATTATTGTTTCGAAGACTTTGCCCACCTCGTCGAGCAGCACTATGGGCCGGTACGCGGACGGAGAATCCGCAGGGCGCCCCGTCTTCCGCACGAGGACCAGTTTACCCGCTTTCCAGAGCAGCGGGAACTGGCCTCTCTCCAAGCATGCGCTGTAGAGACCGATTAATCGAGGCCCCTGAGGCCAGGACCGATGCTTTGCTATGCAAGCCTGTCCTGGAGCGGTGTTCTTGGCGCCCATCCGGCGCACCACCGCTCTCAGTTCTGCCTCGGTCACCTCTAAGACGATGTCGTCGTCGTCGTCGCTATAGCCTGCGTCGGGCACCGCAGGGGGCGGAGTCATATACGTAGGGGTGAAGCCCCTCCACAATCGGGGGAACAGGGCGCCAATCACCTCTTCTAAGACTTCTGGCCGTTGACTCTGAGTGAACGGGGGAGCCCAAGCGCGAAACTTGTCGCGTACCATCCGGTACGGGCGTCCCTACGGGTCTCTGTTCAGAGTCCCCAGCATCTCTCGGCGGGCCTCCTCCTTGGCCTGCAGTATTTCCGCCTTGAGGACGGCCTTTGCCGCCCTGTATCCCTCGTACAACTCCGCCTCTCTCGCCTCCGCATTCGGAGGACGGATGCGGCGCCTGCGGTGCCTAGTGTACTGGCGTCCCGCAACAGTGCACGCCTTGCGTAGAGCTGCCAGCTCTTGCGACCACCAGTACACCTGGCGCAGATGATTCAGATGACACAGACCTCCCCCTCCGTTACGGAGTCGTCCAGGCCCAAAATTCTGACATCCAGGCATTTGGTGGGCCTGGACACGCGAACCTCGTCCGCACTGAGGTACGCCCTAAGCCTCTCGGCCGATGGGCCGCTGGTCACGCCGGGGACCTTGTCTGATGTGTAGTGAGTCGTTTGAAATGTGTTGTTGATTCAAGATCGTTTAAAAATGCGATACAGATTTAGATAGTAAAGTCTGGTCATTTCTGCGCCCCTCCAGGGTCTGCGCCCTGTGCCTGGGCACCGCTGGCACCGCCCTATTTACGGCGCTGCCAACATTTTAACGATAAAATAAAATTATCATAAAATATTTTAAGTGAAGACCTTAAACCGTCATCAAAATTCTATTAAAATAGATATAATAAGGCCGAAAAGAAAAGATAAAAATTCTATAAAGAAACGAATAATAAAATATTGAATGAGAAACTCTTCAGTTACCTAATTAAGCTAAGGATACACTGGTACACTACAACACAAATGTCTACATATATCAGCGACATGTCGAGTGAAGCCGGCCGATGTCGCCTAACATATACAATGACAACGTGCAACTTATGTCCAGATTGACGATTATGTTGCCAGACATGTCGACTAAAGTCTGGCGACGTCGCGCTACTTCACTCGACGGCGTTGGCGACACGTGCCACAAGACCTAGTGTATCCTTGGCTTTATATCATGACAGTGTGTGTGAGTACATGAGTTATAAGAAGGTAGGTAACACCTGTATACTGAAAGGCTAGTACCTAAATGTTAAATTGTACTTAAATATCGCGTTCTCTCTGTCAGTTTACTAAGAATTACTAGTGACAGAAGTATACCTACGCGCGATTTAAAATCGAGTAGCCTTTCAGTATTCGGGCGAAAATCCCTTCCCATTTATTTGCAAAAACAGTTATTAACAACATTAACAGGGATTCAGGGAACCTATTCAAAAACGAGTTTAAGACTAACTATCACAGTAGTGTATGTTAACAATATAGTGGCTGTAGTGGGGATAGTTATTGCTACACGGGCCCAGGCTATGAGGGTCCTAAAAGAACATACATAATATAAGGAAAAAAAAGGACAAAATTTAAAAGTCGACGACGAAATGTTGGTGTTTACTCGTTCTTAGGCCCAGCTTGATTCGAATCAGGGGCCCCCTTACCCTAATCCGACCCTGTAAGTATCTATCTATAATTATGTATGTGTGCACCTAAATGTGCTTGTAAACTTCATTGCCTAATTTTTACGTCACATCTCTGCCCTCTTTCTCCGTGTTACAAATCTAATACTATCAGGCCTAAACACATAAACGATAACTTAACATGATTTTCAGTTAACAATCATGTTTGTACAAAACGCCATCTAGCGGCAGACACTAGAAATAAAATACGCGTAAGTATTGGGTATAAAAACATTGGCAGTATTTCATGTAGTTTCTAATACAATGGCATTGTTGAAAAATACTATGAATTTTGTAAGTTTTGCCTTATGAATTAGTTAATAATATTGACAAGTTTTCTATTGGTAGCCAACTTGGTCCATGCCGGTGTTTAAGCTGTAGTTGCGATACATTCCCGCTGCCGAAAGCTTGTTCGTGAACGTCTGTCCCGCGGGGAAGAACACAGATGGCACTGAATAGTATCCTGTAAGAAAATAATTGTTGCATAAGAAATATTTCACATTATATAGCCACAATTGTTAGTTGTTTAGAATATGCACTTAGATATTTTAAAATTTAACAAATAGGTACGAAAAATAATTTACAATTGCCAAATATTATATGCATGATCAAAGTTTATCATACGGTTAGCTACCGTATGATAACTGTTTAATTTTAAAAAATCTTATTTCTTTAAGGAAACATCTGTTAAGTGCTTCTCAGGTACACTTTTCAAAGGTATGCTAGAGCTATGAAAGAACCTACAACAACTTGTGTCATTTATTGTAAGCGGAAAATCATCAAAATCTCTTCAACTATCAGTGTCTTACATGCAAGCTGTGGTAGTGATCAGTGATCAGAAAAACCAGGAACAACAACTGTGGAATCTAGAATTTAACAAAACAAATCCAGTGAGGAAACCATATCCGCTACATGTTTTGTCGCAGTTGCTTTGCTAAGCGTGCTGTCAATACTAACACTTATTCCTAAGCAGATTACAAGCAAATTAAATTAAACAAAATATAAAACAAAAAGTCCTAAATAATAATTTATTAAAGAAACTTAGGACGGATTTTTCAATCAACAGATAATTCCTAATTGTTGAAGAAACATCAACAACATCAACAGCTTATAAAGTAGCTACTACTGACCAAAGGCCTCTTCTCACACGGAGAAGGTTTGAGCATTCATCGCCACGCTTGCTCAATGCGGTTTAACAATTTCAAACTTATGATGAGAAATTATAACTTTAGGTTTTCTCACGATGTTTCCTTCACCGTTTGTCTGTGCTATCTAAATAGTATTAAAGTACATTTAACTCGGAAAAAGTTGGCTCTTGGTAGGCTTCGAACCAGCACCCCTATGCATGAGAAACGGGCGTCCTAAACCTCCCCGCCACCACGACACTTATACTGTAGAATAAAATTGCCATTTGACAGTTTTTAATATGAAAGAATTGTCAAATATTCAAACTTATTATTCCAATTTTATGTGACACGGTTACCACTCAAGAAAGAAAAAAAAACTGGCGTTCGAAAATTGGTACTTAAACGAACACAAGCTTGCTGTACCTAATACTAAAAAGATAGGCTTAAACATAAAAATTGCGTATTAAATTAAAAATACTAATATTTGCTTATTTGTTACAATGTGTTTAGAATACATGCAAAGTACGTAAGTGTAAAAATGCCTAATAATAATTTGATCAGGTATATTATCACCAATTTTATTAAACGTTTGAACGATCGGCCCCCGTGTTCAAGGAATAATTCCGGAACATTCCAGACCTTTGCAATGCCTCAGAGAATGATTGCCTTAGAGGGAAATAGTCAGAGCTAACTGAATGCCAACCTAAAAAATAGACAAAAATAAATAACTCGCTTAACAAGAAAAAAATTCAAATCCGTGAACCGAGAGAAGCTATTCTTAAAAAAAAATATTTAAGTATTCCTATTTTAAAATTTTAATTAATTAATTTTAATTTTCCCTGCGATTTTAGCATTATTTTATTGTATTTATTTGAAAAAGGAAATGTATGGCATAGATATTTATTTTATGGATCTCTTAGATATCCGAAATAATGATTTTTATTTTATTTTTTATTCCAACATTCCATTCGTTTACTGTCTATGATAGCTGTACATAGAATTATTAAAAAAAATAGGTAGCTACCTTAGTAGAGCTGTAGTTTAAAATGCGTCTAGTACTTAAACTGCTGGTTGTATTTTCATAAAATGTAGCTTAGAGTCACTGTGATGACAGCCTTATAGGCTTTTAATTAAAATTAGCAACACTTAAATCGGTTTATTCGTTCTGGAGATACCGTGCCAGAGACAGAATCACAGGGACAAAAAGACAGGACAGATTTTTTCGTAATCCAATGACGTAAAACTTCAAATACTAAACAGAACAGAATTACCTTTTGTCAGTTAAATTAATTGTGTACGAAAATTTAGACTTTCTTAGTCTATAATCTTTATATTATAATCTAGTAATCATTAACTAGACTTCAATGAAAGTAACACACGAAATTCTTAAATACATATCCATAACTGTTAGGTCAAGCCCAGCAGTACCTAATATTGTAAAAAAAACTTTTTTTCTGCACCAACAAAGAAACAGTTCGTGTTTGTGGTATTAAAAAAAAATATACATATTCTAATTAAGCTTGAAATAAGATACAAATTTATTTACCTGGGGGATACCACCCATATTCATTAGAACTGGTTCTATAAAATGGATGTTGCTTGCTTACTTGACATCCATAGCCATTGAACCAATCTGTAACGAATAACAGAACAATAATTAAGTAAAATATCACAGAAAATAACTATTGATAAGAAATAGGTACTAACAAAACCCGCAAGTATTTTCTTGCTATCTTTTTATGCTGATCTGAGGCCTTAGTACGAGTTTATTTTACGTTTAAAGTAATCGTAACGAATACTCGTTCGGCGCTGTGATTGGCCGGCTCCAATTAACAAACCAATCAGAGAACAGAATGCCGTCTCGTTTCGATTACTTTAAACGTAAAAGATACTCGTACTAAGCCCTCAGTACGCCGAACGCGTTCTCGTTTCGAATACTTTAAACGTAAAACAAACTCGTACTAAGGCCTCTGTAGTACGATGAATTCGTCGAATGAAAGTCGTGTTTTCTGCAAACTAAGTAAATAGCTATATTACTTTTAAAATCTGATTGATAGGACTAGTGTGTTGTTGCTACCTATTTAAAGTTACTAGCTATCCCTAAAGTCCTGTGACTAATTTCAAGCTACATTATTACATACATAACATACATGACTGCCTCGTTGGCCGAGTGGTCGCAAGTGTGACTGCCGGGCAAGGGGTCTCGGGTTCGATTCCCGGGTCGGGCAAAGTATTATTGGGTTTTTAAAAAATTCTCAGAGTCTGGAATTGTGCCCGGTATATGGCAATAGACTCGCCCCCTATTACATGAGACTCATAACAGACTCATAAACAAAACAACATGAAAAGTGGGTGTTACATTGTACAGTGGCATAATGTGCACCTCTGCCTATCCCTTCGGGGATAAAAGGCGTGATGTTATGGTAATCATAATATAAGAGTCACGTTTCGTTCCTAAGCACTTCTCCAAAAAATTCAAGCTCAATGGCTCCTAATTAGGTATAGGCACAATACAAATCATTTCTAAGTCATTCAGTTTGACCTAAATATAATATAAGTATTCTGTACAATATGCGAACAAAGTCTTGAAAACGAAGGAACTATTGAAAGTGTTCATTCGTGTATAAAATACGGGATTCAAGAAGCATTTCGCTTCCATTATGTAAGTTAGCACGTGCTAAGGTTCAGAATCTCCAGTAAGATGTGGAGATATATTTTCATTGTAGCAAAATGAGAGTTGAAAGTAGAGGATGTAATAAATTATTCCACGTCTGTAATCCCCGGGTAAGAAGTATTGCTGAAGCTACTCGTTCATTCTCGTTTATTCATTATTGATTAGGATGGTACCCGCATTGTTTTTAACGAGTTTACCAAAAGGATCAATGACACTATTAAATTATTCAGCGTACATAAAGTAAAATTGTCATCGTCAACCTACCAGTTACATTTTCTTATACGGTTCTTACCAAGAAGTAATAGCTTTTACAAGTACGTATGTATATAGGTATCTAAAATATTTAAACATTTATATAACACGCAGTTTTACCAAATTCGATATTCATAAATCATGACCTAGATTAGCGCATAGAATACTGAGTTTTTCCTTAAACAAAAAAGCGAGTTTATTTGTCGATAGCAAAAACTGAACTGTACATCATTTTTGGTCCTATTGTAGAGCATGTTAGCTATAACGAAACTTTGTATATCTACCTTACCTTAAAGATTACTTATCCAGCCTAAAAACCCAACAATACCCAAATAACATATACCAACCAACCCAAAAGGTACTCTTCATGTTTAGTAGACTTTACAAATTGGCAGCAATACAATATAAATATGTATGTACAATAAATAATCCTTTTAAATAAGAAGTTGTTGAACAAAATATATACATATTTGTATGTAAATGTAGGGTCTGCGTTTGAATGAGTAGTGCGTAACGCTTGCGACAGAGTGACGACAAAACGTCCGCATCATCACGTATCATACGCCGGCGCCTCACTGTCGGGACCGTCCTTGTGAAAACAATTGTTCTACTGTAGTAGCGAATGGGAAATATCACGATGATTGTGCAATTGTTCAGAATATCAATACATTATCCTATATTAATGTATACTTAAATAACTCACCTGAAAAGACTGACGAAAGACTGAAAACACTAGGGAACAAGTAATTATAACCATAAAACTTATGTATTTGATTAGTTTCTTAGATTTTAGATAATTGAGTCTCACAGTTAGACACATTAGTTAGGGCTACGATCAGGTAGAATAATCCGATGTTGTCATTCAGTAAATCGTGTTAAAAATCTGCAAACTACTTTGTTAGTTTAATCTGAAATTGATACTAAGCTAGATTCCGGGATGAAGCAAATAAAGTTTTATGCCGCGCTATTACACAAATAACCAAAAATATCGAAAGTAAAAACGAATTAGGTACATCTAGATTTCATTTTCTCAAACTTCGCTAAGTCTATTTAGTCGATACGACCGGATGGCGTAATGGGCATAGTTAGTTCTCGCATACATAACTTCATTATATGAACCATATAGCATATTCCGTCCGGCCCCTTACTTGGTACGACAAGCATTTATGTTGTTATTGTACACTAAGTGCGCATTTGTCCCTGGCCTAGTCCAGAAATCCGGACCCAAGGTTAGTTAGAGGCCGACTGACTAAAGATTTTTCTGACGAACCATTTATTTAATACCAAAAACTGTTGTAGTTATTACGTTAAAGAAACATGGTTTATTAATATATTTAGGATCACCTTCTCAATGTTACAATTTTGTGAATTTTTATACATATTTGTAATTGGATTGTTTTGTGATTCCATCTACAAATGAGATATGTAGTTGATCTGTTTATATTACTGGTAACTGGTAGGTGGTAAAGCTACAAGACACTTGTTTATAAGACTTATGCTTTTTTATTACATAATAATAAAAATAAGTCGAGTTTTTCTCCTGACGCTATCCTGACTCCAGAACACACGAACCGATTTCCACAGTTTTGCATTCGTTGGAAAGGTCTCAGGGTCCGTGAGGTTTATAGCAAAGAAAATTCACTTTTAATCACCAAACGAAATGCTACATAAAACGAAGCCATCTGGTGGCGAAATGGAATTCTATATTATTCTATATAAGGTTTGCTAGTTCGCCGGGTTACATAATAATAATTATAATTCTTTCAGAAATTCATAACTAAAGCCAACATTTACACGAGTCTTAAATAAACTTTGACATTTTTATATTTTCATCATGCTCATTTGAATACTTAGATGAAAAGTTTTTCCCTTATTATTTATATTTATACCTATCAGTGGCCACGAAACTGAAATTACTTGGTAAACTTGGATCGAGTGCTGAATGAAATTTTATTTGATAAACCCTGTTTACGAAAACTTTATGATGAATTTAATTAAAACTAATTCAAAGAAATGGGACGCTTCACTGCGCCGTCCAAATTATTTTTCGATAGGTCATATTCTCAGAAGTTCTTAAATGCTAAGATTATTATTATTAACCTAAGAAATCAGAAGTTCAATATATGTACATATATTCGCAGATAAAATATAAACTATGAAAGTTAAGTCATCTACAAATTCTCAATTAACTGCTACTGTCCGGTCTCAGGTGGATACATAGTCATAACGAACAGCCAACAGCTAAAAAATCGGACAACTAATACATATAACCAATATTTTTCACCCATCTTCGCAACCTTTAATATGTTATCCAAACTAATTACTTAGGGTCCAAGTCTCCCCAGGTGAGATCTCAATTAATAATTATTTGCCAGAGTCTGTATTTCCTGAAGGGTATAACCTGGGAGTCTTCAAGGCCCGAGTGAATAGGTTGCTTCTGGGACGACGTGCTCCATCGGTGACCGCATCATCGCTTAGCACCAGGCGAGATAGTGGTCAAACGTGGCTCCATCAAATATATAAAAAAATGGGTGATAAGCCTACAAACCAACTTCCACGAAAAAAAACCAAAGCTGCTATAATGATTTGAATAATCAATAACATAGACTGGTCAACTTACGAGGATGTTCAAATCTTTTTGGAAGATTGCAGGTGGTAAACAGGTCAGAAGTCTTTACATTTGGCTTAGCGATTTCTTCCTTGGCGGATTTCTTATCAGTGCACGTTGCAGAACAGAATCCGGGCTGAGAGGCTGGTGGGGGAGGGAGAGGTAGGCTTGGTTCTTGCGGCTGGGCTACGTTTCCTTCAGCCATATTCCCCTCAAACTTCTAAATATACAGATCTCGTCTCAATATCACTCAATCTAAACGGAAGTATCGTATTTAATTTCGCAAGAATCGGACGATTGATCGACAAACAAAGGCGTCGTCGTGACAACTTGACTGATTTGTTTTCCCTGGCAACGTTATTACATTGTTATTCGAAAAGTATCGAATATTGAGAAAAATGTTTTTGCCATTGAACCACCGACTGACTACGGACAATAAACGATAAATGGTGTTAGCCTAAGATCCCACGTGAAACGACCTTCACCGAGATGCTTAGTTGATGAAACATATTTTATATTATGGAAAAATCAGTCGTTTACTATTTATTTTAGGGTTAATTTTAAAATGATATTTTGCATTGTTATGATAGATTGCAATAATGATTATGGCAATATTAAAATTCAAGGATCGGCTTGCAATAATTAAGTTGGGCTTCAAAAAACAAGTAGCTTTATCAGTTCGCCATACTTAAAATATAAAGATCACCGTATACTAGAACAAATGGTTATTCTTTTTGTTCTGAAGTAAACGAAATTTTTTATGATAAAATGAATTAGCTTCATAAGTTTTCTTTTACTAAATAAACTACTCAGATACTGTACTTAGGTACAAAGTATATTAAAGTGCAAAAGTACATTAGGTAAATAATATTATTTTCTATACGCAACTATTAGATTTTCCCAATATTTGCCTCATATGAAAAAAAATCCCTAAATCTCCCACACATATAGGTTAAGTTGTGCTATGACAAATAATACTGATCTACAAATGAATACAAATACCAATGCCCGCAGACCTTAAGCTCATTGGGCATGCATTCGAATGAATATATTACTCGTTATCAACACTATCAGGAGCCAACCGACACAAACGAGTGGGAGACTATCGCCTCCCACCCTACTGTGTCACTCACTACGCGACTGCTATTAACTGCTCACATTTTAAACTTAATTATTAAACAATCCAGTGGCATAGAGCACAATCCCGTGTAACGTAAACAAAAAGTATAATAACACCAAAAATTTATATTTTTTCTAAAGTCATATAGACAGTCAAATCAAAACGTCAACAACTGTGAAATCAAAATAAATAAATCATAAAATATCACAACAATATACCAATAAGTATAAACAAATCAATATGCAAACGATAAGCGTCCAGCAACCAATTAATTTGAAAGTCGTGAGGTTCGAATTAGATTTTTCAGACTTAGTGAATGAAAATCCGAGCCCTGTAAGAAGGAAATCCAAGAAAATTAAGGTTCCGAAGATCAACAACAAAAAGCAATCTGCCATACCGCCCCCGCCGTTGTTAAAGAATACTTCTCAGGTACGCAATTGCTATTCAAAGGTAATGGAAAAATAATATATCGAAGGCTTGGAAGGGACGGGGAAATTGTATAAGATTTATTTGGTTTATAAGTAACATTGTTTGGCAAAAATATAAGTGGTCCATGTTTGCTCTGCGATACATAATATTAATTTATGCGCAGTTGGCAATTAGATGTTTGTAGGCCTATTTGCTCTTTTCTTTAATTTTATGAAGCCTGCTTTTTCTTTTCATATCTATCTCTCTATCATTCATCATCTCGCCTTCCTTTTCGCAACGTCTCTTTCTACATTTCGTTTTCGTTAACTTTTCTATAAACTCCCTCTTGACCCTTTAAAGTTTCATATCCCAAAGAGACATACGTTTTTTAATCCATGTACACATTAGTCATGTAAACATTTACAAAAGTGATATATGTACCTATATTATTTTCAATATCCAAGATCCGATACCTCGTTTAATATACATCGTGTATTCCTATCTTTTGAATTAATCCTTTAAACCGATTGTATTAAGACTTTACAAATAGGTCATGCGATGAATAAATCCACTTTCGTTTGAAGCTCTTTTATGAAAATAATTTTCTTATGAAAACCGATGGTAGGGACCTATTGTTAAAAATCTATATACGTACTGAATTTAACCCATAGGTACTCTACTGCTATTATATCAACAATGACAAAAAATGTATGATTCTCTATTCTATTCTGTTGAGTAGAAATACACCGTATTTTTTTTTATAGCATAAGTCGGTATACGAGCGGACGGATCACCTGATGGTAAGCAATCGACGTCGCCCATGGACACCTGGAACACCAGAGGCGTTACAAGTGCGTTACCGGCCTTTTGGGGATTAGGAATTTGAGGATCGTTGGGGATTCAGGAATTGGGGAAGGGGAGGGTAACCTCACTTACACGACGAAACACAACGCAAGCGTTGCTTCACGTCGGTTTTCTGTGAGGCCGTGGTATCACTCCGGTCGAGCCGGCCCATTCGTACCGAAGCATGGCTCTCCCACACTAAAATAAATTATTTCGTCCCTTTCGTGTATATAAATGTACCTAATTTTAGTTCAATTTTAATTTTATGTTTAACTCAGAAACCAGGTGTTAAAGACTTGGTAGAAGATTTACTTGACCAATTGTATTCCAAACAAAGGGACTGGAGTGGGATCGACTGTAGTCAGTAAGTATCATTAAATCATTTATATTTATGATATTCATTTTGCAACTAAGCTAATACCTAAGTACTATGTTTTGGGCACAAAAGGTGGCTTCAAAATAAATCAGTCATACTGTTTCAAATATACAATGTTTAGCGATGAAGACTAATGTCGATAAGCGCATTATAAGAAGTTCAGCGGTGGACTATTCGTTTTTTTTTTTAATAAACATTGCCCCACACTAGGATTTTCTCATGTGTCGTGGGTGCGTTTACAAACACAAGTTCACATACAAGTAACACCCAAACCCGGAACAACAATTCGTGGATCACACAAAGAGATGTTCCGTGCGGGAATCTAACCCGTGACACGTTACGCGGCAGCCAGTGGCCCAGTCACCGCGCCAACAGTGCAGTCACTAATACAGTTTCCAATCCAACCAATAATTTACTATTATTATTAATTTTTATACTTAGATCCACGTCAGCATCGTTTACTTCTTGCCAATCGAATTGTGGGGAAAAAACTGAAGCGATAGAACGAAGTTATTTGGAAGCTTTGGGTATGTTCTTTCATTATCATCTGTGATTTCAGTGACTATAATATAACATAACATAACATCACGCCTTTTATCCCCGAATGGGTAGGCAGAGGTGCACATTATGCCACTGTACGATGTGCACTTTTCACTATTTATGTTATGAGTCCCATGTAATAGGTGGTGAGAATATTGCCATATACCGGGCACAATTCCAGACTCCGTACTACTACTGAGAATTTTGTTAAAACTCAGTAATACTTTGCCCGACCCTGGAATCGAACCCGAGACCCCTTGCCCGGCACTCGCACTTCGGCCAACGAGGCAGTCTATAATATGTGTATGTTTAATAATTGGCTATATTTAGATTGCATGTTTACAATTGAAAAACATTTAATTAATGTTTCTTCTATTACTGTGCAGTATCTATACTTAGGAATCACTCCTTTTAAAGTAAACTCTTTGTAATTTAAGTTAACTTTTGGTTACAAAGAATCTTACATTTCCAATTTATTTCCAAACAAAAACATCTAATTCTATTTTCTACCTTCCTAACATTTGACTCTCATTTCCCAAATAATGCCTTCAGGGTTTGACCTTTGGAATTACTTAACAAAGTGAAGATAAAATAAATAAAATATTTTCCTTTTATATTGTCAACAATAATCGATTATACCAATTAGATAAAACATCACGCATTATTAGCTTTAATTATTTTGTATTCCAAAATTAACTTTATTCATATTGACAATATCGCGGAGAACCTAACGGGTAACCGGGGCTCCGGCTCGACGTGCAGGAGAAGGAACGGGGTGGTTTTTAGTCAGTAAGAGTCTGACACTCCCTCCCGCCTCACCCAGGTGGGAGCAGCCATTCGATGATTTTCCCCCCTTAAAAAAAATAAATTCATATTCACAATGAAGTTTATTATTACTTACACTTAATTAGAACATTTTTATAGAAATCAATGAACTTTGGGAGCAAAAGGTCGAATGGGAAGAAAGACTTCAAGCAACGGGAGAGAGACTTGCGAAATGCGTTCGAATTCGAGACCGTCTGCGGCGGCAACAGAACAGAATCTGCGCGGCTTTCACCGTTCTTTTACGACATATTAGTAAGTTTACTCATTAACTTAAAAAGCCACTAAATTCTACTAAAATCTTCTTGACATTTATACAAGTTTCATAGTCTGGTTGCCCATCCACCTTAATGCTTAACTTTCCAACGAACTGTCAAACAATCCCAGTCATTTCAAAACAAAGCTACAAATACTTTATACAGATTGTAATCGTTAGTTTAAGTGATCAAGTTGCAGTGCTTCCAACAAACTTCTTAGACAGTTTTGTCTGTAAACTTTGTTATTCGCAATGTTCACTGATCGATACATTTATTATATCGAGGTTCTATCACGATCGAAATAAATATATTCTCAAAATTAAACACCGTTTAATGTCCGTAAAGGGCTTCCATAACTCGCAGAATCAAATTTCGTTATTACTGTTAATGGATCGCGCATCTTCGTCAGCCAATTTTACTATAATAACGTCATGCTTTGGTACTTCATCAAAAGCTCTTCATACAAATACATCAGGTAAACAATGAATGGTTCCCTGAATTACAGTTTCCAATGAAACATTCATAGATAGTCGATATCACAACAGTTTCATTCATGGGAGCTTAAAATAGATTTACGCATATCAAAGCGAACTTTGCTTGGTATGGGGTGCTGTTCCCGTCTATCTGTTTCCGAAACTGACGTACACAGCGGCGCTCAATCGATACGTAACGCACACAACCACAAGTCCGGGGTTCCAGTGCGCATGCTCACCACCTTGTACCACGAAACTCTGTCACAAAACAATACGACAGGAGTCTATTTTCCGTCTGAGCGTGCAGGCATTTGATTCCAAGTGTACACTGAAGTCCTGATGTCCCATCCGGTACTTTGGTACGCGGTTGGAAGCCCCGCCGCTTCGTATCACGACTTTCCCAGTAAACATCACATCAGCTGGTCGACTACGCAGTCTCAAATGCTCGCGAGATATGGCTCATAATTTTTCGCATTTTCGTTACAAATCATTGGTACCTTACTGTGAAGTTTGTGGTAAAGTTAGTTGTTAGCGCTAGGATGTCGTGTACGTATCCGCCTGCAGTACCACTGCATAGACTTAAGCCGTCAGGTCGTTAACTTAGTGCTTAGTGGTTATAAAGATATGCGTTTATTGTCAAATGCGTGCCACTTACAAGACAGATGAGTGCACTCCTAAACTCCCTGAGGAGCTTGGCAGGTGCATCGAAGGCCAGCTCAGGTATGTTGATTCATTTATTGCAAAATGTTCGCAGTGGTCAAGAAGTAACCCAAGAAACCTTTGAAGTACCGCGTTTGTAATCTTTGTTGTGCCTATCATAGACCGTTTCTACGTTTTAATGCTAAATACGTACTGGAACAAGTTCGGTATCGATTCATAATTTTATTACTTTAATATATTAATCACGAGACTAATAGGCGCTCCTTCTTTATGCTCTGTACTAAATTGCTTTATTATGTAAATGAGTAGGTCCGTATCCGTCATTAGCGACTATTATGAAATTGTCCTGATTGTTCGAGTGTACGTTTCTGTGAAAACAATTGTGCGTACCAGGACTGCAGCAATTATTCAATTAATGTTATGTTATGCAAGTATGTTCACAAAACTATCTATTATAATGAGTTACGTATTAGGGGCTATTAACCAAATATTTTTATATACATTACGTTCTCGTCATAGTGAGCATTATATGGAAGTTCTTATAACGTCAAAACATAAATAATAGGTTATATTGTACTGGAATGCTAGATAACCTATATGAGTTTTTAGGTTATGAAAACTTCTAATAGACATTAGTGCTGATGAAGAAACGTATTTGCGGATAGTAGAACATATTTTTAATACCACATGAATAAAATCTTATAAAATTAACATAATTTTATTCATCAATGGAGCCATTTTCGAGCAATACCTAATTGGCTAATTCTATATGTTTTTCTGAATGTTCTGTACTCTGATTTGAAATTCATATTTTTATTAAAGAACCTACCCGCAAAGAAATCATAAACTTTATTTATATTTATCATTAAAGCAAGCAATTTAAAAAATACAAAATATATTCTGTACTTCCGCGTTTGATTTATACGGTAAAGCTTGATGGTGGATGATCATCATCGATTCACTTCATCATTATCATCAGCTTGGATTACATTATACGAATACGGGCAGTAGGTAATGGATATTTACCTCAATTGGCATTTTTCTTAGCAGGCCAAAATAGTGGCCTGTCCATCCTGCTACTTCCCGTAATTTGGTGTTTCTTTGTATTTTACACAAGCCTTGTCCCGATAATAATGAACATAAACAACTCGGTGTATTTATGCTATAACCAAATTTTGCTATATAGCAGGCGAAAGTGGTGCTCGTTTCGGAGTGACGCCGGGCGGAGGCGAAGGCCCGGGCGAGGGCGGTTACGCGGAGTGGCTGCATGCGATGCGCCTGGTCGCGCGCCTCCCCGCCGGCGTACCTCAACATTTTCGCAGAAAGGTAACTATACTTACCTTACCTATAAATAAATCTACTCTCCACTGCTCTAATCCAAAGATGATTGGGTTTTGCACAATATGTCGTCTTTGTCTATTCTGAGGAGAATAGGCAGTATAGTTATCGATCTATATACCTCTATATAGGAGGTAGCAAATATCAATCTCTTTTTCTTTTATGGCTTTTAATCGTTCATCCAGCTTTTCTATGGAAGTCCTCTTCTTTTCTATTAATCTATATTTAAATACGACACGGTCTTTGATAACGTACCATGATTTTCATCCATCTTTATTAACATACCATGCTTTCGTGGTTAGTTACGACTATTTAAAAAAAATCACACTATAACTAATTTTGGATGTTGGTCCGTCAATCACGCTGAAACTACTGAACGGGTTTTTATGAAATTAGGTATGCAGGCAGGGTATGGGCTGACTTAGGTGATAGGATACTTTTTATTCCGATTAAATGCTCCCATGGGATAAAACTGATATCATATTCCACTCGGATGAAGTCGCGGGCAATAAACAGCTAGTTTAATATAATTATCATTTGATTTTAAACTTTTTTCCAATTTTCACTCTTCATTATATCTTTCCCGCTGACTAAACAATCAATAAAAGTAGGAATAGGCATCTAAGCGTATTGGTAATAAAAATAGCTTAGGTCACCGTCCATCGATTTTACTGACCCACCGAAAATATTATTGGAAATATCAGAGGTTTGTTCTCTTTGTGAAAAACTCGAATATGTACTTAAATAACTATTCATAGAAATATTGGTAGCTCTTAAGTGGAAATACAAAGGCATACAGCTTTTCATACAAGCAGGAAGTATGTGTATAACGTAGCTTATACGTATTTCATAAATAAACTTACTTGTTTGAAACTAAGTTATCATAATAAACTGAGTGTAGATACTAAACACATTTCAGTTTATTTACTTTTACTTTAACGAAGATATACTCTGAACCTTCGTAAAGATTACTCGAGCCAACCTTTTGTAAATAAGTTACTATTGACGTCATAGCTATTTACATTTCTCCTGTACGACCGTGTATCGTTGATTTTCAGTTACTTGACATATGTAAATATGTTTGTTGTTTAAAATATGAAATATAGTAATATCTAACACTATTGGAGAAACAGAAAACAATGGTAGTCTCATTAACTGATTTAATTACATAAATATTGTAATCTTAACAATTTTTCGGCTAATTTTTGAGAAATAATTATGATATTCGGTCAAAGAAGTCCCACGTCACGTCTTACATAAAAGTCGCTATGCACCTAACGTTTTTGACTTCATAAAAGTATTGAATTAAATTAGTTAGAAAGTAGATACCTTATTAAGGTAAGAATGGCAACTAATTATAAATAAAATTTCCCCATGTTCTTGTTCATACTCAAGTCTAAAGATATGAGTTACTAAAAATCGCGGGTTACTCTCGTAAATATACTGAGAAAAGCTCTACTAGTTCCGAGCCACAGAGGGGCTCTTCCTCATGCGCAGCGTGGAAAAGCCCCTTTGTAGTAGTTAATTTAGTATATCTCACGATAGTTATTATGAAAACATATGAGTCACTTTGTATGATTGTATCGGTTGGTCTGACTTGGGCTGTATTGTGACTTCGAGCCCATTGTTTACCATTTCACATCGCGTAATAGATGTGGCCGAACAAAGAGAATACTGTGGTAATTTCCACATCAAAATGTAGGTGATAGGTACTTAAAATTTAATTGACTTCTAAGTATTAGAGGGTTTGTAATGACTTGGCATAGATACACATATTTACTTCTTGTTTTCCTTGCTTTTCAGTTTATTAAGTGATTTGATGAAACTTCGGAACTGGTTTATGATCAAATTGTAAGATAGTAAGTGAAAGAATGCCACAAATCGACCAAAATAGGAAAAAATATAGAAAGTAGGACTAACCGAAAAACAAATTAAATTAGTTTTTCCATTCGGTACCTATAAATTGAATTACTTCTTTTCGACTTTTGTAAACAATGTTAGTATTGATAGATTTTCGAATAAGCTTTTAAGGGTGGCCTTTTTTGTTAACCCTTTTCATAAATTAGGAGATTCACTATTCTGTTGGCATTTTCTTTTTATGTATTGTATATTGATTACTTCGTGGTTTCTTTTCTAACTTTCCATCGGGTTCCAGAACTTTAGATCAGTATTTTTTATTTCATGATAATTTTTTGTCATCTCAGCTATGGCTGACGTTGGCGGAGCGTCATTTGACGGCGAGGGGTATAGACTGGCCGTCTGCAGAGCGCGCTTGCTTCCGCGGGACCGCACAACCCGATGACACCGAGCTTGGCGCGCAAATACTCAAAGTAAGAATTTCACTAACCAAAATAAAAAATAAATAAAAATAATATTATGGTTATTTGTACCTTGAATAAGTTCTATAAATTTTAATATAAGTCTCAATTTTATTTACGTCACATCAACATCACAAGCCTTTGTTTATTATATCTACTTAAGAATTTGTAGATTGTAGATTCATGCAAATAAAGGCATAGATTTGGTCTTATTATCAAATAAATTGGATGTCTGTCTGTCTAGTCTAGTCTAGTCTATGAAAAAAATAAGAATACAGAGGCTCTAAGGAGGTTGTCGAAGGGCAAGTAACTCGTTAGAATTTAATACCGTACTTTGTAACAAAATATTCTGCACTAGATTAGAAGAGAATGTTGATTTATTTTTCTCACTGAAACATGATACTTTACTAGGATTTACATCGCACTGGGTGCTCTCTGTTCTGCGGTGCAGAAGGGCGGGAAAATCAGGCGATGCTTCGAAGAGTGCTCTTAGCGTATGCGAGGTAATTTCAACTGTTTAAAATTTATATAACCCTGCCTTAGTACCAAGATACTATTATCGGGCTAGATCCAATAAAAGATTCAGTGATTGAGTGTGATACATATTTCTAGGTGGAATAAGGATGTCGGATACTGCCAAGGTTTCAATATGTTAGCAGCCATCATACTAGAAGTCATGGACAAATCGGAATCGGACTCGCTAAAGGTAAAACGACACATATGTACGTATTTAATGTTTCGTCTTTCTATGACGTTGCCAACTCTAATGTCCAGAATTTATATCTCAGTGTAGATTGCCCAACTCTCGGTGATGTTTAGTTTCAAAATATCATGCTACAGCACATAAAGACGGAGATAAACCGCAGCAAAAAGCTAATATAATAACATTTTGTTTACGACAAACTAGAAGGGTCAACTAACAAAGTAACTAACTAACTTCAAATAACTTCGTAACTATTACGACTTTGTACAAAGGTTACCAAAAGCTGCTTTGCCTTAACATTTACTTCTTTAGGAAAATGGAAGATATAAGATGTATGAATTGTTCAATTTATGGAACTAGTGTTAAGCAACAGTGTTCCCTTGATTGTCGTTTGTCAACTACGATCTCCACGAAAAGAAATTTTAAATTTAAGCCCTTTTAACTTCTTCAGTCAAAAGAGCCGCTTTTGTTCAACAGTTGACATCTTCCGACAGATGTTGACGATGATTTTGTTATTTTTGTAGGTAATGATATACTTGGTGGAGGCTGTGCTTCCTGAGGGGTACTTCGCAGATGACCTTCGCGGCTTGTCTGCCGACATGGCGGCATTCAGGGATCTCCTACGACTTCGCTTGCCTCGGTTAGCGCAACACATGGACCATTTGCAGAGGATATCTGATGGTAAGCAAAATTGTGTGTCCAATGTAAAGGTAATGAAAGTAATAATACTTTAAGTCAGGGCTTTACTGGTCGTCAGTTCATCTGAAGGTTAAGATGTAAGATTTACTTAAATGATGTTCAATTAAAAACAAAATCTATGGAACTTGTTTTTCTAGGTGGTGGTGTTGAACCGCCTCTACCTGATGTATTTACCATGCAATGGTTCCTTACATTGTACGCCACATGGCTGCCCAGGGAATTCCTCTTGAGGATATGGGATTTGGTACTCTTGGATGGCAATGAAGTGCTACTACTTACCGCGCTGGCGATATGGGATATGCTTCAAGAGTAAGTTTTGTTTTCATTTTTTTTTTGTTTATAAGATTTTCGACCTTAAGATTTTGCAATTTATTTGATAATCTATCAAACGTGTTTTACAGTTTAGGAACGTCCAATTGTACAGAGTAAAGCCATTTTGTGTCATATAAATGAAATGCTTTGTTTCAAAGGAAATGTTCTATTTTCTTCAGTCACTCTTTAATTTAACGGATTTTATCTTCGAATGAAACCAATATGCGCTGTTTATTATAGAAATAAATTGCTAACATAAAAGTTTACAGCTAAGGTTATAGGCTAACATGTTATTCTATCCTTAACCTATACCTATTAGATTTAAATACAGCGTCTATGTATATTGTCATAAAAAGCAGGCATTAACTTAAATGTTTTTCTTTCATAGTATTTGTTTCATAGACTGTGATGAATAAAATAAATGTTTTAATTACAAGGAAAATTAAACTAATTGAATAAATGACATCATTCCACCGGGAATCCCAAACTGTATCTATGCGTTCCATACAATTGTAATGTGTCTTTAACACAAGATACCTTTTGTGTACATATTAAAGTTACTTTTGTTTAGATTTTAGAAGAATACGTAATATTGTGACTTACTTTACGCGAAAGTTTTACGTATCAGTCATTTTTAAGCGATTTTCTTAAATCAGTATGGAGGGATGAGGGAGATGATATGAAGGGATTTTCACCAATTTTAATATGCAATAATTAAATGACTGAAACCGATATAAAGCGCATAATCGCCGAGACACCCCCGCTTTCCTGTTATCTCTGTTATCGTATCCGAGTTATGACTGATAAGCGATAATAGCACTTAATGCCTATATGGCTTATTCCTGTTTAGGTTACAAGCTAGATATTGAGATATAGGTACTCGAATATTCGATACCGCTTCGATAGACGATTGCCAGAAAGGGCCAGAGACGACCAAAAGCTTTTGTTAAGTCTTGATTAATTTACAAGTTTAGTCATTTACTTATTTTAAAGTTTAGACAACACTGCACTATATATTTCTCACTACCTGAAATGGTTGAAGAAAGCAACACATAAACTCTGTTAGAAAAATGAAACAACAAAGAATGGTTATATTTTTCAGCCGTATTCTGTCGGCCCGGTCTGCGGATGAGTTCTACAGTTGCATGGGTGGTGGCGCCGGCGCTGTATGGGAGGCTGGCGACTCTTTAGTGGCGAGGGTCGTGGCTTTCGGCTCTGCACCGGAGCTGCCCCGACTTCGCAGCCTCCATAGATATCGTGTGGCCCCACCAGCACCACCGACTTCAGCTCCCATATATCATCCACCTTTACATTCTGCAGTACGTCCAACTTTCTTTAATTATGTCCTTACTATCATACTACCACTGTATACAATTTTAATTCCCTTCACCGGGATGAGACTATTTTAAAAAAATCTCCTGTGTCGTGGGTGCGTTTACAAACATACAAGTTCACATATACATGACATCCAGACTCGGAACAACAATCTGTGGATCACACAAAGAGTTGTTCCGTGCGAGAATCGAACCCGCGATACGTTGCGCGGAAGCCAGTTGCTCAACGTCCGCGCCAACCATGCAGTAAAAATATCCAAAAACTTTGACCAGCCTAGACCATCTTGAATTTTCAATGGTGTGCCTAACTTTCATTAAAACAAAGAATAAACGTGTAAATTATGAGTTTAACATTTTAGATGCAGTCAATGACAAAACGTGGTCTACGTCTGTTTTATTCAGAAGATGAAGGGGACTCTAGTGATGATGGCAACAAAATGGCTTTGGCCACGGTAAGAATTTTAGACAAGAAAGCTTTTAATGTCAACACTTCATTGAATGATAAAAATATTTTCTTTTCACAGTTCGTACCTCGACGAGAAGATCGTTTAGCAGCAGGAGACAGACTGTCTTTGGATATCGGTGCATTGAAACGGCAGTACGCTCGCCTAAGAGAACGACAAAGACAAGCACATGTGATACTAGCCGCAGCTTGTGCTCGACACGCTGCAGGTAAAGCATTCTTACACACTACTAAATTAACTAAAAATCGCGGGTTACTCACGTTAATATACTGAGAAAAGCTCTACTAGTTTCGAACCCTCTGTGGTTCTTTCTCATGAGCAAATGCACGGTCGCGGCAATATTGCGCAGCCTACTGCGCGACATCGCCGCTGTTCGTTGGTTCGTCCGTTAATCCAAAATAGGAAAATACTGCAAATAATGTCTCTAGCATTATTTCATTCATTTTTTTTTCTTTCCAGTGGGTGTACCTACCTCCCCGACGTCACTTACAGTTAATAACCTTCTTCTGGGCAAGAGTGCATTAGTTAGCTCCAGAGGAAGAAGACTTGGTCCGCCCCCAGGAGCAATACCACCATCACGACAAACGTCGACTCGTGACAAATCAGAGCCACGCTCACGACAGTCAAGTGACACAATCAGTTGGAATGAAGAAAAAAGCCGTAAGACCCTTAGCAGAAGAAATTCTGTAAAATGGAAAGATATTAAGAAAGATAAAGTGAAACAAAAAGAAAGGAAAGCTTCCATTGATTTAGATGAAGCTGGTGATGGAATTATTGTTTCTGAAATTGAAGCTAACCGTATGATAGCTACTGTGAGGTCTCGTAGCTCCAGTGAAACATCTTCTTATTCGTCACACAGTGCTTCAAGTACAGATACGAGTTTGTGTGATGAAAACGAAAGAGGCAGTGATTCCGAACCAGATATCCCGAATGATGAAAAAGATAAAAGTAACTTGAATGCCAAGTATAAGAATATTTCGTCTCCACCAACTTCTAAACCAAGCAAAAGTAGTCATTCCCTAACTAAAAAAGAACCTGTTCTATTACGTACTCCTGACAAGGAAACAACAATGATATTGGATGACAAACCTATCAAAAATATATCTGAATATTTAGATTCTGCGGCAGGTGAACCGCTCCGCACTTACATTGATGGATTTGAAAGCAAGATAAAGGACAGTTTGAAAATTACTAATGATATCCCTGTTTTCAATCCAACCAGTATATCTCCATGTTCTCCACGTATGACCTCTGAAAGAAATGAAGTATTACAAAGACTTAATAGAACAAAATATGAAGAAAACTCCACAAGTAGAGAAATCACAAGGCCTACAAGTTTTTCAAAGTCACCAAATGTCTTTACCGAACTCAGTCCCATTGATTTATCGCCGTGTAATTGTAGCGTAGGCCCTAAGTCTCCTTACGAGTATGATTTTGAAAAAAACTTCAAAAGACCACCGTTAAGCGAGCCTGAATCGAGACCACCCGATATCATCGACAGTTTCACGATGTATCCAAATTTTGTGCCTGACATAGATTTATCTGATAAGAATATATCTGACTTTGAAAGTCCACCAGGAAGTCCCGGCAGTGAAAGTATCATAGTGAGTGAAGACGAACCGCCAATACCTTTAAAAATTGATAAATACTTTGAACATAGTCCAGAATTTTTTGGTGCGCGAGTTACGGACCCTAATAGTGCAGACATTCCAAATCGGCGATCAACAAAAAGGTTATCACGTCTACCAAAGAAGCCAGACTCATTAACATTACAAGGTAACCATAACGACAAACTCATAAAAGAAGAAGCAGAAAGAGCATCATCTCTACCGCAAAGTCACAGTTTTGCAAAGAAAATTAGTGAGGAGTATAAAGAACTAGACTTTATTGCTGCTCAAAAACGCGAAACTCCAGAAACAAGCAAAGAAGAGAGAGATATTTTTTCTCCTAAAGATTACATTCTACAAACTGGACGAAAAAATAGTGAAAGAGCCTTACAAATAATTCAAGAAAACTCGAAAATTCTAAGCAGAATATTAACAAAACAAAACATGGTCGAAGTAAAGAGTCCTACAAAATATCAAGTCACAAAAAGTGATGAAAATGTTCTCGAGAAACAACGAAATAGTTATTCTAAGACAGTTCCTGAAAAAACTGTTGAGAGTAAGCTCATTGAATCACCTTTACTAAAAGAATCTACCTCTGATTCATTAATAGGCTATAGAAAAAGAAGTGTCAATGTAGGATCAACTGAAAATAACGATTTTGTGCGGATTCGACCTATTTCTATTGATGACCCCTTTTCTTTAGAAATTCGAAACTCGACAACAAGAGAAGAGGAATTTTCAATAAAACACACAAAAAGTCCAAGTAGTGAATGTTTAGGTAATAAGACCGATTTATATGGGTGGGAAAATAAAGGGTTTTTAGCAAAATGTGATCATAAAAGTTTTCTAGAGAAAACTGAAAATTTTGAATTCGATTATCAAAGGAAAACCAGTGATTTGTCAAGTTACGGTGACTTATCAAATAAAGACCTTAAACCTGCAACTACATCTGACTGGACTCGACATTCTTTTTCGGGCGAGTCCAAAGCGTCAGTTACTTTGCCGTCTTCGGAACCAAAAGATACGTCAACATACGAGAAGCGATTTACTTCCGATGACTATAACTATCAATTTTCAAGCAAATATAACGACTTTGTGTTGTCTAAAGCTAGTGATATTTGTAGCAAAACGGTTAACCAAGGACCGAAAGTTTGCGAAAATGTATCTAAGACTGATAACAGCCAAGTTAGTGACTTTGCTCATGTTGTGACCTCTTCTATTAGTTTCACGTATGAACCATCAGCAGAGGACGACTCGCCGACTGGAGCCAAGAGTAACTCTAGTGATACTTTATGTCAAATCACTTCGCTAGATCAAGTATCTACTCCGATATCACCTAAGATATTCCCCAACAGAGAAACTCCCACTATTCCTAAAGACTATACAGAAAAGAGTGATAGAACAAAAGTAGAGTCAGACGATACTTGCAGTGCTATCACGTCGCTCATTGAAACAGATACGTTATCCTCATTGTCTTACCCACGCAGTCCTTCAACAGGCTCCTACCACCCCTTCCCCACGCGTCCTGTACTTCGCATGCCCAAAGAGTTAGGAGTAAGACTGGGCATGTACCCGAAAGATGTAATCAATTCTCCACCAAAGTAAGAGTAATAAATCAAATTATGTATTAAAGACACTATTTCTAAGGTTGTTTTGTCTCGAATTATCCAAGATCAATTTTAATATGTACGTGAAAATATTGTTATTGATATTTTCTGCTTTAATGATACTATACCTAGATTAATTGAACACAGATTTTTAGAACTTTATTATTTTAAACTAGTTTTTCTGTTTTAAATCATATTATGTTATTACAACGTTTTTGAATATGAATCTTACCTGCTGCTAGTTTCCATATTAAGTATTTGTTTTGTGTTATATGTATTATAGCTTGAGGGCTGGAAATGTTTTCTCTATTAATATTACAGTTTAGAAATATTATACGTACATTTGAAATGCAAAATGTTTCACTGAATATATTTAAAGGCACGAGGAAGTTTATAAATTAAAATTGTTATGAAATGTGAAACCTTTGGTATTTCAGATAGTAATTTGAGCTAGTAACAAAACAAACACGTTGCCTTGAATCCAACTTAAATGTTATGCGTAATAATAATAATCATTCGCAATATTAAAATATATGTACAATAATAAGGTAGATAGATTACTGTTTGAAGTCAATATTATTTACGGCAATTACTTATTTGTACTGCTATAGAATAATGTGCAAAAAGAAGAAGATTATGTTGTTAGAGACAATATTTTATTCTACGACAGTATTGAGAAAATATACATAATGCGACAGATGGTCAATTTGTTTATTATTCGATGTTACATTCCTATATTATACATTAATAATACAAAGTATACGAGATGTTTATTATGTCATCTCATGATCTAAGCGTTTTAACTTAGAAATCATCAAGAACCGGTGGACAGGTGCAGACAAGATGTTTGTCTCCGTACATGTCATCGATGCGACCGACTGTTGGCCAAATCTTCGTCTCACCTTTAACAAAAGGCTGAAACAGAAATATTAAATTATACATCTCATTATAATTTCTCACCCAAAACTTATCAAAAGTTAATCTGATTTCCTTAAATATTTCAACTTCAAGACAAAATAAAAAGAAATGGCGCTGTGTTTTGACTCACCGCAGGGAAAGCAGCTTGTTCCCGACTGTAAGGACGGTTCCAATCCTCTGTGATAACTTCAGCCTGTGTATGTGGTGCCATCTGAAATATACCGCATTAATATAGTGTATCAAAGTGTATTCGAGAGTTATCCTACCAAATCATGTTGAATGTTGTTTCACCTTCAGAGGGTTAAGTCTCTTGTCCATAGTTCCATCTTCAATATCCTTGATTTCCTTTCTGATCGCGATGAGAGCTTCACAGAAGCGATCCATCTCTTGAAGATCTTCTGACTCCGTGGGTTCTATCATTAAAGTACCAGCCACTGGCCATGACATCGTGGGAGCATGGAAACCTTAAAAGAATAACAACAAAAACAATGTGAAATTTTGTTGTTTATTCACACACAGTCAGTCATCTTACTATTTTTATATTTTGAAGAAAACTTACCGAAGTCCATAAGTCGTTTGGCAATATCTCCTGGTTCTATATTAGCAGTCTTCTTTAAATCTCTTACATCTATTATAAATTCATGAGCAACTAGTCCTCTCTCGCCTCTGTATAAAGTTTTGTAATGACCCTCCAGTCTTTTAGCCATGTAATTTGCGTTGAGAATCGCCACTTGAGTCGCACGTCTCAATCCTTTGGGACCCATCATCTAGAAGATTGGAGCATAGTGATTAGATGAAAATTAACTTGGCTTGAATAATACAAAATCTGTTGAGGTAATAAGACAACATATCTTACTAAAGTTGGTGTTTTTAAAACTTGTACTCACTTTGATGTATGCCCAAGAGATAGGCAATATAGCCGATGATCCAAAAGGTGCAGCACTGACTGAACCGAAACTATGAGCTGCGTCACCCAAATCGGCTAATGGGTCAACTACGGGATGCGACGGTAAGAAGGGCGCCAGGTGAGCTTTCCTGAAGGTTTAAAGCATTATAGTAGTTAAGAAGAAGAAAACTGCCTCGTTGGCCGAGTGGTTGTTAGTGCGACTGCCGGGCAAGGGGTCTCGGGTTCGATTCCCGGGTCGGGCAAAGTATTACTGGGTTTTTTTATTAAATTCTCACCCCCTATCACCCCCTATTACATAAGACTCATAACATAAATAGTGAAAAGTGGGTGTTACATTGTACAGTGGCATTAAGTGCCGAAATGTGCACCTCTGCCTACCCCTTCGGGGATAAAAAGGCGTAATGTTATGTTATGTAATATTTTAAAATAATCTAACAGACGGACATTAAAATAAAAATTAGTCATCAACCCTATTAAGTAATTGCTGCAAATGTGTACAGATACATAGAGGTGTGGAAAATGGCAAAACACAACAAAATATGCTTACACTCCAATGGGTCCCATTCCAGGACCACCTCCTCCATGGGGGATGCAGAAGGTTTTGTGTAAATTCAAATGTGACACATCGCTGCCGTAGTCTCCAGGTCGGCAAAGTCCCACCTGCAAGTTTTATTGCATTGAAAGTTATACTAAAACTTTGTTTCTTCTTAAAATTACCAAGCTATTTATGTTTCTTTCCACAATTACTTATTTACATGTTGGTGACTAACAAGATTGTGACGATAAACTATTATGTTTTTGGGTTACTCACGTAATAATTTGACGAGGAACTCGACTAGCAGACTCCAGTAGCCAGTAGCAGAGCGACAGTCACCGCGTCGCGGGTCGCGAAATGCTGCTCATGAATATGAGCCTCTAGCATGGCTTGAAACTAGTCGACTTCCTCGTCAAATTATTACGTGAGTAAGCCGAAAGCATAGTAATTTATTTAGTATGTCTCATGAAAGTTACAATACAAGATTGTGACGAATTAATTTAAATGAAATCAATTAATTTTGATAACTTACCTGTGCGTTCATATTGGCACCGTCCAAGTACACTTGTCCACCATGTTTGTGCACTAACTCACATACATCTGCAGCTTGCTCCTCGAACACGCCGAAGGTACTCGGGTACGTCAACATCAAACAGGATATATTTTTGCTATGTTCCTCTACCTGAAATATAGTATGTAATCTCCGTCAAAAATACAAATGCTTGTAATCCAGTACCTATGTGACGCTACAAAAACAGGTTTTGTTACAATCTTACAATGCAATACTTAGGAATCTGATATCATTTCCCTTACCATATCTTTAAGATGTGCCATGTCTATATCACCAGAAGGTGTCACGCGTATAGCACAGACACGCATACCAGCCATGTGTGCAGATGCAGGATTAGTGCCGTGTGCACTCACTGGGATCAGACAAATGTTACGCTTTGTATCCCCACGGAACTCATGGTACCGCTTTATTGTACGTAACCCAGCGTATTCACCTTGAGCACCACTGTGAAGTTAAAAAGGAACAATTTGTAAAAACTCGTAATTTTCATAAAAGTTAATTCAGTAAACTGAAACTTACCTGTTAGGTTGGAAAGAGACACGGTCGTAACCAGTAATCGCACACAAGTCATTTGCTAGTTCTTCAAACAACTGATGGTATCCCTGACACTGATCCAGTGGCGCAAACGGATGGATATCAGTAAAGTGCTTAAAGGAACAAGGCATCATTTCTGTCGTAGAGTTCAACTTCATAGTACAAGATCCCTGCAATAAACGTCCATATTAAATTATATGACTTGATGGAGTAATGAGCAATTATGTGCAAATACTGATAAAGACCCCCCGGTCATTTCACGTTCTACAACAATGCTTTGATAAACTTCTGAGATAACTTAAATTAAAAGTCAGCTGATAAAGATACTTGAACTTGACCTGAAAACAGCAAAACATATTAAAATCTTACCAATGGTATCATTGAATGTACAAGTGACACATCTTTGTTCTCCAGGCGCTTCATGTATCGCACTATTCTGGTTTCGGAGTGATGCATGTTGAATACGGGATGCGTGAGGTATGGAGATGTTCTTCTGAAGGGACCTTGCTGTATGCTGCGAGCTCTTACATCATCACTTTTTGTAACCTGGAAATTAACAACAATTTTCTTCATAATCTTTTTTGGTAATTTTATTTTTAACGTCTCTTAAAATTTGTAAAAGTATAACCGGAAAAATTACACAGGATACTTATGAAATTTACAATACAAACCTCTTCAACAGGCTTACAATCGAAGATCCATAATAAGTCATTAACATCCTCCATGGTAGCGGTCTCGTCGAGGGCTACTCCTACGGCACCATCATCGAAGTATCTCAAGTTAATCTTCTTCTCCTGTGCCCGAGCTTTGATAGCAGTAGCGTCATGGTCCGAAAGAGGTACAACATGAAGGGTGTCGAAATATACATCGTTTGATTGTTTGTGACCACGTTGTCTGATTCCTGTAATAATTAAATATTACTTAGCGTAGAACGCGTAATTTTTTATTGAATTCGTGATACAAAATAGGAGAATCAAATAACCTAAGGTGGGTATTGTCATACTGTTAACTTACTGCATGCATCGTATGTATTTGGTACTTACCATGATCCAGCACAAGTGTAGCGTTGTGAACCCTAGTTGCAATGTCCCTCAAACCTTGTGGGCCATGGTAGACTGCATACATGGCGGACATATTAGCCAAGAGCGCTTGTGCTGTGCAAATGTTTGACGTAGCTTTATCTCTTCTTATGTGTTGCTCTCTTGTTTGAAGTGCTAACCTATACGGAAAAACATTCATGGTCTTAAAATCGAAGAATATAAAATAATAACAGGTACTATGACTACTTGGAATGTTACTGTACCTGTAAGCATCTCTTCCGGTCGCATCTCTAGTAACACCAACCATACGACCAGGCATCAGACGCACCAACTGATGTTCAGCTGCGAAGAAACCAGCGTGTGGACCTCCATAGCCTAGAGGTACGCCCAAACGTTGGGAAGTACCGACAGCGAGGGCTGCTCCACATTCTGCAGGTGGACGCAGAAGAGCGAGAGCCAGTAAGTCTGTAGCAACCACTACTAGTGTCTGTAAACAATAAGTTTAATGTGATAGAACCTATTCCTCCAAAAATGAAAATTCGTGGCTCGTAAAATAGGAGACATTTTTATTTATTTAGATTTATTTACATCAAGTGTGGGAGAGCCAAGCTTCGGCACGAATGGGCCGGCTCGACCGGAGTGATACCAAGGCCTCACAGAAGACCGACGTGAAACAACGTTGTGTTTTCGTGCGAGTGAGGTCACCGGATGCCCAATTACCCCCCCCCCCCCTCTCCAATCCCCGAATCCCCAACCATCCTGAAACTCCTAATCCTCAAAAGGCCGGTAACGCACTTGTAATGCCTCTGGTGTTCCAGGTGTCCATGGGTGACGCCGATTGCTTACCATCAGGTGATCCGTCAGCTACTTTACCGGCTTATGCCATAAAACAAAATCATAGGATCGGTCGTCATCAGATCAACGAGACAGTCACTACTGCATTTAGAAAATAAGAATACGTACACCATGTTCATGTGCAGCAGATGCCAGTCCAGAGTAATCGTACACCAAGCCCCTGGTGTCAGGACATTGTAATAGTACTGCTGATATATCCCTCTGTGCGAAGTCCACTTGTCTAACATCCGGCACCACATTTACTTCTAATCCTAATGCATCTAAACGCGTTAGCACAACAGCTAAAGTCTGAGGATGCAGTCTTTCTGATACTACAAATTTCATTCGTTTATTGAGTCTGTAAAAGAAAATAATAATTCCTTAAATGCTGCATGCATGATATATGGATGATACAGATCATGACACACGAGACCATCTTACTGGGGGCAATGTTTAAAAAAATATAAATATTTTTACATCACCTCGTATGGAAACGGTATACTTTGTAATCTGTGTTATTAAAAACCTTGGCCTTTTAGACCAATAAACTTTATCAACAAATAGGTAGGTACATGATTGTGTCTACGTACCTATGGCACAGCGATAGCGCTTCAGCAGCAGCTGTACCTTCGTCCAGCAATGATGCGTTAGCTACATCCAAACCAGTGAGGTCACTAACCATAGTCTGATAATTAAGAAGACTTTCCAATCTTCCTTGCGCTATTTCGGGTTGATATGGCGTGTATTGTGTCGTCCTGGAAGAATAATATACAAATAAGTAATTAAGAGAGTTGTGTATTTGTTCATTTTCTAATTACATAAACAACTCAATTATTTCATGGTCATTTATGATGAAATAGATAAGTAAGTTCAAACAAGTTAAAATGATAATCACCATCCTGGGTTTTCGAATAAGTTGCGCATAATGCTATGCGGGACACAACAATTGTGGTATCCCATACCAATGTAGGATCTCCATATTTGATTCTTCTCTGATATTTTACGTACTGTTTCAATGAGATCGTATTCACCTGCAATAAAAACGTGATTAGGTAAACGTAAATTGTCATTGCATTTACGTATAGGTAAAACATAAATAAAAGCCCCGCGCAATTTTGAATATTATGGTTTAGTAAAATTAAGTTAGATAATTATTTTTTAAATCGATTCGGTGTAAATGTGTTTACTTAGATCGTTAAAGTACAGGTTTTTTACTTACTCATAGGTTCACTGATGTTCATGAGACCTTGTAGTTGAATTTTCTTAGGCACCGCATCATCGGTTAATTGATCTAAGCTCTATAAAAGACACAAATAAAACAAGAGTATAATAAAGAAAAGTATCATAAAAATCAATATTCACACAGCATTTATCTTACCTTATAACCGAGCAAATCTAACATAGTCACTACATCTTGATCTCGAGGTCCGATATGTCTGCTAGGGAAGTCTACACGTTCAGGGAACAAACTATCCGATTTCGTACTCTGAGTTATACAACGTACACCACTCTTCCACAATTTCCCGCCCTGAAAGTCTTTTTGAAGACAGTCAAAAGCATTTCTAGGAACTAAACCACGTTTAATTAATCTATACATTTTTAATTGTTAGCAATGTGCAACAACTAAAATGTTTTAACCATTTTATTGTCCGACTTACGAAAGCGACAGTGATGTACTGATAGAAGGGTCAAAGCGTCTCACAAGTACAAGAGATAACAAGAAATAAATAATTATTATAATGATTATTTGTAGTACACAGTAGTAGCAATTATCACTATAATACTATTGACTTTAAAGTAATGACGACATACAAAAACAGTTTTAGAAAATAATATTTTCCACTTGATCAAAACAATTCAGTTATTCACAACAGCTAGTTATTAATAAAGTAAGTATACGATAACATGAATGTCTCATACAATCTAAATGCGTATTAAATAGTTTTAAAAACATTAAAAGTCAACAGTGAATTAATTAAAATGTAGTTAACCGTAAAAACAAAGTCTAAACAGCCCAACGACTTCGATTTGTCTTTTAGTACATACATACATTTTTGGCTAGTTTATTTTTTTAACAGATTAACTAGTGATTCCCAAACCATAGGCAAAAAATACTGCCCTCCATACCTATGAATTTAATAATACACATAACTGTGTCTGTGAACGTACTTACCCTAATAAATCATGTTCTTTGATCTATGTTCCATCATGCCCCTGTTGTTACGGTTCACATTTTTTGAATTCAGAAAGTAGTTGTGCATACATCTTTCTAACGGCTCCTGATTCGTTGTTTATTGCCAGGGCTTTTTTATTATTTTTTTTCTTAGCTGCATTTCCCATAATGCTTATACAACCGACTGTTATAAATTCTAGGAAAGGTTCAGATAATAAAATGATTAGATAACCTTCCTATGTGATATGTGGAAGGAATTAAATACGTCTATGTAGAGGTATATTACCCAAATAGGTATCTCACCATACTTACATCACATAGATATTATCACGCATTTTAATTTTCCAGAGGGCAGGTAAAAGTAAATACGTACCTACATTGCCAATGCAATACTTTACACCGATTACATTGTGTCTTGTGAGGATATGAGTCAATGAGTCTATTGTAGTCTCTAGAAATCCAAACGCAATATTTTTTTCCCAGACGACAAATTGAACTCTAATTGTAATTAAATAGATATTAATGAGTAGGTAGGTGAGCCGTGGAGGTCTTAACGGGTTGTCGGAGCTCCAGTTAGGAACAGGGTGGTTTTTAGTCAGTAAGAGTCTGACACTCCCTCTCGCCTCACCCGGGGGAGAGTGGTTGATTGAATGATTTTCCTCCTTATAAAAGAAGTAGGTAGGTATAATACACCTTTGCCACAAAAAGTCATCGTATGCGAGAGACCTTAGTCTTTACCTCAAAGGTTGAAAAACAAAACGTTATAGGTTTATAGGTCCAACGATACGATAGGCGGTTTGTATAATATTACTTTGCGTTAAACTTTGCGAACAGAAATAAGAGCTAAGTACCTAACCTACTAGTAAATGTGTAAAAATAAAAGTCTAGCATGTAGTAGATACAAAATTCTCGCGAGTTTGCGGATGGCGAACAAGTGTAACTTGCAGGCCAACAGAACCGCGTGTAGGTACCTAGGGCTTGTCACTGTCAGATCACCACAGACGAGACCCAATAGGGCTGGTCGATCGATGACCGACCGGAGACCTCGGTAACTTACGAGTTGGGTGAAGCAGGGTTTTAGTCAGAAAGAATCAGAAATTCCTTGAATGACGAAAGGGAGGAATCATTAATTACTGATGGATTTTCACAAACCTCCTTCTATTAAAAGGCCGTAACAGATATATTAGTGCCGCCATAATTCTACTATATATCTCCATTACCTACATTATTTATTAAATATTTATTATGAATGTACTTAGGTACCTACATGTTTTCCAAGAATGAAAGTTGTAAGTTTGTGTTTACATTGCTTAACTTGATACCGCTACTGATTTATACTCAATGCATAACTAGGTAAACATGGGTAACCAGGGAGTTCCGAGTTATTTTGGAGTCATAACAAAAAAGGGAATCCCCTTCCGTAAATTACATGCGTTTCTTTTCACGTAAGTAATAAAAGTAAAATACATGTCAACATAATTCGTCGAAATGACACCGATAATAGAATATTATAATATAATAATTCTCTAAAACTATTGTACCATACAAATAAAAACACAATATTTTTTTTATTATATTATTCACATGTATTTTTATTCTTTAATGCATTTCTTAATTTTATTCATTTGTGAAATGGAACACCAACGTCAGTGTTTCGGTTTCCAAAGTTTGTGATATGCGTGTGTGTGTGAGTCACTCAATTGAGTTGATATTTAATTTTGTAGATATCAATTAAATAGATTGTCTTACAAAAAAGTTTGATAAAGTACAAGAGTTTACCAAGTGTCAACTTGTTGCCAATTTCATTTTATTCTGTAGAAAATAACAGCATTTGTATGGAAAATGCAATAAGTTTGTTACTGAGTGATCATAGTTTCAATTCAAGGTGTCTTATATCAATCATCAATTTATTAAGTTAGTAACAGTGCGTTGTGAAAAAGCATAATAAAATGACACTATCAGAATATGCTCAATTAAAACAATACATAATCTTCTCAGTTGGATCAAATGAAAGACACAGTGAAATAATAAGTTCTATGAAAGAATTTTTTAGGGATTCTATCAATTCTGTGAGGAAGTTTGAACAAATAAACAACATAAATCAGCTGTTAAAAATTTTAGAAATACGAGATGTATTATCTGAAGATAATGTAGAATGTCTGAAGAATATTGCTATGAAACTTCCGAACTCTAGGGATGTGCTACAGAAAATAGCAGACTATGAAAAAGAACATGTTCCCAGGGAATATGCAAACTATTATGGTGAGTGTAATTGACATTTATACTCACAACACTATTTCCATTATTTACTCCCAATGTACTATATGTATTTATTGCAAATATTTTTAATAATTTCTTTATTCCAGCTGCAAAACCACAAGATCTCAAGAAAAAAGGATCTGATGACAGCTATATTAGTACCAGTCCGTTATCGAATATGAGCAAACGAAAGAAACAGAGAATTTTTGACACAATTACTCAAGAAATCGGTAGTTTCTGGCGTGACCTTGCCAGGAATTTACAAGTACGAGAATGGGTGATTGACGACATTGATTTTCAAAACCAAACACTTCATGTGAAGGCTACAAAATTGCTGGAAGTATATGATTCAAAAGCTGATCCACAAAGATGGTTTTTCATTCTATGTGAGGCATTAGAAAAAAGTCGTAGAAAGGATCTAGTAAGATCTATACAGGATATCATGGCAATGAATATTTGACATTTTCTTCTGTTTGAATTGAATTGTTTCTGTTTTGTGCATATGAATAGATTTATGAAATAAAAATTGAATATATTAGGATAGAAAAGTCAATGTATGGGAGTCTTTAGTTAGTATATTACCAATATTTGAATGGCATGAATGACCCACAAGATTTTGCCATAGTTCATGCCCGACACTATATTCAGCGTGTTTTTTATTATTTAGCTACACAGTCCAAATATAAAGAGAATGAAAAGTGTACATAATTATAAAATAAAAGTTACCACCATTTTGTAAAATAAAAGATTATATTTTGAACATAAGTTTATTCAGTAACAAAGCACTTTAAGAACTAACATATTGTATAGATACATAATTATGAAATAGTATATTGAATAAAAGGTACTTAAAAATAGGGTTTAGAAATTTAATTTCAACCATAATTTGTAATATTTAGTAAAATTGTATAAAAATAGTACTCAATATCCATAGCAAAATGCATACTTAGTTGATTAATACATGGAATGTACTTTGGAAGACATTTAATGGTTTTTAATTCAGTAAAACACTTACATACTAGTTTCTCTTCAAACAACAATATTCGAGCAAAATAGGAATGCTTTAAAAATACTCTTATAGATGATGTATGATAAATCATTTATATCAACACTGCATAGTATTTATTTATTCACACTATAAATAAACAAGAAAATATTTGTTTAAGTTCTATTGGTGTGATGCCCATGAATAGGCGTTTTGGAAGAGTCGTGACCAGGGGGAAGCTTGGCTCGTCGGGTTGGCGGCCCCGGCCGGCGCCGCCGCCGACACGCTGCACTGCCAGCGCAGCACGCAGCGCTCGGGGTGCGGCATCATTGCCACGTGGCGACCGTCGCGAGACCTCACTCCAGCAATACCCACTGGCAACAAAAAATATAGACAAATTCTTCAAACTTTTTTCTTGAGAATCTAAGATATTCCCCGAAAATACCGAAATATGATTGGGTCGTAATATTTGCTATACGTCGATGCCGCAAAGACCATGTTAGGAGCAGCAAGATAAATAAACAACAATAAAGTTATATTACCTGGGCTGCCATTAGGATTCATTGGGTATACTTCAGTAGGCTCGCCGTTATCATCTACATATTGCATGGCGACTTGTCCGTTGTCCTGTAGTTTTTCTAGCAGACGTGGTTCGGAAACAGTGAACCGACCCTCGCCGTGAGCCACCCACACTCCTAGCACACTGCCGCCCATTCCACGGAACCAGACGTCAGATTTATCTTCAGTAATCTTGACTGCACTCCAGCGACATTCGAATCTACAATGAAATAATGTTTTACATTTTAAACCCCATTGAGATATACAGTAAATTAACTCGTCGAGTACCGGTTTTATAGACACAATTAAAGAACAATAGGTCGCGGTCACCGGTGACCGCTTGGTGTTTGATAGTTTAAAGGGTCATATTATTGACATTGAAAATTAGTCTTTAAACTTTAAATCATAATTCAATATGGAAAAGCTACAATCTGTTTTGTATTGAAAATACAATATCAAATTTATGTAGCATTCTAACTATATTAATATACCTTTCTGAAGTGTTGTGGTCAAGGAAAACTTGTGTTTTGCTAGCACTCTTTTCTGTGGACTCCGGGTCTATCCAGCCGAGCAGTGCCATTAGCTGGCATCCATTGCACACTCCCAGGGAGAATGTATCGTTTCTCTTCTTGAAGTGAGAGAACTGTGAGCTCAGGGACTCTGAGAACAGAATACCTGCTGCCCATCCCTTTGCGGAGCCCAATGTGTCTGTGAACCAAGATTTAGAATTATTCAATTCTATCAGACAAGTAGTCATTCCAGACTATTTAGACTGCTAATCCAAGTTCAAGCCTTCATAATATCATAAGCATACATTTTATTCATTTACAGTTCAATGATTAAGTATGTTACCTGCATAACTGAAACCACCAGGGAACACCAAGCCTTGGAATGCGTCCAGAGTGATCTTCTTGTTCTGAAGGTCACTCATTGTGACGTCGAAAACATCGAAGTTCGCCATCATTAGGGATGCTATCATCTCCCTGTCACCATTTGTTCCTACAAACAAGTAAATTATATATTTGTTGCTTCAACATCATCATCATAATAAAATAGCCACAAGACGCCCATTGCTTTACTTAGGCAACCGGCAACCAACTCCAATAACTTCCTAAATAATTAATTTCCAGTTAAATATTGTTATGTAAGAGGTGAAGATTTGATCAAGAGTCAGGAGTCTTATTATGGGACTATGTTTTCTAAGCTAACTTTATTTTTAATTACTGTACCTTCTTCACGCAACACAGCTACTCTAACAGACTTGGTCTTCACAACAGCTGCAGAAGGATCGAATGTAACGTTGTATGTCACACCCTTCCTTTTCTCAAGGCCTGTAAAACAGAACACCTTTTTTTTAACTTTCCACCTTGTTTATTTATTATTATTTTCTGTATCGCAGTTATGAGAGACATAAAGTTAAATTGTGGAACACGACGATTTGAAGGTAAAAATTTAAGTACAACCAGCCTAATGACTGCGCCGTGCCCTACAATGCATTTGAAATTAAAATTAACACAAATAATAATTTAAAAAGTTCTTCAGTCGAATTATATTACCTTGCCATTCCTGTCGGACACACTCAGTGTTTGCTTGCAAACATTCTAGTTGATAACTGGTTTCTTCCCACATCCTGTACACATCTATCAACTTTGTTCCAAGGACTTGTTTACCATTCACCTTGATAGAGACCTGGAAAGAAGAAACTACATTAACCAGTAGAAGGAACATTTTAAAACAATATAGACTGCGATTATCAATAATGACTAATGTGTTCAAGTAAATGTTTACTAATGCCGCAAATACATTAAAAATTACCTCAGAATTCATTCCGTATTTTCCAGTAGTACCGACTTGTTTAGCGAACACATAATTTTTCTTATATTCATTGAGCACATAAGCTACGTTTGCACTTCTAACTTCCAAAATAATTCCTAACTCTTCATTGAAGAGTGCTGCAATTTCTGATACATTGGACGGCACTTGGACATCCAAGTTCAAGCCGCGAATGCCACCAATGCCCATTTCTATAGCTGTAGTAATAAAACCTCCTTCACTGACATCGTGGCCAGATAACAACTTGCCCTCTGTAAAAAGAAAATTCATCATTCTACATCTGGAATTTAACGTAACATAATTTCATAAGATTTTTTTATTGGATAGTGTCATTATTCTGACTTATTTTTTATTATGCAAAGTCATCCTTATTTCTTGCGACATAAGGATGAATTTGCAGTGAACTCACCTTTCAATAAGCGCTGTGTTACTTTGAACATAGATTTGAGTACAGTAGGCTCATCAAGGTCCGGTGGGTTGTCACCTAGTTGTTTGTAACATTGCGCCAGCGCCGATCCACCGAGTCTACAAAGGCATTTTCATTGTTAATAAAATTATTTTTCAGTTAATTATTTGTCAGTCTAATATACATAGTTTGTAATCTTTAAAAAAATATAAAACACTTGACATGCTACCGAAACTAATATGGGCTCGGCAATTCGTTCCTATTGTATCTAAAAGCAACAAAACGATTTTACTAAAACTAAAATAGTATAAGCTTTATATGTTTGGTGTTTGTATTTACAAACCTGTATTTTCCAGGGTTGACTGGCACATAGATAAGTGCTGAACCTTCTTCCAACAGCGCAGGCTCGATCTTGACAGTAATATCTGGGCACGGCGCGTAGGTTGACACTACTAGGGTACCGGGTGATTTCACTGTAAAATATATATAGCGGTTTAAATTACGTTCGTATAATGTTGGGATTTTGAGATCGATGGCTGCGTAAAGCAACACTGAATATTATTATTACATTACATATTTTAAAAAATATTTTTGTAACAAATTATAAAAAGGTAATAAAAAAAATCAAAGCGTTACTAACCTTTTTCTCCAGCTACTTGTGCGCACATAGAGAGGGAATCCTTTCCCCCGTCGACTGCAACCCCGACACTGGCCATGGCGTCGCAGACCGCGCGACACGCCCGCACGAGGGCGCCACCCTCCGCGCCTGTCTTACCCGCCCACATCCAGTTGCCCGAGCACTTCACATCTTCCAACTCACTTATACCCGCAAACACCTATAATTTTATTCATATTCCTTTTGTTGCCGGTTTGTTATTTGATATTCTAGACTACAATCTATTTCTAGGAAATTTCATTAAAATCTATTCAGTAGTTTTTGCGTACATCCTCATAAAGTTTCAGATTTATAATACTAGTGGGACACCATAAATCCCTTTAAAAATAGGTATCTTAAAGTGCCTAAAACACACCTTAATAAGTTATAATCTCAACAAAGGACAAATGAATAACATAGTGATAAAAAGTAGAACTTACCAAATTAGTAAGAGCTTCACCAAGGGACATGCGAGCACCAGCGGCAGGATCCAAAAGTCCTTTGATATTCTGTGTACCAATAGAAGTGGCAGATCCAACGAGGTCATAGTAAGACAGGGCGATAATCGCACAGTCAGCCAGGGGAGTGTGTAGTGGACCAACGCATTGTTGTTGAGCTATCAGTCCAGTGACGCAACGATCGACCTGCACAATCAAACATCAAATTATAATTAGTTGGAAAGGTCATCGACCTTGATTACTAACTTAAACACATTGTCTGTTCTTGTCGCTAAAGAACAATTTCTGAGAATATAATCTAGGCATTCTTTTAAGGATGACAATTCATGTGTTAATCTGTCTGGCTATATTTGGGCTAAGTGCAGTGCTAACCATACAGGATAATAGAATCTAAAATCACTCTGTAGTGATTCAAACATTCAAACAAATGTGTGTTTGTATGCAATTCGACAAAGATAGGTGCAAGTCGAAAGGAATAGTTCAATCAAGATTGAACCTTAAAGATTTGAGAACCTTTTATAAAAGCAGAGTACCTAAAAGCAAGAATGTAACTGGAAAAGAGATGTCGTTAACTTACCTTATTGGTCAAATATCTCTTGCTGGCAACGTTGACAAGTCTCAGTACCCTGTTCAGAGCATCATGGACAGTTACATTTTCTGGCAGTGTCAGTGGTAGCTTTGTTCTCTTCTCAGTCACCAAATCAAAGGTCTTCCGTGGCATGTTACCTGGTTAGAAAAACATTCAAGATTGTTGTTTCATTGTTTAATAGATAATGTTAGAGGGGCGATTGCCAGGCAAGGGTTCGATACCCTGGTGTCAGGCAAAGAATTTGTTGATTTTCAGTCTGCGTTATAGTTCGTTTATGTAGGGTCATAACGTAACCGACGAAAAAGCCGGTTCTCGTGTAATAATTTTCAAGCAACAAAACGAGTGACGTCATCTCAAATTCCATAAACATACAATCAAAACCAACACAATGTCTAAAGTAATATTAAGTAGAAAAAAATCATCGCATATTTATCGGTGACCGTTAGTGCGTAAAAATTGTTAATTATGTATTTACTGCTTTGACGTAAACATGCTTAATTTGACGCTCTTATCGGTATTGATACCGGTCAGTAAACGAACTCTAAGTGTATGTTGTATGTTGCTATACTACAATAGAGGCGAAGGCGAGATTTAAATATATTATTGATGTATGACGCAAAAGTGAAATATACGCAAACATTATGTGACTTTACGCGTCTTTTAGCAGAACAATCTGTGAAAACACAAACAGAGCTTAATATGATGACATACCTACATACTTCAAGTAGATGATAAACATGTTCTAAGGCACAATTTATTATTATGAAATTATACTTAAATAGAGTCTATTAAAACTTACCTAAAACAGCTTCTAAGTGCAGGTCATATGGCATCTTTGACTTGATGTCAGGTTTCAGTCTTTCATTCCTATCCAAGTATTTGTCAGTGTATGAATCCTCTACAAGACTCATATAACCATCTCCCGTGACTTCTCCTACAAACGATACCGGACATCTTTCACGGCGGCAGATATCTGAAAAAGAAAAAAACAATATAAGATTATTTATAAAGTAAAAAAAAGTAAAAAAGTAAGTGTTTTCTAAACAACTTGTGTTATTATTATTACCTTCAAGCACCTCTCTGTTTTCTTTCGAACAAAGTAAAGCATCGTTTTCTTGATACTCAGCGCCCCATAGCTCTAGTGTAGTAATGGTAGGATCTCCCAACTGGAACTCTTTTGTGTACACCACTGCACCTTCTGGTTCTACCAATTCTTTGAGCACATTGCCATTACCACCGGCTCCCTGGTCATGAATAGCTGTACAGTAAACATAAGTATTGTAAGTCCATAAGGTTCATAATTGAGTAAATGTGTATTTACATGAACCAGTGTATAATACTAACACTCAACAGGGTTTATTTCAGCCTCTAAGCATCCACGGACTACTCTGTTGAGACGATTTCCCATTTCGGCGTCACCTGCAAAAAATATTCCAATCAGAATATATTGGAAAATTTATTGTTATTGTGTCCAATTCCTTAAGAAAGAAGCATATTTAGTTTATGAATTATTTACTATACAAAATACAATGCATTTTATTGTATCTTACCTCTCTGCACTGCTCCGAAGTCGAGAGCGTGATCACGTGAGTCTCCACCCTGGACAGCGACAGAAGATGCAGCACCACCGCCAACACCAATGCGGTAAACTGGACCTCCGACCTTTACCAACATCATACCTGCAATGCAAGGCAATCATCATAATCATTAATCAAATTGTTACAATGCATTCTGAATAAAAACTGTTTTGGAAGAACAAAATTCCAATATTAAATAGTGAAGTATCAAACCTTTTCCTGGCTTATTCTTTTTGATCATATTGTGTGGCATGTATCCAATACCACCACTGAACATAATCGGCTTCACAAATTCTTCCCTCACATTATCTCCATTCTTCAAACCGTATGATTGAACAAATCCTGCAATAAAAATAAGAACACACTAAGCACATTGCAGGCATAAGGAACAAATTTTTTTCATGTGGTGTAATTCATACCTGAAATCAATGGCTCTCCAAACTTGTTTCCGTAGTCAGATGCACCATTACTAGCATCAATGATTATCTGCAGAGGACTTGCAAAGTTGTTAGGGTACTCCCAACCTTTCTCTTCCCAAGGTAGGTCATAGCCTGAGAAAAAAAAAGCATTGTAAAAATTGTTAAACTAAATTATTATCTGTATAAAGATGCACTAACCAGGTACATGCAGGTTGCCGACACTGTATCCCGCAGTGCCGGCTACAGTGTGACCTCCACGCCCCACGCCCTGTACATCCCTGATACGTCCACCAGTGCCAGTAGTGGCTCCACTAAATGGTGCCACAGCTGTTGGCATGTTATGAGTCTCAGCGGTAAATATAATGTCAGACTCTGTCTCCTCCTTCACAACTTGGGATGGATTCCTCACATTTGTTGGTCTTAGTTTTGAGTGCTTGAAACCTTTGATGGCACTGTAATAATATTACATGATGAGCAACAGTTTTTAACACATAAGTAAGAACATATTTGAATAAAATTAAAATAAACCTGCTATTATCTCCAAACTTAATAACATTATTGTTATTTGATGTTTTCTGGGTTGAAGCCACCATGTCTATAAGAGACTCATTGATTTCATGACCATCTAATAATAACTTTCCCTGTAAAAAATATGATTAAAGCTATATTAGTGTTTCATTCAAATCCATATTAAGTGATAAGAAACTTCAATACAATTTACCTTGAAAAACCAATGACGAGAATGTTCACTATTACTCTGAGCAAGGTCAAATAACTCAACACTTGTTGGATCACGCTTCAACTTGTTAACAAACATGTCCATATAGAAGTCCATGTCCCAAGAATCAAATGCCAATCCTATATCAAAAAAGAACTTTATTTATTAAGCAATTAGTCACATATTTGGCAGAAACATGGCAAACAGTTTGGACACTAACCTAACTTCTGATTGACTTTTTCCATAGCTGATCTTCCTTCTTTCTGGAGTGGAACCACAAACCAAGGTTCTAAGTCTTTTGGTAATCCTTCATTGAAGCTAGTTCTTGGGAGATTGTCTTTTGTGTAAATACATTGTGTCATCCTGTCATGCAGAGGAGCTGCCAAGGCCTCATGTAACTTCTCAGACAGAGATTTGGCCTTTCCAAAAGAAATCATGTATCTAGTTGAAACTTCCAATCGAATGACATCACGCAAACCAACACTTTCACATATTTGTACAGAGTTACTTGAATCAGCTGTTGAGAAATTGAACCTGGAAAATTTATATTTACTTTATACTCAGAAATTCTATTTTTAAAGCTTTATCCTACATAAACATATTTTTGGAGACTTACCTTGGTCCAATCTCAATGACAATTTGGTTGCCTTGAACATTTTTGTACACAGTTTCATTTCTCAAAGCCTGAGGTTGTAGCGGGGAGCTGAGCAGCCACTTCAACACTTTAATCTGATTAATGTTAAGATAGTCACAGCCTTCACGCAGTTCCACATGGTAACAGAGTTCTGTAGACAACTGTGTGATGTCTGCATCAACTTGTTGCAACTTCTCAAGGATCTCCTTAGTTTTATGAGCACTAAAGGCTTCCGATGAAAAGAACCTTAATATACACATGTTGAACTCAATTTATAGTACACACAGAACAATATCCAAATTAAGAATGATTGTAGAATGAAGTTCACAGACGTTGCCACTTGTTGGTGGTAAATATCTTACATCAATGTCAGAGTTCAATTGTTATCAATTATTCAATGTTATCTGTAACAAATAAAGACAAACAACTTTAGCTTATGCAATTCTACTATTCAGCGATCCATTGAAATGAGCGGAATTGTTTTGGGGGCCAATATAAATACTTTACTTACCTACTTATTTATTTAAAAATGAAATAAATAGTGTAAATTAATTGACCTTTTATTTGAAAATAGTATTCTTAGTAGGATTTTTTATATTATAAACTACTTTTAAAAATAGTTTATTTATCTTATTAGTACCTATATACTAAATATTGAATACTTCATGAAAATCTTATAAGAATAATTTGTAGAAACTGACAAAAATGCATTTACGTTTAGTGGAACTAATAAGAAATAATTGGTTATGAACTTTTAAAGGATAAAACTTAAAAAAAAAACATAACTAATAAATATAAAAAGGAGCTAAGAAAGTAGATAAACATAGGTACCTGTCACAATTTACATTTCAAAAAACTTATAGAACGCCGGGCATACTGCACGTGTTCTTTTGATGTACTTAAAAACAAGTTTTAAAGAACCAATTCATCAACCAATAACGAATAGGTGCCAATCAAGCATTCACTCATCTCATTCACAATTTCGCACGCAGTGAAACGATTTTATTGACTCAAAGTTTTATTTGAAAAGCATTAATTTAATGTTTTAGGTACTTACCTAGTAATTAAGGTATACTTAGACACAAATTATTCTATAATGTCATCTTAATTTACATACCTGCTCATTAACTATACTTTCATGTTAAAATAATAATAAACTTTCATGTTCTGTCCTCATTTCTGTTTAACTTTATCATTTATTTCTTTCCATACGACTAGTTACAGTAACAATTTGATAACTACCTATTTATATTTATAATTTGTAGATTGTACAAAAAGCGCAAATACAAATACAAAACGTAAAGAAACAAATGCCTCCAAAACAAAAGTCAAAAACATGTGGATTGTAGGTGAGAGTAGTAGGGCTACCATGTGTACGGAATTTTTCAGGAATTATCCGAATTTGTGGATTGTCCGGAATGCGGGAGAACCGGAGCCACTATCTCGCCCGGTGATAAGTGATGAGATGATGCGCTCTACGATGGAGCATCGTTCATGGAGCGTCGATCCATAAGCAACCTATTCATTCGGGCCATGAAGAGACAGACACCTACGCCCATTGCATCCATATGGCGTGGATATTGAATAAAATAAATAGTATTGAGTTTGGCTTTATATCTTGTACTCTGGATGCTATTTAAACGGCAACGATAGGGGTTGTATAGTTTTGACATAGAATAATTATGGAGATTTTATCGGATTGAAAACGCATTAAAATTGAGATTGCTTTCATTTCAAGACTAAGCATCCAGGAAATCCAGACTGACAAAGAATTCCACTCCTTAGCAGTACGCACACGCTATTTTGATGCGAAGCGCTTTGTGTGTGTGGGTGGGACATCTAACATGAATCGGTGACGCTTTGCCGATTGTCTTGTAGTGCGAAGATGGAAAGAACTAGGGGGAATAAAGTTGCGCAATTCCCCCGCACACTCATCGAAATCTTGTGTCTGAGGCTTTGAAGCCGGACCTCCACAAGCGCATAAATTAAGTCGAGCTGTCCCAAATATGAGACCAGTAAACCATACAGGACCGAATTCCGGGGTTTGAAAGTCCAATTTCTAGCATTTCGAAGATTGGATTTTTTTCCGAAATTACTATATTTTATTGTAGAAACCCTAGGAAAAATTGAGGGATTTCAGTGGGCTTTTGAGATATCATAAAACCACGTACGGAGCCAGGGGCAAAACTGTGACAAATTTACATTTTTTTCAGAAGGCTCACTCGGGTTCGGCTGTTGAATCGTCGGAGCTTGGTTTTGTACAGCAGTGGCGGTTCAAGTTATTCCAATTTGCCAAATTCATTCCTGAAATTTTCGTCTTTATGACTATATTGTAAAGTTGAAGATGTAATAGGGTTTGATTTGAATTCATTCGCTTAATTTTAAGCAGAATAATTTTGTTAGAATTTCCAAATCAAAATATAGAAGTACCCTACGCTGTTCGGAATGCATACACGTACCCTAATGACAGACAAACAGACAGTGAAGTCTTAAATAATAGGCTTTCTCAGTGAGGTGCAAATTATTCTGAAATCATACTCAGTGGACCTTGGTTTGATCACGGATCACGGTGTTTTCTTTATTTCCATAGTTTTTAAGTTTGTACACCATAGATATATAACATAGATGTCTGACTACTGTCTACGGGTAGAATTTAAGATCTATCTCGACGGTAAATTCATAAACATACTGTTGTTTCTTTTTTACTTCAGTCCCTTTGCATAAGCAGAAAGAAACAACACATTATTGTCATTCGGGCAACAATTTTTTAACGTCATCAAAATACCTAGTTGTGCCGAATTGGCCATCTTAGTCTCTGTTATGTATATATGTATCGTGAAAGTTGTGATATAATTATATGGACACGATCGACTGGAGTGATAGTGCACGTAGTAACTAGTATTTCGCTAATATTTTGGTACCTAAATGAAAATCAAATCCAGATGAATCATAAAATAATTATATTTTTTCGATAAGTCAAAACTAATACCAAAATATCGATACTTCTACAGTTTCAAAAGTGAAAAGTGTGATCCCTAGTTCTATCCGCCATTATAGATGACCAAGTGAAGTTTAGGTAGGCACGTTTTTTTTTCGTAGGTGTTTCATATCCATACTCGTAACATATCAGTGTTGTACACCCACTTCACTACTCGATTGTAGTCTATCTACTCCATGGTCTAAAAACAATAATCCACCACTGTCTACTTCAAGTCTATAGTCTATACTTTATTCCTTGCTTTTAATTCAACATGGCGGTTAGTCACATTTTAGTATTCCGAAATTTATTATAATTTCCTGATATTCGTGTGATTTTGTTAGTAAATACTTGTTGTTACTTTCAGAAAACAATGCTTTGCTACTGCCGGCAGTTATAGTTTGGTGTTTAAAGAGAATTGAGAGTGAGGACGACTTCGGCGTCCTCACGCCTCTGTGGTATCTTCGCCGTAAGCTCCATCGTGTGAAATATTGATTTTATTCTTCAGATTCGAAAATGATGATGTATACGGTAAGAATCTACATTAATTTGTTATTTATTAAATGTGTGTAATTCTAGTACATGTTCATAGCTTGTGATCTTTATTTGTCAAGATTGCTTTTAATTATCTTTCATGTCGATGGCAAAACAAGCAATTCTTTAATTAACCTAGAATGCTTAGTAGACACGATCGATACTTTTTAAACAATACCCATTCATTGTAAACCTCCATGCAGGAAACCTATTTGGATTGGTAATATTAATAATTATTACTAATAACTGTATAAAGTTCAAGTTAAGAGATTGTGGTATTTACCAACCTTTTTACAAGTGTATGAATAACCTTACATAATGGTAATTTTTTTCATATGTAATATGGTATAAAATTAAAATATGAATATAAATAAGTATTGTAAACCTTTAGAGCCCTAATCATAAACAGGCACTGTTTAATATGATTTATTGTATGTGGCCCGGATGTTAACCTAATAAATTTAAATTTATTAGGGTACTAGTACGGAGCAGGACACCCGCTTCAGTGACAAGGAGAAGAAGTTGATGAAGCAAATGAAGTTTGGGGATTGTTTAACTCAGCAGGTAATTATAATGCATGTTATTTTCTCAGAAGAAAGATTATAAAATTGCTCTTCATGTGAAGATATAATGGTTCTCAGTAATATGAGTAAATATTATAAACATAGTACCTATAACAAATTTAAATTACACTTACATGAAACAATATTTATGCCAATGGACAATATTTAGGACAATGCCCAAAAATATATGGGAGTGAAAACCTAGAATTGATTAATTTATTTATTTAACAATTTGAAAGAGTAATAGCTATCGAAATAAAAAAGTAAGAAATTGTGTATGAATCTGATAGTCAACAAGTCTTCACTTATAAAAAACAAAATTAAAACTAAAAAGAATGTGGTCAACAACATTAAAACAACAATAAAAAAAATATATAACAAAAAGCAAAAGAAACAGTACAAATAAAAACATCTGTACACTGCGTAGACAAATTACCATGCATAAAATTAGTTCAATCACATTCCATATACTACTTAAAAAAAGAAAGGCTCAGGCATCTCCTGACCATACATACTCTAGTATTAAGAAGGTCAAAATCAGGCTGCTTGCACACACCATTAAATTTTTTAATTTCATGCACATAAATGAGTTTTGCCTATAATTGGTAGAAGAGGATGGAACATGAACAAAATAATTTATATGTGATAAGGTAGAGTGTACATAGTATAATCCAAATTTAATCATTGTTATCAATGAAACCATCACTGAATAATAAATACACCAATTTATGTGAATAGCATATTTGTGACCTTTTACTTATGGTCTATTAAATGCTTAATTATATAATAAAGCACATGAATGATTTTAATTGATGCTAAGGTTTTTTAGGCATTCTCCTTTGTGTGCTTGTGATATTTTAAAGCTTTTAATTTGAGTTATGATTTTGATATTAATATTAATTTATGTCACTAATTAAGCATGAATGATTCTTGGTTCCGTAATAATGCCCGATTGTTTCCTACATAGTTCGGGTAATTGTTAGTTACAATAAAAAATAATGTTATTAATATTAATCGCTCTCTCTATACTCCATTGCACTGAATATTTGTTTAAGGTTTTGTGTTAAATATTCTCTGATCATCAATGCTGCTTAGTGCTTTTCAGTACCCGAGTTTCTCATTATTATTTATTTTAACGTAATTTTCTAATAAAAAATCAATAAAACTTAAGTCTCAAATGATGATTCATAGATATCCATTATAATAATTATTATTTACAGGTGGACATGTCCAAGGTGAAGCTGGATGTGCTGAAGCCATGGATCACACAGAAGATCACGGAAATCTTGAAGATGGAAGATGATGTAGTAATTGACTATGTCAACAACCAGCTTGAGGAGAAGGTGAGTCTCTATCCTTCTCTTCTTTTATGTGTATTTCTATTAATAAGAAAATGTAATCATTGCAGTTTCTTTACAGTTGGATTTGAGATTATATTATTTAGATTTAAAGTAGTTATTAGGATTTTGTTTGTAATCTAAGACTGTTGAAAAGAAACTGCAATTGAAGGATGATGTCAAATGTATATTGATTGCGTATGGATATTTTTATGGTCCACACCGGTTAGTGCGCCGTCGAAGCCGCCTCAGCCCGCTGCCGCCAGCACCCCGCCGCCGGCCGCCGGCTCCGCTCTTTCGGAGGCCCTTAGCATTCTCAATCGGTATTTACGGGGAAATTAAATACTATAACCATGCTAATTGTAAAGCATCAAACGCAGTGGAGTTCCCTAGTTTGCGACTTTTAAATAAATGGTCAATGTATTGAAGACAAATTTGTTAAAGCCGTTAAGAGAATTTTTGATTTGACTCGAGGTATGGAAGTCCCGTTTTTAGGCCTTGCGTTCAGCATAATGTGGTTGTGTTCGCAAAACCCTTACAGGTATGAAGACAGAAGACAGACCGCGCTGCATCTTCGTCTGGCGGCGCCGAGTACGCAGAGCTTCGTAGCAGTCCGCGTGCGACGCTGCGTCTTCTCGCTGTCGGCGCTTCGCTGTCGCTGAGCCGGTTCCAGCACTAATGAAATGAAACTTAATATCACATGTACATACCACAAGCTTCCTTACCCGAGTCATTTCTGTGCTGGAAATTGTTTTGATTTCATATTTAGAATATGCGGCGCTCTTGACGGCTTTTCAATTATTTTTATTTTCCTTAAACCTGTTTTGTAAAAGTGAGAAAAAATTAGTGGAACAAAAATAGTTAAACAAGCGGGCTAAGTGATAGGGTGTAAAATATCAGAATTGATGACGATTAATAATATATGATCTTTTCTTTCCCGATCCTGTTTCCTCGACTCCTAGTTCCCTTGTCCCAAGAAAATGCAGATCAACCTTACTGGGTTCTTGAACGGAAAGAACGCGCGGCTCTTCATGGGTGAGCTGTGGGAACTGCTGCTGAGTGCCCAAGCCAGTGAAAATGGTATTCCAGAGTCTTTCACACAACAGAAGAAAGAAGAAATTAAGAAAAGAATGGTAAATATAAGTTTAGATGTGTCACATTGCATGAAATTATTATGCAAGAGCTGATTGCATGTACCTCAAAAATTGTTTACTAATTATTTGGTAATTTTATAACTATAGGAAGAACAACAGAAGGATAAAGATAAAGACAAGGACCGGCGCAGGTCGCGAACACGGTCGCGGTCTCGTCGCAGGTCCCGGGAGCGGCGGCGCTCACGGTCCAGATCACGAGATCGTTCTTCTGATAGAAAGTGAGTAATTGTTTGTAAAATATTGGTTTTCAAGAACATTAATAAAAACCCAACTTAAATAGTTGGATTTTTTACTTTTAACTCTTTTTTCAATGCTAATTTTAATATTTTATTTAGACATCGCAATGGCGGAAGCCCGCGACGGTCGAGGCGCCGCAGTCGCGATAGGAGTAGCCAGTCCAAGTCTTCACATGTAGAAGAAATTAAACCAGCTGAACCGAAAGGTACATTATTTAATATTTTTAGTGCACTATATTAACTAACTATCAAATACTGAAAGGCTACTAAATTTTAAGTTGTACTTAAATATTGTGACATCTCTGTCATTTTACAAAGAATTGTAGTCACAGAATTGCACTTAAGTGCGTCTTAAAATTGTGTGGTGTTTGAGTATTTGGATATAAGTAAGAAACGAAAAACGGGTTGCAAAGGCAGCTTTATCATTAAAAACGATATCTCTCAAATAAACTTATTTCAAACTTAAATGAATAAAAATAATAATGATGTTGTTTGCTACCAGAAAATGGAAAATCTCCTGAGAAGAAAGAAGAGCCGGAGGTAAAGGAGGAGATCAACCACAACACTGCAGTTGACCCTATCAAGGAAGAGGTGAAGGAAACTGTTGTTAAGGAAGATAAAAATGAAGATGAAGGAAATAAGTCTCGATCAGTGTCACCTGCCAAGTAAGTATTAATAATGACTGATGATGATATTATCTTTTAGGTTTTATAAACTTGGTATTTCTCTCAAATCTATAAATTTCTCATTTCAACCATTTAAATGTTTGTAGGTCTACTGGGGAGAAACCATCTGAAGAAAAACCCGCTGATAAGTCTGCCAGGCGATCATCTAGCGAAAGACGATCCACATCCGTGTCATCACGTTAGTATAATAAAAGCTTTGAGCTAATCTGAAAGTATTTTTTTATTAGTTTATTCACTTATCCATCAATAAAGATAAAACGATTGTTGTAGGAGGGAGTGCCAAGAAGAGGTCGTCACACAAGAAGCGTCAATATCGGTCCAACCGCGATTCATCGACCAGTGTCAGTCCTAGACGCAGTTCTCGCAGAGAAAGGTAAATTTTTGAACCTATGTATATTTCACCCGTTATGTTTTCGGGGAAACCCGATTAGTTTATTTATTGAGAGCATTTACTCATTAGCTCTTAACGCGGCTAGGTCGCGAGCCCGAGAGAGTTCGGCTCGTCCGGCGAGTCCGAAACCGTGAGTATAGCCGCACACAATGTTATTTAGGAAAAAAATTAAGAGAAATGCTGTGATTAGATATCCACTAATGTATTATTACTAATGATATAGGAGTAAGTCTCGCCGCCGCAGCAGTCGCCGCCGGTCATTGGAGCGCCGCGACAGGGAGCGCGAGCGGGAGCGGGAGAGGGAGCGCGAGAGGGAACGCCGCCGCCGCGAGAGAGAGCGCCGAGAGAGGTATACATTACATTCATTTATATACAGCCTATACCGTTTATTGTTCCTTAACCCCAATCACATTAAATTGTATTTTATTTGAAACATGGTAGTCTTTTCCCTTGGTCCGCAGGGATCAGTTTCTCTTGTCACTGGAATGCTTTCGATAATTGGGAAGTCAAAGTCAGTTTATTGTAGTTGTATCTAACTTTGAGTTCTTTTTTAAGGTCTCGTGAACGTCGCCGTTCACTGGAAAGACGCAGGCGATCGCGTTCTCGTTCACGTAGGCGCGCAACTAGAGAGAGGTAATCATTATCTTCTTAATAACAATTCATTCATTTAACATAAGTTTTATAATAACAACTAAATATTGGTGTATTTTTAAAAGACATGAATGTATTCCAATGAATTGAGAACCTTGTGTGATTTCCAAATTGTTATCTTATGATAATGAATTTAATGTAATGTTTTTATGAATATTCGATAAGGTCTCGCGATCGTCGGCGATCCCGATCTCGAAGGCGATCTGCGTCTCGTTCACGGCGTCGTTCTGGTCGTCGCTCACGTGATCGACGCTCAAGGGATAGAAGATCCAGAGACAGGCGTTCGAGAGATAGGTCCAGGTAACAAAAAAAAAAACTATTTTGCTTAAATTAAAATTGCAACTGTATCAGAAAGAATATGTCTAATATTATCAATATTATTGCAGGGATAGGAGATCGAAAGACCGCACCAAGGACAGGAGGTCAAGAGACAGGAAGTCGAGAGATCGCAGATCCAGCGACTTAATCAAAGAAAGATTAGAAAAATCAGTTTCTATCCCTCGTAAAGGTTGGTTTTAAACTATACTTATGAAATAAATAAGTTTGCTAATCAATTACATTTTGTTAAGTACTTTATATAGTGATAGCATGACTTATAAAATTTAAAACATTTTGTTTTGTAGAAAACCTGGAGAAGCTGCATAAAAAGTCGTCTGAGCGAAAATCATTACCACGGGAGCAGTCTAAAGAGCGAGTGGCATCTAGTACGAGTAGGGAATCTTCTGTTGCAAATGACAAACCTATTCCACAAACTGATGACCAAGTCAAACCAGCTCATTCATCTGACGACGAAGACAGAGAAGATATTATTGCTATTCCGCCGTTGCGTGAATTTTCGAAGAGCTTGTCGCGTACACCCTCTCCTTTCTTAAGAAAACACGAAATTGAACACAAGAAGTCTGACAGATCTGGGGACGAAGCATCAGCAAAGGAACAAAATGAAGAAGAGTCTAAGCCCAGAGAAGTGAAGAAAGCAAAACGCAAGACACAACAATCTGAATCAGAAAGCGAGAGCAGTGAAGAAGTTTTGAAAGCCAAGTCTAAGTCAAAAGTTAAACGCAAGGACAAAGCTACTTCGAAGAAAACCAAGAAACCTAAGAAAGAAAGTTCCTCGAGTGAAAGTGATTCAGAAGATAGTTCTTCCAGCGATTCTGAAGATGATAGGAAGAAGAAGAGCAAAAAGAGCGCTAAAAAGAAATTAGCAAAAAAATCACGCAAGAAAAGAGCACGTTCATCTAGTTCAGAATCGAGTTCGGAAGAAGAAGTGAAACATAAGAGCTCGAAATCTAAGCAAAAGAACATTCCAGAAGAATCTGATGTCGACAAAAAGTCGAAAAAGCGTAACAAAGACAATACCATTGAACATTCAAGGTCAGAAAAGGGAGAAGGCAAGCAAAGCAAGTCAAAGAAAGTAGAGAACACTGATGATTCTCGCGATGACAGCTCTGACAGTGATGAAAAGTCGAGTAAGAAGAAGCCCGTTAAGCGAGATACGAGTTCCGAAAAAGAAACTAGACGGTCAAAGAAGTTAGATACAACTAAAGAACGTGCAGCTTCACCAGATGGTGTTAAAAGTAGAAAAACAGAAGAAAAAGTTACTAAAACCAAACATTCGGAGGAAGTTAAATCTAAGTCACGCGAAGATACTGAAAAGAAGGCCAAAAAACGTGAGAAAGAGGAATCGTCGTCAGATAGCGACCAGGTGTCTAAAAAGAAGGCTAGGAAGAAGGTGTCCGAATCGGATTCGGAATCTGATAGTGATGAGCCTAAAAAGTCAAAGAAGGCCAAGAAACATAAGAAACACTCTAAGAAGCATAAGAAACACAAAAAGCATAAGAAAGCTTCAAAAAAGAAGGATGACTCCTCTGATAGTGATGAAGCCGAGGAAGAGGAGGAAGAGGGTAAGGTAAATAACGAAGATTTAGAAAAGAAACTTCGTGAAAGAGCATTGAAATCGATGAAAAAGCAAACTAGTGTTTCAGGGTCTGACTAGCCCTTCATTTTTTTTTTATCCACCGCGCTTACAAAACTGACTTTAACGAGTTTCAGTGGCTTAGAATAAATGTCTTTATTTTACTGTATGTTAAAATTTTAAAAATGAAATACCTAGCAAGTATGGTTTTAAGATAACGTGTATGTCACATTGTTAGAAATAAAGATTTCAACTGTGTAACCTTGTTTTATTTCGCAAATACCATTTCAACTGTACCTGTTGTCCTCAAGAAACTTAATTTCATTACAACAAAGGTGTATTTTGTTCCAAATATCCGAAAACGAATTGATTTCTTCAATGACCACTTCATTTATTTTTTGGTTTTAATTATAATGACGAAATATCACAAATCGTTTTACACATGAACGAGTAAAAAAAAACTTCAATGCAAATTAAAGTACACAATTTATTAGGGATGTTGGTTTTAGGTACACTTTGAATGAGACTGATGATTTGCTTAACATAAACTTTGGATGTACTTTGGTAACTTATACTGAGAATAAATAGTTGATTGTCTTATACATAAGTACTTAATTTGCTATTTATTTTCTCGAATAACCTCTATATCCGGTCACTAAACTTGGTGTGATTCCGCTGTTGTAAATGTTGCCATAACCGGGTCGTCGGTAATACCCGTAGCCCAAATGATTAGCTCCTTGGTAGGATGGGTTGCTGTAGCCGTAGTATGAGTTCAATCCACCGTTGCCGGAATACCCACCGTAGCCCCCATATCCTGCACCGTATCCTCCTTTGTAGCCGCCGTAGCCAGCAGCCCCATAACCGCCATAGCCTGAGTTTCCATAGTAACTGCCTCCGTAGCCACCACCGTATCTTGGGTATTCTGAGTCATAACCATTGTAACCATAAGGGCTATCGTATCCCCCGAATCCGCCATAATTGTATCTACTGTCTACAGTACCGTAACCTGTGACTCCTTGAGCACTAGGATAGCGACCCCAATCTGCATAACGGTCTCCTGCGTCTGAAAGAAAAGTAACACGGTTGTCATTTTATTCGCTGGTTACTAATTTTTAAACATCTGTAAGTAGGTACTTAATAGTGAAACAAGTGAATTTATTTCTGCAAATAGGCTACAAGGCAGCACTTTTAGAAGTCAATTTTATCAAGCGAACGATGAGGCCGACATTACATAACTGATTACTCAGAAGAAATGCCGAAACAAACTCAGAGGTCCGTCTCTTTTATAATAATTTTATGAACACCTATACCACCTATACCCACTAACTAGAACCAGATACATACCATTATTTTTATATTAAATGAGGTGTACATAATTGTATACTTACAACCACTGCTAGCAGCTGTTTTCAAATCATCTTTATCGTCATTTAGACCTTGTGAGTCCGAAGCCGACTTTACTGAACCTGACACTTCGTTGGCAGGTGCTGCACACGTATGCTCAAATAACACTAGAGCAGCTAGTAGAATAATCACTCGTGGCATCATCTGAAGAAAGAAAGCGAAAATAGTTACCTAGGTAAGGTATTATATTTTGTATGTCTTAATTAATATCAACAACATATTATCATCACTCAATGATATATTAGCGTAGTGCACACACACAGACTCTGTGCGTCCCGTTCATGAAAAAAAAAACAAATAATTAACTTAACCCGGGAATCAAACTATTTATAATAGAAACTCTGCTCGACCGACAGTGGAGCTTGTATTGCCCTTACATTCTTACAATGTGTCTGAAATATCTAAAAGCATTGCGAACGTTCAGTTTATTCGATTATTTTTTTTCAAAGGTTTTTGTTAGTTTAAGAAGCGCAATGAATTTTGAAATTAGCTTGTCATTTGGTTTACGAACCCGGAATCTCGTGCTCGAGCGGCGTGTCACTTAACTTCCTGTCGCTACAGTCACGTAATACGTTTAATGGGATATTTTTTTAAGGAACTTGCCTAAAATCTGTGTAGGTAATTATTAAGTAATTTGAAACCTTCAAAACCACTATAATTAGACACCTTTAACTTATAATCTAATGTCGGTATCGTTCCGTATAATACCTCTAGTTCCGTTTTTCCATAGTTCCGTTGTTTTTTAATTAGCTGTACATATGTGAAGTTATTATAAATATGCAAACACCTTTGACCCTCAAAACAATAATGACCACGATGTTAGACCAATATGTACCTACTTAGATGTTATTCCCACGTAACGTTTATAGGTAGGTTCAAGATATTCAGATAACCTATTCAATTATTCATTGACGAAGTACAAGTTTGGTTACGGAGTCTTACGTACCTAAGTAAGAGCACTTAATGACTTATAGGTAATACTTCTATTATATGATTGTCTTATCTGACCGCTACATGTTTTGTTATTTCTAGTTGCCATTGGCCAGATAGGATCGTGAGTTTACCTAAATAAAAGAAGCTATCATGCTATTATGTCATAGGCAGGCCGGGAGTCGCGGAGAACCTAACGGGTAACTGAGGCTCCGGCTCGACGTGCAGGAGAAGGAACGGGGTGGTTTTTAGTCAGTAAGAGTCTGACACTCCCGCCTCACCCAGGCGGGAACAGTCATTCGATGATTTATCCCCTTAAAAAAAGGCAGGCCGGGAAGTTGACGTTTAAGCGTAATACTTTATGATGAGGAGTATCCAAATCACCCCCATGTATGTTCTACGATTTTGCTTTGTTTTCGAGTTATAATTTTTTAATGATGTCTTTCGTAATTTTCACCTAACATCAGTTTTTCTCACTCTGTTGGCCGTTTCTGGTTCAGATGTTTTGTGATAACTGACTAACATAGTTTAATTAACCAAAAGTTATGGTTTATCTAGGCATTGCAGAATTTACCTAGAATTACTGTGTATTGAGCTCAAAACGTAATTTTGAACTTTGGAACAAAATTCTAACATAACATAACATCACGGCTTTTATCCCTGAAGGGGTAAGTAGAGGTGCGCATAACGGCACTTAATGCCACTATACAATGTAACACCCACTTTTCGCTATTTATATTATGAGTCCTATGTAATATGGGGTGAGCCTATTGCACATTTCCAGAATCCGTGCTACTACTGAGATTTTTAAAAACCCAGTAATACTTTGCCCGACCCGGGAATCGAACCCGAGACCCCTTCCCCGGCAGGCGCACTGGCGACCACTCGGCCAACGAGTCAGACAAATTCTAAGTAAATAGTACTCGAAAGGTAGGTAACAATTTATTTGTTAATGTAGGTATAATATAGAGGTAATCAAAATAGTACAACATTACAGTTACATAAACCGATGCGTTGTTATTATATAAAAAAAGAGTGAGAGAGAAAAAATCTTTAGGTTTTACACATCAAACGATCTGCTTAACAATCCTTTTTAGGATACCTTCACTTCTAAAAAATAAAATATCAACAAAAAACTCCATATCAATGCCGGTACATTGCAATTTACCTCTATATTCGATGATGATTAAATTCATGTTATGTTAGGTATGACTTGATGCCTAATTTGTAAGATTAAAATTGCATAATGAATCAAAGTAAAAGTGAAATGATCAATAAAAAATTTAGACTGCAAACTTTCACTGGATTGAAAATGAAGTTGTAATTTACAGAGATAGGTGTTTAGATTTCTACACTTCATAAATTGATCGACAAATCCTTTCTATAATTATAATGGAAGCTTGTTGATACCTATAATTAAGCAACCATTTATAAATGTATCGGATCTTTACCTGTCGTGGTGACCGAGAGCCGCCGAGAGCTGGAGCCCGAGGCGACACAAGGATTTTCTCCTGTGTCGTGGGTGCGTTCAAAATATACGATTTCACATACACATGAAACCTAGATCCGGAAGAACAATTTGTTGATCAAACTAAGAGTCGTTCCGTGCGGGAATCGAACCCGCGACACGTTGCACGGCAGCTGGTTGCCCCCTGTCCAGCCACAGCACCGCACCAACTATGCGGACGAGGTTTTGATTCTCGATTCGAGCAAAGTATATTAGATTTAGAACTATTTGGGAAAATTCCTAATCTTAACATGTTGTCATAATTAGGTTGTATGGTAATACGCTGAATCACTATTAAACTGTCAAACACCAAGCGGTCACCGGTGACCGCGACCTATTGTTCTTTAATTGTGTCTATAAAACCGGTACTCGACGAGTTAAGTGGGAACAGTTTAACCCAAACACTTAAGTGGCAGAAAAGTCTCTACAATTCGGTTACACCTTCCAAGAATAAAAGGCGTGATGTTTGCATAATTATAAAATGTCTCATTTCGTTAACTTTTGCTTCTATGCATTTTGATAACTGGGTACCTAGATGTTTTACTCCAGAAGCACATGCTCCATATAGTATAAGTAGGTGCCTAGAGAGAGAGAGAGACAAGAAGCCCGAAAATGGCAAAGTTATTAACTATTCGATTACAGTCTACATTTATGATATGCCACTAAATAGCCACTTCATTGAATTGAATTAGGACTTGTTACAATATAATTAAGTCTTGGTAGATTTAGAGGTAGCATATTAGGTCCTAATTATTATATTCGATCAAAAGTTAGAAGGTACATTATATTCGAAATGAACATCATTTAAGCACTGGTGTAAATACTTGTAAGTAATACATTGGTCCGAACTTAGAAGGTGGCTTCATAGGCGTTGTTGTGTTAAATATTTAACACAATATATAACACTACACGGTTAGCTCTGTAGCCCAGTTAACGATTGTCTTATAAACGTGCAGGGTTTGAATCACGAACGAAACAATGCATTTGTTTGTTGTAACCGAATCTAAAAACAAAGCAATGCCTTGACGCTTTTTTCATTGGTTTAATTAATATTTAAGTTATTTGATTAAGAATAAGAATAAGAACGTTTATTTGCACGAAGTATGGTAATTACAGGTAGTAATAATTATAAAAAATAGTCCCACATACATCGCCTACTGTTTTCGGCATGCAAAGTTAAGTTTTACAACATAATAAGGTTAAAACCTTACATTCAATAAAACCAATTACAAAAATGCTTACAACTAGGATAACATAATTATTTCTCCTAACATATTATTCTTACTTTTCTTCTTTATTCATATATTTATCATATTAGTGGTTATTAAACTTGTTATTATTTAATTATGAAAGACGAAATGAACACAACATCGCCTTTGTTGTTCTCCGAAAGAGTAGATCGAGTTGCACTTACAGTCCCTACCCTGTTAAGACTAAACTCACTCTTATATTTCTAAGTAATAAAAAAACTACTTACGGTTAAATTTTTCAAAAGCAAACAGTACCAATTAGAATTTCACGAGCAGTGTATAGTAAATCACGACACAGGTTCTCCTCGTAAGTAGAGATGCGCTCTGCGTACGTGTTCGTACGTTCCAACCTTTATAAACCGTGGGAGTTTTTGTCTTGTAATTGATAATGGTCACCGGGGAGGTAATGAGTCCGTTTGTAGGCAGCTCGTCCTTCTGTCAAGACTCAAGACTATGACGCATGCGCACGTATACGTAATACAATCATTATCACTATACATAATGGTAGCTCTATTCTCCCATGAGGTGTGTTATGGTCCCAAAGTGCATACAGTACAATATACGGAAGCATCGACTAACCCTGAAGGCATTCGCATCATATTTTTAAATGGACAATGGTGGTTTATTAATATTTACATTGTCAAGTTTGTGGATTTTTTTTTGGTCTTTCCGTTTGCAATAAACAATATTTCTTTTTGCATTTTCAGGAAATAATTAATTCTTCATCGTAAATTAAACGTTATTTAGTAGTATCAGTAGTTGCTACTGTGGCAATATCGGTGTACCGTAAACTGTAGGTGGTACTGTCTCATTGCAAAGTAATGATTTAGTTGATACAGTATGAATTAGATCCTCATTTTGCTATTTAAGTTACCCATTCATAGCCTAGAGTTGTAAAATAATAATAACTTACTGTACGATTTCCTGATTTTTTTTTAAATTGTACCTAAAATACAAAGGTTTAACATATTTATTTATAGTAAATAAACTTCAATGAATTGTGTATCAGTCATTGCTCCATTATCGATACCATATTTAATCCAGCACCCACAACTTCAGTGTGCGTATCTGTATTTATAATCTCATTCAATACATACTGTATAATGGATAAACCCGTTACAAAAGGAGCCACTAAATGTAGTTCTAACTTGTTACTTGAATGAATGACTATATGCCGTACTATAGACACATTCATTCAGTTTTTTCATGACGTTAAAACGTGCCTTTCGGGAGCATTTGATCGAAGAATTTTATTTCTAACTAGATGAACCCGCAAATACGTTTGCGTTTTTCTAAAATTAAAGTTGCCTGTTACTTTACTGTATTACTCCGAAGTACATTAGCTATCTGCCAATAAAAGTACTGTCAAAATCCGTCTAACCATTCCAGAGATTAGCCAGTACAAATAGACAGACAGACAAACATACAAAATTGTAAAAAGTATGCGTGCAGTAAACGCAGTTATTTCAATATTACAAACAGATACTCCAATTTCATCTACCTGTATAGATAGGTATTAGGTATTCATAAACTTAATGAGTTGTTTAACTCGTCGAGTACCGGTTTTATAGACACAATTAAAGAACAATAGGTCGCGGTCACCGGTGACCGCTTGGTGTTTGACAGTTTAAAGTAAACTAACACAGACAGGTGACAGATGAAGATACATTTTGTTAAACATAATATCGAGGGGCTCCTATAATTTTTATTCTTCGTACACGAATATGTTACATATCTCTTCATCGGTCAATGGTTCATCACCAGGCATTAAGTCCACCAATGTATGCTCAATTGGTACTGAAGTGGAAAATATATAAAAAAAATGCAGTAAAATCTCATGTCATGAGAGGCGGTACAAAGTTAGCAACACGATCCATATCATGAAGAAGTAATTGACAGATATAGATTTCGTTGATATGGTGAAATGTGTTGGTAGGAATAAGATGTAGCACTCTCACGCTTGACTGGCTTGGTTGGAGGTCGTCAGCCAAGGTTACACTCATCCCTGTCCCCTCCGTTGATCACACAACTTTTTTGCCACTCGTCATCATCTAAGTACAATTGTCATGTGTCTATTGTTTACACCTCCCTGGTTACACAGTCACAACACGAAATTCTACCTTAATTGCAACGGCACAAAGTCGATCTGTTAATGTACAAGTGTATTTACTTTAGACTTTGCGTGAAACATTAGATTTTCAATGTTGAAATTACAAAGTCGGGCGTACCCGCACTTCCCTAATAGGATTACCCAATGATTTACTTAAATACCATTGTACTTAAAGCGGAAAAACCGTTTTCTTGAGCGACATTAAGTTTAAGTCTTCTATGGCGAAACAGTGGATTAGTCATTCGTGTTTAGTTCTTAGTCAGATTAAGTACCTGTTTTATAGCTGTTACACCCTAACTGTGGTTTTGTAATTACTGTACGTATGTACCTAGATGATATTATCCATCTAGTCTATTCATCTAGAATTTAGACGCCTCTATTCTACTAGGTAAAAGATTAATGAATGGATTACGACATTATTGTTATAATAAGTAGTGTGTGTTAGCACCTCGTTGGCCGAGTGGTCGCTATTGCGACTGCCGGGCAAGGGGTCTCGGGTTCGATTCCCGGGTCGGGCAAAGTATTACTGGGCTTTTTCAAAAAATCTCAGTAGTAGCACGGAGTCTGGAATTGTGCCCGGTATATGGCAATAGGCTCACCCCCTACTACATGGGACTCATAACATAAATAGTGAAAAGTGGGTGTTACATTGTACAGTGGCATTGAGTGCCGTAATGTACACCTCTGCCTACCCCTTCGGGGATAAAAGGCGTGATGTTATGTTATGTTATGTTATGTTATGTGTGTTAGCACACTAGAATTTTTATTACACGGTTGGTGCAGTGACCGTCCGTACGGATACTGCACCACGTGCGCCGCGGTTTCGATTCTGGTATTATTCTGATGTGTAGGCATCGTTTAACAAACTTGAATAAAAAACTCTCAAAAATTCTTATTTCTTTGTAAGAAATTGGTTGACACCTTTACATTACAAAAATATTTTAATAGGTGGTTCTTTGGAGTTAAATTGTAATCCACTACACCATAGGCCCTCCCGCTTGAGACATAACTAAAGGATATTGGAGCTGTTTTGAGAATCTAGTATGATATCTTGAAGGGGATGTAAAAGAGGTATTAATATATTAGATATTCATTTGCATTGACACAGGTTATAGGTTGTAAGATTATGGCTTTGGTCACTAAAAGGCAAATACGAAAATCTCGACGTACGTACAGTTTGGCAATTTATCTTTAGAAGTAGTTATTTTGAGTTTTAATGTCGGTTAAAAGTCTAATGACTATTATTTCAGTAATACTTCCGTCTAATGTGCTTGTGTAACTCAAAAATGTTAATATTAAACTACCTACAAAAGCCATTATAATCTTGTTATGAATTCCTCAAAATTGTTGTTTTTTGTACAATTTGTGTGACAATTATGGCAGCTATGTGAATATAAAGTCGAAAACAGTATGAACGACGATTTAGTATGGTGGTCTTTGACAAGGCCATGACTCACATAATATTGTAATGACAATGCCTTAAAAAATTAAGATAATCTTATGACAACAATTTTAGGGGACGCTGCAGCAGGTACCTGAAGAAATAAATAGGTCATTGTTCAACAAAACTTCTTCAAAGATAGAACCAGAATATGTCTAGCTAAAACTTTCAAGTATCTAACCATTTATCTATTTTTGTGTGAGTTAATAACTATGACACATTAATGAAATAAGAAGGATCATCCATACATATCTATCTGTACCTATGTATTAATTTGCCATGTTGTCTATATTAGTGACTTATGATTATCCATGTTGTATGGGAGCCCTGTGAGCTGTGGGATAATGTTTAGAGCCTCGCAGTGACCCGTGACGATGCATTGGAGTCACGGCTGTTGTGGTATACAATGCAAGATACGTGGGTTACTACTTGCATAAGTATTTGCAAACGCGATAAGCGAGTTTTGCATCCAACTAAATGGTTTTATTCGGCAATATATTCTAAAGCTATTATATTCCGTCGACATTGTTCATTGGACTGATAGGTACGTGTGTAACAAAAATAACGGTCATTTTATTTGATAATTTAGGATTCTGAAATCAAACCAACATGTATTTAATTATAAAATTTAATTTATTATTTCTTCGTGACAAATGATGACGCTTAGTAATTACTTATGAAATTCAATTAATAACATAAATGGCAACATCGAACTGAATATTTATATTTGTAAATATTACATACAAAAGCGTATCATGAAATAATAAAAAATGTTGAATACTTATATATTTATAATACAATTTTCTTTAACCTATGAATGACGTATCTATTTGCGGGTAATAAATATTGTGCTTGACGTCATTTTATCAAATTTTGAGACCGTCCAAGAATTTCTTTAAATCGGACAGTCTCAAAATTATCTTAAATCGTATACCAAAAAGAGGTTATGAAGATTCTTGGTATACATAATTATATATATATACCTATTTAGTTTTTAGAGACCCTAGTTCTACCGGTTCTAGTTCTTCTTCTTTGACTCTTTGTTTCAATTATCTGTTTCTTTTCATTTTTGTCGTTCGTTTCGTCTAGTATCCGCGGGTGAGCGGCGATTGTGCGTATACTCTTCTCTAATGGTTTGATTTGATTTCTTAGGAGGTCATCTAATTCAGTTAGAGATTTAATTTCTTTGAGATCTTTAAGATCCTTGAGATCCTTGAAGTTAGTACTGCGTCCTCCATTAAGTCTGCCTAAGTATCGATAGATATCACTGCTAGCTTGACATTGGTTGCAGCTGTATTGAACAGGGACAGCATTAGGGAAATTCTGTTGAGCGCTATTCATGTTGGAAGCGTTTCCTGGGCAGTATGGTACGAATACTACGGGAACGAATCCAATGATGCCGTACGGTGGGTACTGCGGCTGGTTCTGATAGTGAGGTGGAGCCGTTGCTTGAGGTCCTTGTCCTTGTACGCTCGTTTCGTTCTGTCCTGGTTTAAGTAAATAGCACGGGCAAGACGCTGGACTAGGGACGATGGGCAGCGGGTACGGAATAACGTAGATAGGGAATGGTGGCATTTGACTTGATGGTACAGTTGCAGGTGGTTGTACTCCGGTGCCAGACGGTGACGTTTCAGAATCTGGAAACAAAAAAATCCTTGTCAGACTTAATTTACTACATGCGTAACATGTCATTTAACGTTGATTGGATACTCTAAGCATTTAATGTTTACTGAGGTATATGTTATCTTCACAAACTACAATCACACATTAAACCATCATGTTTGGATTTTTGTGTCTATATACTCAATGAAAAAAAAGTACCTGGGTATTGTCCTGGTTGAATTGGTTGGCCTGGCTGTCCTGGGTATCCTGGTTGTCCTGGTTGTCCTGGGTATCCTGGTTGACCAGGCTGTCCAGGGCCTCCTGGCTGTCCTGGCTGTCCTGGGTATCCCGGCTGCCCTGGTTGGCCTGATTGTCCTGGGTAACCCGGTTGTCCTGGTTGTCCTGGGTATCCTGGTTGACCAGGCTGTCCAGGGCCTCCTGGCTGTCCTGGCTGTCCTGGGTATCCCGGCTGTCCTGGTTGACCTGGTTGTCCTGGTTGTCCTGGGTATCCTGGTTGACCAGGTTGTCCAGGGCCTCCTGGCTGTCCAGGCTGTCCTGGGTGTCCCGGCTGTCCTGGTTGACCTGGTTGTCCTGGTTGGCCTGGTTGTCCTGGGTAACCCGGTTGTCCTGGTTGTCCTGGGTATCCTGGTTGACCAGGTTGTCCAGGGCCTCCTGGCTGTCCTGGCTGTCCTGGTCGTCCTGGTTGGCCTGGCTGTCCTGGGTATCCGGGTTGTCCTGGTTGACCTGGTCGTCCTGGTTGGCCTGGCTGTCCTGGGTATCCGGGTTGTCCTGGGTGTCCTGGTTGACCAGGCTGTCCTGGTTGTCCTGGTTCACCTGGTTGTCCTGGGTATCCAGGTTGCCCAGGTTGCCCGGGTTGTCCTGGTTGTCCTGGTTGTCCGGGGCCGCCTAGAAATATTATTAACATTAACACAATTTTCTACACCCTGATAGTTAGAGGGAGGGGCTAGGGGTGTTGGTAACTTTATCTCTACTTTTCGAACTGCTTCTATTATACTAGCTTTTACCCGCGGCTTCGCTCGCGTCACAAAAGGATAAAAAGCCAATGTGACATATACCAATACACACAGCGCCATCTATACCAATACTTTTGATTTTCCCTCGGTAATATCAAATTTTTCAGGTATAAAAAGTACCCTATTATTTAATCGGGACTTGTAACTTTACGTCTGCAAAATTTCAAAGCAATCGGTTTAGTAGTTTCGGCGTTAAAGTGGAACAAACAAACAAACAAACAAACAAACAAACTCACTTTCCGATTTATAATATAAGTAAGGAGTAAGGATATAAGTAAGGAAGTAAGGATTATTAGTATCTGCTACCATTTAGGAGCTGCCCAAAATCGAATCATTGTACATTCAGGATATGTACTCCAGGTTTTATAATGAGTCTATAAGGCTCAAATCATGGTGACAACGTGTATTTTAACTATCTATGACTACATCACTTGTAAGAACGAATATTATACAAGATATTTTTTATTTATTAAAACACCTTAAATCCTTACTTTTATAAATGGAGAATGTTAACGTTTTTAGAAATGTGGTTAAATATGAAGCCCTTTTTATTAAGAATTGATCTGTATAGTTTTGTCGTGCAATCAAAATTGGCTGAAATATAAGCGTCTAAAGATTTGATTTGATGACTTGCAATATTCATCCAAAATTTACATTGTACTGTGACGTCGTCATAGCTCAACGTCTCATACTTTTTTTAAAAATATAGTGAAAGGTAGTACTGTACCGTAATAGGTATTATTAGTTAAGCTACCTATGTAAGATACAAATGCCTAAGTACTATTTTAATCTTACGTTACAGTATCATTCCCCATTGTTTTCTATTGTATTAGATGGATACTTGATTGACTACTATTGAACTACAACTAAGTGAGATATGTGATTAATTAATAAAAATGTATTAAATTTTACCTGGCTGCTCTGGCTGACCTGGACCACCGGGTTGCCCTTGCTGTCCAGGGTATCCTGGTTGACCTGGTTGTTCTGGCTGGCCTGGTTGTCCTGGGTATCCTGGTTGTCCGGTCTGGCCTGGATCACCGGGCTGTCCTTGCTGTCCTGGGTATCCAGGTTGACCTGGCTGACCTGGCTGGCCAGGCTGGCCGGGTTGCCCTGGGTATCCTGGCTGGCCAGGCTGTCCTGGTTTTCCTGGTTCTCCTGGTTGACCTGGTTGTCCTGGATATCCTGGTTGTCCGGGTTGGCCTGGCTGTCCTGGCTGTCCTGGACCACCGGGTTGTCCTTGCTGTCCTGGGTAGCCTGGTTGTCCTGGTTGGCCAGGCTGTCCTGGTTTTCCTGGTTCTCCTGGTTGACCTGGTTGTCCTGGATATCCTGGTTGTCCTGGCTGACCAGGCTGTCCTGGTTGCCCTGGGTATCCTGGTTGTCCGGGCTGGCCTGGTTGTCCTGGCTGTCCTGGGCCACCGGGTTGTCCTTGCTGTCCTGGGTATCCTGGTTGTCCAGGTTGACCAGGCTTGCCGGGTTGTCCTGGCTGGCCAGGGCGGCCGGGTTGCCCTGGGTATCCTGGCTGGCCAGGCTGTCCTGGTTTTCCAGGTTCGCCTGGTTGTCCTGGTTGTCCTGGGTATCCTGGTTGTCCGGGCTGGCCTGGCTGTCCTGGCTGTCCTGGACCACCGGGTTGTCCTTGATGTCCTGGGTAGCCTGGTTGTCCTGGTTGGCCAGGCTGTCCTGGTTTTCCAGGTTCTCCTGGTTGACCTGGTTGTCCTGGATATCCTGGTTGTCCAGGCTGGCCTTGCTGTCCTGGACCACCGGGTTGTCCTTGCTGTCCTGGGTAGCCTGGTTGTCCTGGTTGGCCAGGCTGTCCTGGTTTTCCTGGTTCTCCTGGTTGACCTGGTTGTCCTGGATATCCTGGTTGTCCTGGCTGACCAGGCTTGCCGGGTTGTCCTGGCTGGCCAGGCCGGCCGGGTTGCCCTGGGTATCCTGGCTGGCCAGGCTGTCCTGGTTTTCCAGGTTCTCCTGGTTGTCCTGGTTGTCCTGGGTATCCTGGTTGTCCGGGCTGGCCTGGCTGTCCTTGCTGTCCTGGACCACCGGGTTGTCCTTGCTGTCCTGGGTATCCTGGTTGTCCTGGTTGGCCAGGCTGTCCTGGTTTTCCAGGTTCTCCTGGTTGACCTGGTTGTCCTGGATATCCTGGTTGTCCAGGCTGGCCTTGCTGTCCTGGACCACCGGGTTGTATTGCTGTCTGGGTAGCTGGATTGTCTGGTGGCCAGGCTGTCTGGTTTTCCAGGTTCTCCTGGTTGACCTGGTTGTCCTGGATATCCTGGTTGTCCTGGCTGACCAGGCTGTCCTGGTTGCCCTGGGTATCCTGGTTGTCCGGGCTGGCCTGGTTGTCCTGGCTGTCCTGGGCCACCGGGTTGTCCTTGCTGTCCTGGGTATTCTGGTTGTCCAGGTTGACCAGGCTTGCCAGGTTGTCCTGGCTGGCCAGGCTGTCCTGGTTGCCCTGGGTATCCCGGCTGGCCTGGCTGTCCCGGGTATCCTGGTTGGCCTGGCTGGCCAGGCTGTCCTGGGTATCCTGGTTGGCCGGGCTGGCCAGGTTTACCTGGTTGCCCTGGTTGACCTGGCTGTCCTGGACCACCGGGTTGTCCTTGCTGTCCTGGGTATCCTGGCTGTCCTGGCTGTCCTGGGTAACCTGGTTGGCCAGGTTGACCAGGCTTGCCTGGCTGTCCAGGTTGTCCTGGTTGCCCCGGGTATCCCGGCTGGCCTGGCTGTCCCGGATATCCTGGTTGGCCGGGCTGGCCAGGCTGTCCTGGGTATCCTGGTTGGCCGGGCTCTCCTGGTTGCCCTGGTTGACCTGACTGTCCTGGACCACCTGGTTGTCCTTGCTGTCCTGGGTATCCTGGCTGTCCTGGCTGTCCAGGGTAGCCAGGCTGACCTGGTTGCCCTGGGTATCCCGGCTGGCCTGGCTGTCCTGGGTATCCTGGTTGGCCGGGCTGACCAGGCTGTCCTGGGTATCCTGGTTGGCCTGGTTCACCTAGTATGCAAAATATACGTGTTATTTAATATTATTTTAATTGTTGTAATTTTTTCACCTGTTTACAACTTATTTGCCTGTTATTTGTATTTATTAAATACCACGTTCTAATAAATAGTAGTAGATAGCTCATGAATTGGAAACAAACTAAGATGGTGGAGATGTAATAGTAGGTCCTGTTGTTTATTGTAGGTTGTAGGACATCATAGTATAACATGGTATCTTTTATCAACTTAAGGGGAGATACTAACTAGATGTACATACACATCTGTAGTGAAAACTCCAATAAAAAATATTTATATCTGGGCTTCCAATTATCTGTTAATTTTTGCTAACCGGATAGTACGGTTATGAAAATTTTACTCGTATAGTAAAATTTTGCTAATTTTCATAATTAATTATCATAATTTTACTATACAGTTTAACAGGATAATATGGATACTTTTAACAATATTATTATGCATGAAACTTATAATCTTTTCTACCGTATTTAAAAGTCAAAATGCTAATTAAGTAAATATCAAAGTCACAGCATAATGATTAAATTAGCTCAATGTAGATAAGAGGCAGTTGGTTCTCACGCTTCTAGTCGATATTGATGCACACAGTACATGCACACAGTGCGATTTATAGTCGAATTATTGGATTTTGAAAGACGAAATTTGAAGTCTATAAAATTGGGATCCAATTTGGATGGGCAGCGTTTGGGAAACTGCGCAACATCTTCTCATCCAACATATTTCAATGCCTCAACGAAAGTCTATAATCAATGTATTATCATCGATGATCTATGGCAGGGCTGTACAAACTATATACCCTCGCGGGCTAATTAAATTTCTTACAAAAGCTGAAGGGCCAGAAAAATATTTTTATTTGTGTAATGACGTTTAACATTGTATTTTTTACTCACAGACAAAACTTGCATACAAATAATACACTGAATTTTATTGTTGTTGCACATAAGTTGTAGATGTTAAGATATAAATCTGTGTCGCGGGCCACACGAAAACAAAACCTATGGATCCGAGATGTGGTCTTTCAACGTGGGCCTCAAGGTCGCTCAGTGCGTAACCGAAAGGGTCATTTTTCTCAATGAGTCAATCTCATGAGTTGGAATAAAAAGAGATCCGCAAACGGACAAATCACTGACATAGCCCAGTGGATAAGCAAGCTGAAGTGGCAGTGGACAGGGCACATAGGACGGAGTACCGACGGCTGCTGGGGCAGTAATGTTCTCGAATGGAGGATACGTAGTGGCAAGCGCAGCGTAAGACGTCCCCGCTAGGTGAACAGAGGACCTGATTGAGGTTACAGGGAGTCGCTGGATCGCTCCGATTTAAAATTATTTGATATCCTACATCTCAATATGGTGTATAAAATCCGATATCTCAATTTTTTTCTACTTATACACATACAAACGCTCAAAAACTAAAAGTCGGGTTACGAAATAATTGAAAGAACTATGATATGTTTTCCGAGTGTCTATTGGCAATTTGTAGCACCTTTTTCGCACGGACGACAACTACCCAAAAAATCCGGTTAGTGATGCAAGTAAAATCCAAGATGTAGAAACCAATGAAAATTTTATAATGAATGGGTCTCCCCTTATACTCCCAACTAAAATTATAAATGCGAAATTTTGTGTTTCGAGTCTGGATGTGATAATACAATTATATTTATAAGATATTTTTGTTAAAGCACCACCGAATGTAAAATTTACTACAGGCAAGGAAAATTTTCATATAAATGTTACCTGGTTGTCCTGGATATCCTGGTTGTCCTGGTTGTCCTGGTTGTCCGGGGTATCCTGGTTGTCCAGGGCCACCTGGTTGTCCGGGGTATCCTGGTTGACCGGGCTGTCCTGGTTTGCCAGGTTGTCCTGGATATCCTGGTTGACCTTGCTGTCCTGGTTGTCCAGGCTGACCTGGTGTGCCTGGTTGTCCTGGTTGTCCGGGGTATCCTGGCTGACCAGGCTGACCTGGTTTACCTGGTTGTCCTGGTTGACCTAGCAATTTTAAATGAATGAATTAACTTAATTTTACATACATACAATCTATTTCGTTTTCATCCCTAAGTAAAACGGTTCTGCGTCGGTGATACACTGCCGAAAGGTAGCATACTTTAGAATTTTCCAGCTGCGTGTGATAATTGCAACTTATTTCAACATGAATTCTTAACGTTATGCGTTTTAATATATGCAAATCTATTATGTATCTTACTGCGCATTAAAAAGCGTTAGTAGTTTGTCCGTTAAATTGTTTTAAAGTGCTTGTTGTAATTAAAGAATCCTTTGATTTTTGTAGCCTCAATTACCTGGGTATCCCGGCTGTCCTGGTTTTCCGGGGTATCCTGGTTGGCCAGGTTGTCCTGATTCACCTGAAAATTTCGTTTACATTGATATATGTGTGTCGTAATATGTTATACTTCTGGTCCAATTTTGAGTTTGTATTAGTTTCCGATGTTGATATTCCCCTTATTGTATATATTACGCTCGCAAAGCAATTAGTAACGTTAAATTATTTTAGCAAAATCATAGCATTTTGAGATAGTTAAGGTTTACTATGGTCGTAAAGATTAAATAATCTTAATAATATAATAATTATTACCTGGGAATCCTGGCTGTCCAGGCTGACCAGGTTGCCCTGGTTGTCCGGGACCTCCTGGTTGACCTTGCTGTCCTGGGTATCCTGGTTGTCCGGGTTCACCTGGTTGTCCTGGGTATCCTGGTTGTCCTGGTTGTCCTGGCTGCCCTGGGTACCCTGGTTGTCCAGGCTGACCTGGTTTGCCAGGTTGTCCTGGCTGTCCGGGACCACCTGATTGTCCTGGGTATCCAGGCTGGCCTGGTTGTCCTGATTCACAAAAAAAAATATTTGCATTAATTTAATGACTGCACGGTGGCACGGTGGCTGGGTAACCGTCTTTCACGCAACGTGTAGCGGGTTTGATTTCCGAACGGAGCAACTCGCGTCTGGGTGACATGATTATGTGGACTTGTAAGTTGGTAAATGCAACCAAGATACAGAAGAAAATCTTAGAGTGGGGCAACATTTAAAAAAAATGAACAACCTTAATTCATAGGATTTTATGTTTATTTGGTCTATGCATCACTATATTAGTGACGAAGTCTCTATCCGATTTGAGAAAAAATTATTTATAAAATATTTATAAAAATCTTATAAAATACACAAAACTAAATGTTATTGCTCTTTGCATTTGACTTAAAGACGAAGTTAAGAGTTGCACGATTTGTGCGACAATTTGACATAATGAGATAATACAATAAATTCTTACCAGGTTGTCCAGGTTGTCCTGGTTGTCCTGGATATCCTGGCTGACCTGGTTTGCCAGGCTGTCCTGGGTATCCTGGTTGTCCAGGTTGTCCTGGGTATCCAGGCTGTCCTGGTTGTCCTGGACCACCAGGTTGTCCTGGGTATCCTGGCTGACCGGGTTTAGTTAGGTCTTCAGGACGTCCTGGCCCTCCTTATAAGAGATAAAAATTAAAAATGCACAATGTGTAAAACTGTCTTTGAACCGTTCATTTTCAATTAAAAAGAGAAAATTTGGTGTGAAAAAAGATCTTTCTTGAAAGTGTTGATACAAATAAGTCAAATAGACGTCACTCGTCTTAGAATATTGGTAATATTACGTCTTATAGTAAACTGTATAACGTATATCTTATTAAACTATATTCGACTGTATACGAACTGTTAACTGTACGATATTGAGTATGTAATGTTTTTAGTTATGTGTGATAAGTATAATAAAATGAGTATCAGACATTCTAATCATCGGAATACCATTATATGCATATTTGAACTGGCATGTGCATGCTATGACAGACAACTGTGTATCCTGTCTTATGACAAGTTTTGCTCACTGTGATCACCATAGTAACCTGTGTTCATCATAGTAATTTAGTTCATTATATTAACCCTTTTAAGCTTATGTATCTATCTTTCTTCCTCACAGACACACCTCTGTTATAATTTATATTTACCTGGCTGTCCTGGTTGGCCTGGGCCTCCTGGCTGTCCTTGCTGTCCAGGCTGCCCTGGGTAGCCCGGCTGTCCAGGTTTACTGGGTTGGCCTCCTTGTCCTGGTTGTCCGGGGTAGCCCGGTTGTCCAGGCTGACCGGGGTAACCTGGTTGTCCTGGCTGTCCTGGCTGTCCTGGTTTACCAGGTTGACCACCTTGTCCCGACTGTCCAGTTTGCCCTGGGTAGCCTGGCTGTCCTGGTTGACCGGGTTGTCCACCTTGTCCTGGTTGTCCTGGGTATCCTGGCTGGCCTGGCTTACCAGGTTGACCACCTTGTCCCGGCTGGCCTGGCTGTCCTGGGTAGCCTGGCTGTCCTGGTTGTCCTGGTTGACCAGGCTGGCCTCCTTGTCCTGGCTGTCCTGGGCCACCTGGCTGTCCTGGTTGTCCTGGGTAGCCTGGCTGTCCTGGTTGACCAGGTTGTCCTCCTTGTCCTGGTTGTCCTTGTTAAGAAAACGTAAATAATTAAACATTTCAAGAAAATGTCAATTAACAATATACTTTCGTTTTCAATCAAAAACATTATAAAGTAAAAAATGCACTTCTTTACCTGGCTGTCCTGGGTAACCCGGTTGTCCAGGCTGTCCTGGGTAACCCGGTTGTCCAGGCTGTCCTGGTTGTCCAGGTTGGCCTGGGTAGCCTGGCTGTCCTGATTGACCAGGTTGTCCTCCTTGTCCTGGTTGTCCAGGTTGGCCTGGGTAGCCTGGCTGTCCTGGTTGACCAGGCTGGCCTCCTTGCCCTGGCTGTCCTGGGCCACCTGGCTGTCCTGGTTGTCCTGGGTAGCCTGGCTGTCCTGGTTTACCAGGTTGGCCTCCTTGTCCTGGTTGTCCAGGTTGGCCTGGATAACCTGGCTGTCCTGGTTTACCAGGTTGGCCTGGATAACCTGGCTGTCCTGGTTTACCAGGCTGGCCTCCTTGTCCTGGTTGTCCTGGGCCACCTGGCTGTCCTGGCTGTCCTGGGTAGCCTGGTTGTCCTGGTTGACCAGGCTGGCCTCCTTGTCCTGGCTGTCCTGGGCCACCTGGCTGTCCTGGTTGTCCTGGGTAGCCTGGCTGTCCTGGTTGACCAGGTTGTCCTCCTTGTCCTGGTTGTCCTTGTTAAGAAAAAGTAAATAATTAAAGTTTTCAAGAAAATGTCAATTTACCATACACATAACATCAACCAGTCAATAATATTATAAGTAAAAATGCACTTTCTTGTAGGTGCTGCTTAGTTTATGCGATGAAAGATGAAATTGGACCTAAAGCTTTCTGTAATATACCGTGTAACCATAATTTGTATTTACCTGGCTGTCCTGGGTAACCCGGTTGTCCAGGCTGTCCTGGTTGTCCAGGGTAGTAACCTGGTTGTCCAGGTTGACCGGGTTGTCCTCCTTGTCCTGGTTGTCCTGGTTGTCCTGGATAACCTGGCTGTCCTGGTTGACCAGGCTGGCCTCCTTGTCCTGGCTGTCCTGGGCCACCTGGCTGTCCTGGTTGTCCTGGGTAGCCTGGCTGTCCTGGTTGACCAGGTTGTCCTCCTTGTCCTGGTTGTCCTTGTAAAGTTAAGAAAAAGTAATTAATTAAAGTTTTCAAGAAAATGTCAATTTACCATACATATAAATTCTCAAGTTCAATCAGTCAATAATATTTTAAGTAAAAATGCACTATCTTGTAGGTGCTGCTTGGTTTATGCGATGAAAGAAAGAAAGAAAGAAAAATAATGTATTCGTCACCAGACATGAGCCACCGAATAACACACAAAATAACATTGAAAAACGAAATAAAAAAAGCAATAAGAACATAAAATAAAATAAAAAAAAATCAGTAAAAAAAAACAACAACGAATCCAAAAAAAACAACATCAAAAAACTAAATAAAAGAACAGGGTGGCAGCATGTCCACGAGGAAAGGTCTCGCCAAGTCAGTCTAAGCTGGGCACAGTATACTTACTGTAAAGCAGTGTGTTCAACACTGCTTTTCAGTTGGCACCCCTGTAGTGACACACAGACAGAAGCAACGAAAAATATTTTTAAGGAAAATAAAACGATTACATAAGACACATGTAAAAAAATATAATAATAATAAAAGAAAAGGAAGACATTTAAAAACAGACCTCTAAGTGTGCAGATTGTGCGATAAATAAATAAATAAATAAAAATAAGTATGCATACATAAACAAGTGTAACGTGTACCGTCACCGAAGGAAAAAAAATTAAATTTATAAACTATATCACGACAATAATATTAGTGTGGGTATGTATGAGGTTGTGAAGCTATCGCGCAGCCCGACACTCATTGCGAGATGTTAAAGCGAGGGACAGGCCGGCACTTCGCCAGCACTGCGGCAACAAGGGTCTCAAGGGTGAGTTTGCGAGATATACTACATTACAATAATAATGAAAGTAATAAATAATGATATAAATAAATCAATATGAAAATGTGAAAACATAATTTGTGTACCCAGTTAAACTAATAAAATAATAAGAAAGATAAGTGTCAGATAAAATAACCGAAATGTCAATATTTATAGATTCACTTTCAATTTGAGAGTTAATAATAAACTCCTTGAGTTTTCCTTTAAAAGTGAATGTGCTTTGCAGGTTCCTGATTGGCGGAGGTATGTTGTTCCAGCACTTAGAAGCTGCATATCGGAAACTACCCCGAAAAGCAGTCGATTTGTGTTGCGGTATAGCCAGCTGTTGTGCACACCGCCTCCCCTCCCGCTGCCGATGAGCATTCACCCACCAGAGCTTCGAGTAGAGGTATGCTGGACACTTGTACTTAATCACACTTAAGAGGAGACATGCCAGGTGGCGCTTACGTCGGGACTTCATGAAAGATGAAACTGAACCTAAAGGTTTCTGTAATATACCGTATAATCATACTTTGTATTTACCTGGCTGTCCTGGGTAACCCGGTTGCCCAGGCTGTCCTGGCTGTCCTGGGTAGCCTGGCTGTCCTGGTCGACCAGGTTGTCCTCCTTGTCCTGGTTGTCCTGGATAACCTGGCTGTCCTGGTTTACCAGGCTGGCCTTCTTGTCCTGGCTGTCCTGGGCCACCTGGTTGTCCTGGTTGTCCTGGGTAGCCTGGCTGTCCTGGTCGACCAGATTGTCCTCCTTGTCCTGGTTTTCCAGGTTGGCCTGGATAACCTGGCTGTCCTGGTTTACCAGGCTGGCCTCCTTGTCCTGGCTGTCCTGGGCCACCTGGCTGTCCTGGCTGTCCTGGGTAGCCTGGCTGTCCTGGTTGACCAGGCTGGCCTCCTTGTCCTGGCTGTCCTGGGCCACCTGGCTGTCCTGGCTGTCCTGGGTAGCCTGGATGTCCTGGTTGACCAGGCTGGCCTCCTTGTCCTGGCTGTCCTGGGCCACCTGGCTGTCCTGGTTGTCCTGGGTAGCCTGGCTGTCCTGGTTGACCAGGTTGTCCTCCTTGTCCTGGTTGTCCTTGTTAATTTAAAAAAAAAGTAATTAATTAAAGATTTCAAGAAAATGTCAATTTATCATACACATTAATTCTCTGGATCAATCAGTCACAATTTACACATATATTCTAAAGTTCAATCAGTCAATAATATTTTAAGTAAAAACGCACTTTCTTGTAGGTTCTGCTTAGTTTATGCGATGAAAGATGAAACTGAACCTAAAGGTTTCTGTAATATACCGTGTAACCGTAATTTGTATTTACCTGGCTGTCCTGGGTAACCCGGTTGTCCAGGCTGTCCTCCTTGTCCTGGTTGTCCAGGTTGGCCTGGATAACCTGGCTGTCCTGGTTTACCAGGCTGGCCTCCTTGTCCTGGCTGTCCTGGGCCACCTGGCTGTCCTGGGTAGCCTGGCTGTCCTGGTTGACCAGGCTGGCCTCCTTGTCCTGGCTGTCCTGGGCCACCTGGCTGTCCTGGCTGTCCTGGGTAGCCTGGCTGTCCTGGTTGACCAGGCTGGCCTCCTTGTCCTGGCTGTCCTGGGCCACCTGGCTGTCCTGGCTGTCCTGGGTAGCCTGGCTGTCCTGGTTGACCAGGCTGGCCTCCTTGTCCTGGCTGTCCTGGGCCACCTGGCTGTCCTGGTTGTCCTGGGTAGCCTGGCTGTCCTGGTTGACCAGGTTGTCCTCCTTGTCCTGGTTGTCCTTGTTAAGAAAAAGTAAATAATTAAAGTTTTCAAGAAAATGTCAATTTACCATACACATTAATTCTCTGGATCAATCAGTCACATTTACACATAAATTCTAAAGTTCAATCAGTCAATAATATTTTAAGTAAAAATGCACTTTCTTGTAGGTGCTGCTTAGTTTATGCGATAAAAGATGAAAGTGAACCTAAGGGTTTCTGCAATATACCTTGTAACTGTAATTTGTATTTACCTGGCTGTCCTGGGTAACCCGGTTGTCCAGGCTGTCCTCCTTGTCCTGGTTGTCCTGGTTGTCCAGGTTGGCCTGGATAACCTGGCTGTCCTGGTTTACCAGGCTGGTCTCCTTGTCCTGGCTGTCCTGGGCCACCTGGCTGTCCTGGTTGTCCTGGTTGTCCAGGTTGTCCTGGATAGCCTGGCTGTCCTGGTTTACCAGGATGGCCTCCTTGTCCTGGTTGTCCTTGTTAAGTGACGAAAATGTAGTTAATTAAAGTTTTCAAGAAAATGACAATTTACCATATACATTAAAACTCAGGATCAATCAGTCAATAATATTTTAAGTAAAAATTATGGCAGCACAGAATATTAACTCACAGCATGTGATTACGTAACACAACGTCATGCCTTTTATCCCCGAAGGGGTTGGCAGAGGTGCACATTACGACACCTAATGCCACTGTACGATGTAACACCCACTTTTCACTATTTATGTTATGAGTCCTATGTAATAAGGGGTAAACCTACCGGGCACAACTTCAGACTCTGTGCTCATACTGAAATTTAAAAAAAGCCCAGTAATACTTTGCCTGACCAGGGAACCGAACCCGAGACCCCTTGCTCGGCAGTCGCACTTGCGGCCACTTGGCCAACGAGACAGTCGGCCTGTACATTACTGTGCTCATTGGAATGCTTTTAATAAACTCTATTCAATCGCTAAACTGCAATGCACGTTTATTGGGTATTACGTAAGCATTCAAGCATTGGTAAATGCTTAGTAAATGTTAGACTTTGTATGCCTATCAAGTCTTGGCAAAAGTGTCAAATCGGCTTACTTTGATTTGAAATCCTTATATGATTAAGTCTTTTTTACCTCTGATAACCACAGACAGGTTGAGTTTAGAAAATTTTCTTACCTGGTTGTCCTGGATAAGTTGTCGTGTCGGTGGGACCACCGGGTCCACCTGGTCCACCGGGACCACCGGGACCTCCGGGACCACCTACATCAAAAATATAATTTATCAATATCTTTACAGCAATATTATGTAACCCATCCCGTATTACGCTAATAAATAAAGAATTTTAATTTGACAATAAAACAGGGACCATTTATTGTAAATAAAGAAAGAAAGAAAAATAAAGTTAATTTACCTGGTGTTCCTGGTGATCCTGGGCTTCCTGGCGAGCCGGGGCTACCGGGTTGTCCTGGGTAGTAACCACCGCTTGAAGGGCCATTGGGTCTATTTGGTCCTCCTGGACCTCCTGGTCCACCCGGTCCACCTGGTCCACCTGGACCTCCTGGAGTGCCGGGCGATCCTGGGCTTCCTGGAGTGCCAGGGCTGCCTGGTTGTCCTGGGTAGTATCCTCCGCTGGAAGGACCATTAGGTCCATTTGGTCCTCCTGGACCGCCCGGTCCACCTGGTCCACCTGGACCTCCTGGTGTTCCTGGTGATCCTGGGCTTCCTGGAGAGCCGGGGCTGCCGGGTTGACCTGGGTAGTAGCCGCCGCTTGAAGGGCCATTAGGTTCATTTGGTCCTCCTGGACCTCCTGGACCGCCTGGTCCACCTGGTCCACCTGGACCTCCTGGTGTTCCTGGTGATCCTGGGCTTCCTGGAGAGCCGGGGCTGCCGGGTTGACCTGGGTAGTAGCCGCCGCTTGAAGGGCCATTAGGCCCATTTGGTCCTCCTGGACCTCCTGGTCCTCCGGGTCCACCTGGTCCACCTGGACCTCCTGGAGTGCCTGGTGATCCTGGGCTTCCTGGAGTGCCAGGGCTGCCTGGTTGTCCTGGGTAGTATCCGCCGCTGGAAGGACCATTAGGTCCATTTGGTCCTCCTGGACCGCCTGGTCCACCTGGTCCACCTGGACCTCCTGGTGTTCCTGGTGATCCTGGGCTTCCTGGAGAGCCGGGGCTGCCGGGTTGACCTGGGTAGTAGCCGCCGCTTGAAGGGCCATTAGGTCCATTTGGTCCTCCTGGACCTCCTGGACCGCCTGGTCCACCTGGACCTCCTGGAGTGCCTGGTGATCCTGGGCTTCCCGGAGTGCCTGGGCTGCCAGGTTGTCCTGGGTAGTATCCGCCGCTTGAAGGGCCATTAGGTCCATTTGGTCCACCAGGGCCTCCTGGGCCCCCTGGTCCACCTGGTCCACCTGGACCTCCTGGAGTGCCTGGTGATCCTGGGCTTCCCGGAGTGCCTGGGCTGCCAGGTTTTCCTGGGTAGTATCCGCCGCTTGAAGGGCCATTAGGTCCATTTGGTCCACCAGGGCCTCCTGGGCCCCCTGGTCCACCTGGTCCACCTGGACCGCCTGGAGTGCCGGGTGATCCTGGGCTTCCAGGAGCGCCAGGTTTGCCCGGTTGGCCAGGGTAGTAGCCGCCGCTTGAAGGGCCATTAGGTCCATTAGGTCCACTAGGTCCTCCTGGACCTCCTGGTCCTCCAGGTCCACCGGGACCTCCTGGAGTGCCTGGTGTTCCTGGAGTGCCAGGACTGCCGGGCTGTCCTGGGTAGTATCCGCCGCTTGAAGAGCCATTGGGTCCATTAGGTCCTCCAGGGCCTCCAGGACCGCCGGGTCCTCCTGGACCTCCTGTAAACAAAATTGAACCAGTTATTTATTGAAAGTTTACTGCATGTGTGAGTGAATTATTTTATTTTAAGGCAGGCAAATAGTGTTTAACCTTTATTTCGTAATACCAGCCTTATTTCGTAATTTCGTAATAGCAGTCTTACCAGCTGGGTACTTTTTTGGAGATCTGAAATCGGTGACAACGAGAACTCGTTCCATCGTGACGTGAATGAATATTGTGATAAATAACTATTTACCTGGACCGCCAGGGCCGCCGGGGCTGCCTGGAGTACCTGGTGTTCCTGGTGTCCCTGGAGTGCCCGGGTAGTAGGTACCGTCGGGACCATAAGTACCATTAGGACCTAATGGTCCTCCTAAAGCCACACATAGGGTTAGTTAAAAATTAGTGGTTATTTAAGCGTTTGGAACAATTTCAATATTAAATACATTATAATCTTAGTAGTACTACGTTACGCAGTTAAAGCATTGATGAATCGTGTAGCAGCATGAAATTAATAAAAGATAAGTATAATATTTGTGTTCAGTTCGGACTCATCTTATGCACACATACACTTGGTATGCTTTTCTTAAAATGAAATTGAATGTTACAGTAATGATAGATACAGTATGGAGTCACAATCAATAAATTTTAATGAATTTAACTTTAACTCCTCGTCAAGTACCGTATTTATAGACACAATTAAAGAACAATAGGTTGCGGTCACCGGTGACCGCTTGGTGTTTGACAGTTTAACTAACTTTTATTAAATATCTTAAAAAATCTGCTTTTTACGACAACGATTGAAATCGAGAAATCTAGCAATAAAATAGTAGCTATGTTACACTAAATTTGTATTTAGCGTAACGATGCGGCCGATTAATTCGTTCATACTACGAAAATTTCATGCTGTACGACAAAATATTAATTAGTACATTTCTTACCTGGTCCATTATCTTGTCCTGGATAATAGCCTCCTGTGCCTGAAAGAGTTAGCACACACAGACAGGTTAGTGACAAAGCAAGCAGCTTATCGTTAAAATTGCAAGTAAGTTATATCAGGCGCTTGATACAAGTCAATTTTTATAATTTATCATCAACTTAAATCGTGATGTTCTAAATTAGTTGTTTATTTTAATTCAATTGTTAAACATTTATTAGTTGTTATTATCTTACCTGGTCCACTTGGTTGTCCTGGGTAATAGCCACCTGAGCCTGTAAGTGGTTAGACACACGCATTCGTTAGTAAGTACAAACTATGCCGATTGTTAACATAGATTTTGTTTTGTTAAGCAGCGCATGGCAAAATATTAGCTTAACGCGCAAGAAGCAATCTAAGTTAAAAATGTCATTCACTAAACGAAACATGTTTTAGTTATAATATAGCAGGACTGTAAAATAAAATGACACGTATGTGTATCATAAGCTTTGTTATGTAACAGTAATGTTTAATTTCTTATGTTTCGTTTAATGGAGTAACTAGTAGGATCATTCCATTTTTAGTACTGATCACAGTTATTAAATAAGCAATTTGAATCTACGATCCGATAAACTTTAGTGTTAGAAATGTTAGTCACAACTTACCTCCGGGGTAGTAGCCTGGGTACCCAGGAGTGCCTGGGGTACCTGCTGTGCCTGGGTAACCAGGTGTGCCTGGAGTGCCTGGGGTGCCTTCTGTGCCTGGGTAACCAGGTGTACCTGGTGTGCCTGGTGTTCCTTCTGTGCCTGGGTAACCAGGTGTACCTGGTGTACCTGGTGTGCCTGGTGTTCCTTCTGTGCCTGGGTAACCAGGTGTACCTGGTGTACCTGGTGTACCTGGTGTGCCTGGTGTTCCTTCTGTGCCTGGGTAACCAGGTGTACCTGGGGTGCCTGCTGTGCCTGGGTAACCAGGTGTACCTGGGGTACCCTCTGTGCCTGGGTATCCGGGTGTGCCTGGTGTGCCTGGGGTACCAGCCGTGCCAGGGTAACCAGATGTGCCTGCAGTTCCTTCTGTGCCTGGGTATCCAGGTGTTCCTGGCGTGCCTGGGGTACCAGCTGTGCCTGGGTATCCAGGTGTGCCTGGGGTTCCTTCTGTGCCTGGGTATCCAGGTGTACCTGGCGTGCCTGGTGTGCCTGCTGTGCCTGGGTAACCAGGTGTACCTGGGGTACCCTCTGTGCCTGGGTATCCAGGTGTGCCTGGTGTGCCTGGGGTACCAGCTGTACCTGGGTAACCAGGTGTGCCTGGGGTTCCTTCTGTGCCTGGGTATCCAGGTGTACCTGGCGTGCCTGGGGTACCAGCTGTGCCAGGGTACCCAGGTATGCCAGAGGTACCTGGATATCCAGGTGTGGCTGGGGTGCCTGGGTATCCAGGAGTGCCTGCTGTGCCAGGATAACCTAGGGTCCCAGGAGTACCTGGGCTGCCAGGGGTACCTGGACTACCGGGTGTACCTGGGGTGCCTGGAGATCCAGCGGTGCCTGGAGTTCCACTTGAGCCGGGGTAGTAACCGCCTGATGGACCACCGGGGCCGCCGGGACCACCTGGACCTCCTATAGTTGAAAAATAATCCCATGAAATCTGTATTTTACACATATTCCTAAAACGTTCAATTGCTCAGTGAGCTTTGATGACATACCATTAACAAAATATCAATTGATACGAGGTAGTTAAAATATTGTAGTTACCTGGTCCACCTGGTGTGCCGGGAGAGCCGGGAGAGCCTGGGGTTCCTGGGGTGCCTGGAGTACCAGGCCTGCCTGGAGTTCCTGGCTTGCCTGGTTGACCTTGCCCTAGAAAACAAATGGTACGTTTCTATTAGATACCAAGATGTCACAATTAAATTAAGTTTGTTAAAAATGTTGCCACAGCCTTGAAACGCAGCTGTCTCCGAATTATTTCATATTTTATAGTAAAAAAAAAATACTTACATGATCCTGATCCAGGGCCGTAAGGTCCATTGGGTCCTGTAAACATAATAAAATAACGACATTAACTATCACTTTTAGGAAATAAATCATCCTACAAAATCATTGATCCTAAATTGATCATTATTAAGTGTAAGATATTCGTCTTATTTCATACCTTGTCCAGATTGTATAGGTTTGACATTCGTGGTCTCACTACTGCTGTCTATGGGACGAGGTGGCTTGGGCGTAGGCTTCGGTAAAGGTTTGGCTGGAACTCCGCCGGGAGTACGACCACATCCTTTGGGGAAGTAGAGTTTCTTCCACGGGATTGTTTGTCCTGGCTGAGTGTTTAATGCCTGTCCAGTGCTGTAATTGAAATATGTAACTTTGTACCCCATTTGTCTTAGTTAAACTTTGTTTGTTTCTTGTGACCTTTGTAATAAATCACTGTTTAACAAGTGAAAAAGACAATCAATAATGTTAATACAATGTGCAAAACATTAATAACAGTGGCACATGCTGAATAGACTTACATTTCATCGTATTCATATTTCTCGTCAGGGAATACTTCGACTGGTTTCTCGGGTTCCACTACTCTGTATCCGTGACTGTCAGCAACGTAGTGGGTAACTCTGAGGAAGTTCTCTGGGTCCAAGTAACCATAGCAACCATAGGTGACGCCATCCGGACCGCGGTTCTCATGATGGAACTGCCCGTTTGGACCGACGTCATAACCGAAGCCGTATGCACCTGGAACAAGTATCAAAACCAGTTTAGACAAAATGATATAACATGATAAAATTAGCCACAGCCATTATGCTGGCTCTAAAACCTGTCCTTCTAAACTGAGCAAGAAACATTCCAACGCGTTTTATTTCGCGGATTCTGTTAAAATATTGTGACCATTATTTTTTGTTGCAGGCTTTTTTACTAGATAGCAGATGTAGGGAGGTGACAAATTTAGAACATTTGTCTCAACAGGCGGTACCACTATGATAAACGACAAAGTTTATTACTAAAAAGGAAAACTAGCCTGTCGTTGAATTGGGCAAGATAAGGCTGTTGTCAGAAATATTTTTTGTACCTACATTGTAAATTATGTTCAAAAATATTTTCTTTTCAAAATTACGTATTTCGATGGTAGTTCATCTTGTTCAATACTTTTCTTTATGTTAAAGTGTCAATTTTACATCAACGCAATAAAAATACAATCGGCACATAAATTCTGGGAGCGTCTAATTTTATACATTATCATCATAATTTCATGCACAAATGTTGCATAATTTTAATTCAAAACTTACTTTAAAATTATTACCAATATCGATGTCCAGTAAAAATCCACTACACATTTTTTTATTAGGTAGATGTATCACAATCATATTTTATTTCTAGTTTTACAGGTTTTAGGATACAAGTTTATAGACAAAATGTACCTACTAACATAAATTGATGAGCTTTTAAGATTTGAAACAATCTAAACTATACTTAGATATGTTCTAAGACTTGCAATATTTTTAATTTTTTTTTGTAACACGCCTGCTACATCCTTTCAAAACCATTGCAACATCTCTTTAAATGCCATACGTATTACGTATTGAAAAATTAATGATGCGTACCTACTGAAAAAACTTTAGTACAATGAATAAGCACGACTTGAGACTTCCATCAAGGAACTGGAGAATCATCTTATGACCACACGACACCACGATGACATGACTACCCTTTACACAACATAACATCAGGCCTTTTATCCTCGAATGGGTATACAGAGGTGCACATTTACGGCACTTAATGGAATATAACACCCACTTTTCACTATGTATGTCATGAGTTCCACGTAATAAGGGGTGAGCCTAATGCTATATGCTGCACAGTTTCAGACTCCGCGCTACTACTAAATTTTTTTTTAAAAACCTAGTAATACTTTGCTCGGCTCGGGAATTGAAAGCGAGACCCCTTGGCCTGCAGTCGCACTTGGACCACTCGGCCAATGAGACAGTCCTTTACATACAAGTATTTAATTTATAAGACGTGTTTGAAAATACACATGAAAATTTCAAGCGTGTCTCACGAGAGTCGATTACAAAACCAGCTGTTACCCGAGTCGAGTACACGTTAATGTGACTAATGAACGTAATTCGTAATTACGTCTGCTACGTCGTGATGATATTTTAATCTGTCAAAATCTAGACTTCATCAAAGATGCCAACTTCAACCGGAACTGTTTATAAATTATGTATAAGTTACATGGATATTGAGTATGTATCTGTCCGTTACCTTTTAACTCGTCGAGTACCGGTTTTATAGACACAATTAAAGAACAATAGGTCGCGGTCACCGGTGACCGCTTGGTGTTTGACAGATTAAGACTACAATCGTTTGATTATTATGTTTTTCAGCTTAATTACGTAATTATATATAACTTAATATTATAAAGCTGAAGTTTGTTTTTTTGTTTGTTTGTTTGAACGCGCTAATCTTCGTAACTACAAGACTGATTTGAATAATTCTTTTTGTGTTGGATAGTGCATTTATCGAGGATGGCTATAGGCTATAAAACATCACGCTACGAGCAATAGGAGTTGAGCAGAGCGTGTAAAACCGCGCGGAACTAGCTAGTTTATACTGAATTTAGTGTCTCACGAAAGTTATAATATGACTACAATCGTTTATTTATCTGACAAGGTGTACTTGATGATACGAATTTTTGTTACACAATTCCAAAGAACAGATTTTTATTGTATACTATTTTCAATATTTCATAGGCTAGCTTTTCTTTTATTCTTGATTCTTTTTGTACATCTCTTTACAAATCTCTGTATTTTATCGTTTTGCATTCAAACCAGTCCGCTTATTTTCGGGTATCCCTGTCAGGCATATTATTAACAATTTCTTACAGTGTTTTTATCAAACCACCAGTCATGATGAGGGACCACCCATTAATATAAAGGTACCTCTATTTTGTCTTGAATGCCGACCATCATCGGTAATCACAGTCATGGTGGTTTACGTTAAATACAATTTTAAACTAATAGGTATGTTTCCAAATAAAATTACGCTACCAAATGAAATTATGCAGTTCTAAAATGAATAAGAGTTGAGAAACAGGTTTGAAACTATTTAGCATGGTGTCTGAAAATGTATACCAACGTATAGTATTATTAAGGCACGGATAATATTAGTACATAAGTGAGTTATAGTATTAACATAAGCTTCTTTGATCTAGACAGTTACTTTATTTCATTGGCAGTAAGGGCTATTTTCGTTAACTCCTTGCAGTTGACCGAAGTTGTGTGGGAATTCATGTTCATTTGAAGCCATCTCATTAAAATTCACAATACGAATCCCGACCACAATTAAGTCCTGAGTGAGCTGACCACCTGGGACAATCCATTAAATTAAAATGGGTGTGTGGTATCTCACGTGTTGTACCTTTACAGAGGAATTTGTTTGGGGTTCTCAATGATAAGACAACCAATTCATTCATGTCATTCAGTTTTGCTAATGGCCTTAAATCAACTCGTTCTAAAATATACTTAGATAAAACCTAAGTTATTGGGCATTGTATTATATCATTTTATGTTAACGAATTATATTTATTGTTGTTTTTTTATTATTTTTAATAGAGATTATTTAGATATTAATACTCATTGGTATTAAATATTACTCAGATAACGAGTTATTTCTGAAGAACAAATTCTAAAATAACTTTGTAGATCCAGAAGTTATTTTTTATATGTAGGTATGTCATAAAATTCAAAGTGACTTGTTAAAATACGCACTTTAGCAACTATTAGCAATATCACAACTAAGTACATACATACGTACCCAAAAACTCACATGTTTTTCTTATTTTTAGCGCTCTGATTCCAAAGAGGTCTCGCGTTTTTTATATTTATCTTGAAATGCATTCCTCGTCAACTTTTCTAAAGCTTCTTATTTTCTTAATTTTAATTAAAATTCTTTCAAATAAGTAACAAAAATGAGGGAGTAGATCAATCATCCACTTTTAGACGGGGATATAAATGACTGTATAGCTATTTTTAGATTGATTAGGATATTTGTGGCGGATGATCGATAGTGAGATGAAAGTTGACATCAATGTTGAGCGCCCCACATGGACGGAAAGATTGCTGATCTTTACCTACAATGACATAATACCAAAACGTGACATCTACTAGTCGTCCGTGAGGTACTGGTGCTATAAAATGATACCGGTTTAGAAATATGATTCGGCCAAATTGTTATATGGATGCGTCAATCGAATAAGGGCCAAAACAGTCGATGAATTTGTCTAGAAATTGAAGCACAGCGCTTTTTTTCGAAGAGTTGAAGTGTAAAAACTACCATGTAATTGGGACTAGCACAGTTTATTATAGTCTTTAACTATGTAATATCCGAAGCATCCGAAACTGTTATGTTTTAAAGATCAATTTTATACTAACATATATTTTGTAATTGAAGATCAGTCATTCAGTCTGATCAGGCAGGTGCGAATTTTGAGTTGTCTTTATACTGATTGACAACTCTATCACTGTTCACTATCATAGTTTTGTATTGTGTTTACGCTTTGAGGTCAGAGTGTAAATTAATACAACACGTGGTAAGATCGTGCTTAAGAAATTGAGTAGCGCCATAAATATTCACATAATGTTACAAAAAAAATAAGTCGAATGAAATATTCGAACTTGTAACTAGATTTTCGATTAGAGAATTGTTGAGACAAGAAATTATACTTAAATCCAGGTTTAGTTTAAGTTAGATTATTAGGTTTTCAAAATTATTATTGTAGTTAAGTTGTTCTCTGTAAGTACCAATTATTAACGTTTTGTGCTGGTTACAAGAAGTGGTTCTCATATTTAATAGTGCATCTTTGTACTCATGCGGTCCGAAGAAGAAATGATTTTATTTATTTATTTATACATTTGGAAAACCAACAGCTATACAATTAGATTAAATAGAATGTGGAATGCAACAAGATTTTGTTTATGTTTATATGAATCTTTGAACATAACTTACTTGTGTCGTAATTGGTTTCATAATACTGTTTCTTTTCATCGTCCTCTATGTCCACGACCACTTCGTTGTCAAGTTGCCCCTGGTACGGGTCATATTGGCGAGCCTCTCGCGCTTCCGATAGTGCTTTGAATTCATCTTTTGGCGGTTTCTTTGGCGTAACCTCGCTGGCATGTATTATAGCCAGCGCGGCCTGTGAACAAAAGAAAATAAACCATCAGTCAAATTAAATTAAAGTCTAATTTTAGTCTTATGCCGAAACTAACTCTTTACCTTTTGACTGACAGGTCAAAAAGAAAAGACATCAGTGCCAAGTTAGAAATCATTCCTAAATAGATTGTTATAATTTGTATAAGTTTTCATCATCTTATGTAAATATAGACGAAATATTGTAAAAAAACTCAGTCTATTCCATGATAATAACTCCAGTACATTATTATACCTAAATAAGAATGAGTTAAGTAACTCTTTTGGGCTTGTTGTCATACGTCTCTCTGGCAGTCAAAAGATTTATTAAAAACTAACTATATAAGTAACAGTAATCCCTAACTTAATGTAACATAAAATAACATCACGCCTTTTATCCCCGAAAAGGTAGGCAGAGGGGTAAATCACGGCATTTAATGTAACACCAACTTTTCTCTATTTTGGTTATGTCTCCCCTGTAGTAGGGGGTGAGCCTATTGATATATACGGCGCACAATTCCAGACTTCCTGTTACTACTGAGAATTAAAAAAAACCCCAGTAATACTTTGTCTGACCCGGGAATCGAACCTGATACTCCTTTCTTGGCAGTCGCACTTGCGACCACTCGGCCAACGAGGCAGTCCTAACTTAATGTACTCGTCATAAAAATATTCATATATATTTTTTAATTACTTTTTTAATTGTTCGTGTATGAAAAGCTGTCAAATTGAATTTGTTTACTGAATAAGATTGGATAAACTCCTCTGTATTTAATTATCGTGCGTTAAACAGATTTATTAGTAAGCTTCCAGGGTTGAAATACACCTGTGTCAAATAAAAGACGACCTTATGAACGTTATTAAAACACTTCTAACTGTAGAATTAAATTGATTATAATAAATGTTTGTAATAAGGTACTAAATTGTATAATGTGTGTAGTGTTAACGGTATCTAGTTTAGCACCTAATTAGCTAAATTAGGATAATGATGTTCGGCCAATTAGCTAGCTTAGTGCTAATGTTTGAACTACTGAAATATAAGACTTAGTGCTTTAATGAAACTTTATTCTTGAAACTATTAATAGTCATTAGCTACTCAGAGGTCGGACTTATTTTAAGTTATAAAATAATTAAGAAAATGATTACCTTAACAATGAAATAAATATAAATAGGTAGGAATAATAAAATAAGGGCATAACTAACAAACAAGCATGTTCAGATTGTAATTAAATGAAATAGTAATTTACATTTCTTAATAGTAAGTTTAATTTCCATGAAGACTAATTTGTAACTCAACCATCATGTAAATGGAATTAAAGCGATTGCTATCGGTAACAGACTAACAGAAGAATAATTATAATTACGTACATAATATTTGGATAGCATACAGAATAGGGTAGTTTCCAGGGTAAGAAAATTAAAAATCTAATTAGTCCGTCAGTTAGATAATGAAAAAATATTAGACACGTATTTTTTTATTTTCTCGTATAAAGTTACAATACTTAAATAAAATGGAGTTAAGTTTAGGAGTGGGAGGTAGATACGTCATAATGTGCTACATTTTGTAGCACGCTGTGACGTCACACAGCATTTCAAATCAATATATCGCCGAAAGCATTTAATTTTGTGAGAAAAGAAAAAATACGTGTTTAATGCTGTAAAATAATCTACCAGATGGACATTAAAATAAAATTTGGGAAACTACCCTATTGTTTGTGGCCCAGTGCAAGATATATTTAATAACTAATATATTTTAATAAAATAAATATGATAGGTTTAAAATGTCAAAGGATAACGATGATTTGAGTGATATTTGTCTTAAAGTATGTTGACGGACGCGAGGCTAAAGTGAAGCTTACACAATAAAACTATTGGGTGAGGCACTGTGTGCAACCGCTAACAAATATTATTGTCTGCAGACATTACTATGTCATCTCTACGCCTTCTAATCTATTTATGTATATTACGCAATTTTTAAAAGAATGCTCACTGTTCAGATTTCAAAAATATTGGTTGCTCAACTTTTCATCTGTATCTATATATATAAAATTCAAAGGTGATTGACTGACTGACTGACTGACATAGTGATCTATCAACGCACAGCCCAAACCGCTGGACAGATTGAGCTAAAATTTGGCATACAGATAGATGTTATGACGTAGGCATCCGCTAAGAAAGGATTTTGATAATTTCCACCCCCAAGGGGGTAAAAAAGGGGATGAAAGTTTGTATGAAACTTTGTCAGTTTTTAACTGATCGGATTGAAATTTGGCACATAGATAGATGTTATGACGTAAGCATCCACTGTGAAAGGATTTTGATAATTTCCACCCCCAAGGGGGTAAAATAGGGGATGAAAGTTTGTATGAGACTTTGTCAGTTTTAAAGCGACCGGGTTGTAATTTGGCACGCAGATAGATGTTATGACGTAAGCATCCACTGTGAAAGGATTTTGATAATTTCCACCCCCAAGGGGGTAAAATAGGGGATGAAAGTTTGTATGAGACTTTGTCAGTTTTAAAGCGATCGGGTTGTAATTTGGCACGCAGATAGATGTTATGACGTAAACATCCACTGTGAAATGATTTTGATAATTTCCACCCTCAAGGGGGTAAAATAGGGGATGAAAGTTTGTATGAGACTTTGTCAGTTTTAAACCGATCGGGTTGTAATTTGGCATGCAGATAGATGTTATGACGTAAACATCCACTGTGAAAGGATTTTGATAATTTCCACCCCCAAGGGGGTAAAATAGGGGATGAAAGTTTGTATGAGATTTTGTCAGTTTTAAATCGATCGAATTGAAATTAGACATGCAGATAGATGTTATTACATAGGCATCCGCTAAGAAAGGATTTTGATCATTTCCACCCCTAAGGGGGTAAAACAGGGGGTGAAAGTTTGTATGCGACTTTGTCAGTTTTAAACCGATCGGGTTGAAATTTGGTATGCAGATAGATGTTATGACTTAAGCATCCGCTTTGAAAGGATTTTGATAATTTCCGACCCCAAGGGGGTAAAATAGGGGATGAAAGTTTGTATGAGACATTGTAAGTTTTAAACCGATCGGGTTAAAATTTGGCATGCAGATAGATGTTATGACGTAGGCATCCGCTGTGAAAGGATTATGATAATTTCCACTCCCAAGGGGGTAAAATAGGGGATGAAAGTTTGTATAAGACTTTGTCAGTTTTAAATCGATCGAATTGAAATTTGACATACAGATAGATGTTATCACATAGGCATCCGCTAAGAAAGGATTTTGATCATTTCCACCCCTAAGGGGGTAAAATAGGGGGTGAAAGTTTATATGAAGCTTTGTCAGTTTTACACCGATGCAGATGAAATTCGGCATGCAAGTAGATGTTACGACGTAGGCATCCCCAAGTAAGGATTTTGATTATTTCCACCTCCAATGGGGTAATGTAGGGGATGAACGTTTGTATGAAGCTTTGTCAGTTTTACACCGATCGGGTTGAAATTCGGCGTGCAGATGGATATTATGACGTAAACGTCCCTTTAGAAAGGTTTTTGAACATTCTCACCCCAAAGTGGGTAAAATAGGGGGTGAAAGTTTGTATGATACTTTGCCAGTTTTAAATTGATCGGGCTGAGACTTTGCATGCATAAAGTTGCTATGACATAGGTATCTCCTTAGAAAGGATTTTGATAAATTCCACCTCTAAGGGGATAAAATAGGGAATGAGAGTTTATATAAATCTTCTTAGCCATTGAATTTAGAACCATTGATTCTTTTTGAATTAAATTCGGTAAAACGATGATTTGGGACCTGGGTAACGTATGATAGTTTTTTCACAGGATGTCTCACAACAACGGGATACTGCATCAATGCCCCAGGACTCTCTAATTTAACCACTGAACTTATTCTAGAGAGATTCGGTACAACAATAGTCGATAGAATAGTTTTTATTACTCAAACCTTACGTGATCGGGCACTGTACTGGTAAGATCCCTGCGGGATTATGTATTAATTGAAACTACGATAAATCATTTTCAAAATAGGTAAATCTTACTTGGGCACTGAATTGATTCTGGTTAATTCTGTCAGAAGTCATTAATCTACGCGGACGAAGTCGCGGGCAACAGCTAGTACATAATAAATATTCACATCAATACCGTTGTCCTTAAAATTTTAGGTCATGTAATCAAGGATACATAAATAAAGACTTTTTAACACTTGGATGTATTTTAAGGTGTGAAAAACGATATGAAAGATCTCCCTATATCAAAACATGATTGTTTGCTCCTTGATTTAACATGAGACGCGAGGCAAGATGCGTTGCAAAACTGTCAAGGAGCCACTCAACGCGGTACCTACATCGTAATCGTAAATACCAAATGTTCAACAAGTTTTATTGATAATAAGCACACACGATGCTAAATTGAACATTACTTGATGCGTTTAGCTCATTGTACATACCTATTGTATAAATCTAACCGTTTAAATAAAGGTTACTCATTCAGACTCCGATTGCAGTTGTTATGGTAATTTTATGAATATCTTTTATTGATCGGGTTACGAAACACATTCGGCATTGCATGTTTTACCTATTGCATACATATTTGCAGAATAGTGCATGTTAACATTAATTACGTGTAGGGAATATTAAAAACGATAATAAGGAAGCAAATAATAAGCCAAGGACGAATGCAGATGATGTACCTATTGTTCAGATTCAATGACTCAACATTGACTACCCGGGGAATCAGTTAATGGTTTTGTTTTTGTGTCAATTCTATTTTGGTAAATAAATCTGATCAAAGATTACGATCAAGTCGGTCAAAGTAAAAGAAATATTCAGTTAACGTTTGGCTTTTGTATAAATTCGTCCCATTGTGACGCCGAACACGTTTAGAACAAACTTTTGCAGTGTCCGTCAATGTCCGTGACCGTAACCCCCAAAACTGTCGCCTTACGTTTCAATCTCACGTACAGCCGAGACAAGCATCAGAAACAAATTGTTTTTTGATCTGGGACATAAACGT